GATATTGGAAATAAAAACTTTCCTGATAATATTCAAAGTATTGAGCTTTATTCAAATTATTGAGCTTAAAATGTAGACTATAGCAACTTCTGTTTGACCAACTTGTGGTCATGGTGGATGTTGAAAAAAATGTTATAAATGCCATTTCTGGAGTGCAACAGAAAAAATGTAGTGTTGCCAAACATAAGATTAAAAAAAAGCATCGATTTTAAATATCTGAAAGACAATTGAGTCAAAAAAAGAATTTTCAAAGTGTAAAACAATAACTGATATACAATGTAAAACTTAAAAATGTTATATAAATCACAAGCAACAATTATGAGAATCAAGTAACTGTGCATACCCAATAATGTCAGGAGTGCAACATTTGATATTTTGATCCCCAGCATGAAAAAAAAAACCCAAAACTTTTATCAGTTTATGATTCTCAGTTTTTTATTTGAGAAAATAATGACACATAGAACATTTTTACCAGATTTATCAATATTACAGGGTCTGTTTGTGTTTCAGATCTATATTTCTATACGGTCAGGAGTGCAACACATTCTTTTTTTAAAAGATTCAAGTTGTATGATGAATAAACTTCTATATTCATGCTAAAAATATTCTTTCATTAATAATGATCTATTTGAATAATAATAATTTTTAAAAAATCTGAGTTTCATTGCCATGTACAATCTTATTTATTTTCCATGATTTAAAATTTGCGAATACATCGAGTTACGGTGGGGTTTAACGAGAAAATATGGGACACTTAGCTTAACCTCTCTTGAGCTTTAATCGTTCCCGCAAAATAGGTTAAAACACCTGAAAAATTAAGGATAAATAACACAAACTTTTTTTCAAAAATCGGCAATATTTCTCATCGATTTATATTCAAATATGTAACCTGAATAATGTTTGCCGTGTGAAGAGGGAGAATTTTATAAGATTTTGTCACAATGTCAAAACTAAGTGCAAAATTTTGTATAGAATTATATAATCAATCCAGGCATCAAACTTTTGTGTGTGTTATGTATCCTTAATGCCAGCAAAGTTTGTAACACCGTCCACTATTCTCCTGTGATTACATGTGTCAACTTTGTGATTTTCTCACACCAGCGTCCCTATTATGCAATATTTTGAGCCATATTTAATAATAACATGCTATGTTTGAAACACTCCTATACCCTTAGAACTAAAGGGACTCCTGAATTTGTGTCCATTAGGGTGCATCCAAGTAATGAGCAAAAGTTGACTTTATAAAATTTTACTTCGCTGAAGTTGTGTCTCTTGTTATATACGTCATTTTTATGTTCAGTATGCTAAACACATGGGATTCTGAGGTCATCTTTTCAATATCAAACTCACTAATTTCGCTAAACGGTTAATATTTTATCAAACAGTCCTCAGAACTTTTCAAATACCCCTCGTAATGATGCGTGGGATGAATTTGATAAATGTTTAGGGATCGCTTTTGTGAAGGACGGGATTTTGCAATTTTTTTTACAATACATGTCCCGCAGAGTGTTGCAAAGAGGGCAAGCAGAAAGCTACGAATATGGAATACCTATTGCTACACTAAGGGGTTATGAACAACTGAAGAAGAAAAAAATCTAAGATATGGAACTATATGCATTGCCTGTTGCCTGTAAATTAAGATTTTCTGATTGCACAAGAGTAAAACTTGCGGATTGAGGAAATATCATTAAGCGACGCCCAACCAGGCTACGAATCTATGTATGAGGTTAATTAAAGGTAGAAGTGAGTAAAAAAAATACATCAACTGTAAATACTGCCAAACCGTCTGCTTTACTAGTATTTAGACAATATTCTATACGAAGAAAAATGAGAGGCACAATTAAAATGAGGAGATAACGGATTTCTTTCTTTTTCTCTCTTGCCAAGGAATTTTAGTTTTCATTCGGTCGTGTCCCCTCCCAAGCTGATATTACTCCCTACGGACCTGGTCATCTTCTGTACGCCATTTTTCAGAGCATTGGTGATATTTCATACTCACTAATGTTATAATATATTCTGCATGCAGATACTGTGATATTATGACCGAATGGTACCCTTATATACTGAAAGGAAAGAGAAACGCACCTCGGTGAAGTTTTAAAAGGATTTACAATTACAATTACCTGCTGTATGAATAGCTGTTTTTGTGGTATTGAGGTGGCGATTACACGGGTTGCAGGATGAATACCTCATGGTCAATCGTGACGTGGCGTTGTTAAGCACCAACGTCATCGTCGATTGGAAACCTTTCTAGCTAGTACCTATCTGACGACGGATAAGACGTACTATAGTGGAAAAATTCACAACAAATTGCACAGCAATCTATTGATGCCTTTTTCTTTACTTAGACAATGCAAAAGGCCTAGCCAGATCCATGGAACTTCCGTCAGCCGTACAATGATTTGCCAGAAATCAAATTGTCTGCAAATATCGAAAAACGTTGAGTATACCTCCAGTGCATCATGTTGTATTACAAGATGTGTTGACAAACCTGTCATCATTAATATTCACGTGTTTCTGGCTCTTTACCATTTTCCCAGAGTGACGTCATACATTTTCACGGTTGAGTAATTCTGAACACCGATTTGAGTGCACAGTTACCAATATAACCTCTGAGCAATTTTCATAATTTATTATATTTATAATATATTTATTGGTGTTGCCATGGTTATTTAGTCTAGATCCAAATGATGCTTTTCTCTTCTCTTTTAGCAAATACAACAAACCAATAGAGCTACAGTATTACAAGGGCCTGGTGTTTTTTTTTCTATTCCAGGGTACAGTTTTCTAGGAGGTTTAACTAAGCTCTCTTTGTTATCAACCATTTCCTCAAGCTTTGACTATACTGTAACGCAGTTTTGTATTTCCTTAGATTTTCGTCAGCGATAAACAAGAGCCAGTGTCATATTAAAAAAACAAGAGGCCCATGGGCCACATCGCTCACCTGAGTAACTTTGGCCATGCTGTTCTTTACCAGATTTCCCCCTTGTAATACTTACCGTGGCCCAGCCCTATCCCCCGGGGGTCATGATTTTTACAATTTAAAATCTACACTATCCCAGGATGCTTCCAAATAAGTTTCAGTTTTTCTGGCCTAGTTGTTCTTGAGAAGAAGATTTTTAAAGATTTTTCTTACATATTTCAATGTAAAATTTGGATTCCCTATTGTGGCCCCACCCTACCCCCGGGGGTCATGATTTTTACAATCTAGCATCTACACTACCCAAGAATGCTTCCACATAAGTTTCAGCTTTTCTGGCCCAGTGGTTCTTGAGAAGAAGATTTTTAAAGATTTTTCTTACATATATTACAATGTAAAACTTGGATTCCCTATTGTGGCCCCATCCTACCCCCGGGGGTCATGATTTGAACAATTTAGAATCTACACTATCCTAGGATGTTTCTACATAAATTTAATCTTTTCTGGCCCAGTGGTTCTTGAGAAGAAGATTTTTGAAGATTTTTCTTACATTTAAGAAATAAGGTATCACTTTTAAACATCTATCGGGATATAAATACGGGTTGGTCACGAGATCAAATTCCATAAAGCCCGAAGGGCTTTATGGTAAATTTGATCTCGTACCAACCCGTATTTATATCCGATAGATGTTTAAAAATGATACATTATTACTTATATTTACATTTATGACTTATTCATATTCTATATTTTCCTGATTATAATCTTTAACGCGTGAAATGTTTTATTTTTCAAACTCAACGGCACGTATTTGATCCATTGTTTGCGCGTCTACCCTTTATGACGTCACTGAGAAATTACGTCGAACGTTTATGACGCGAGGAACCTGTGTTTATACGGATATAGATACGCGTTGCTTTCAATAGTGTTACATAAGGGAAAACATTTGCAAATGTAAATATATTTCAATGTAAAACTTGGATTCCCTATTGTGGCCCCGCCCTACCCCCGTGGGTCATGATTTGAACAATTTAAAATCTACACTATCCCAGGATGCTCCCATATAAGTTTCGGCTTTTTTGGCCCAGTGGTTCTTGAGAAGAAGATTTTTTAATGACCCCATCCTATTTTTGTCTTTTCTTGATTATCTCCCCTTGTAAGGGGACTTGGCCCCTTTTTTTTTTTAACAATTTAAAATCCCCTTCACCCAAGGATACTTTGTACCAAGTTTGGTTAAAATTGTCCCAGTGGTTCTTGAAAGAAGTTGAAAATGTGAAAAGTTTACAGACGGACGGACGACGGACAACGGGTGATCAGAAAAGCTCACTTGAGCTTTCAGCTCAGGTGAGCTAAAAAAAACTTCAAAATTGTTCTACAAGCCGCAAACGTAAATATTTCTTTACACACTCATTAACAGCTGCTGGGGCATATATTTGTATAAGGAAAGTCTGGTGAGTCGAGAAGGATTATAGTTATAAACCTTCCAATTCTGTAAATTAGCAATATCACTTGTTTATCGCTTTCCAAAAAGATAGATTATTCACACCCTCCCTTCCCAATTCTCCAATGCTAAATATTACTCAGTATGATCTAACACTTAGAAAATAACCCGCTTTTTCATTTGCTGAATATCCAGATTATTTTCAAAACAAACACAATGAACGTTATTTGGATTTTCACACCCTGAAGTCTTTTCTGCCGAAGTTCAACGATAAATCGTTACTGTGCAAGATATATATGTTAAAATATATAATTTAAAAATATATGTTTATTTAAAAAGTAGGCCACAGTGACTTGTCACATCTAAAACTGCACCATTCTGTTTCAACAAAATTTGATTGGACTGTTTTTGAGGTGCAAAGAATCTGCTCATCATATCTTGAAATGCACTCGGGGGCTATTAAAACACGTACTTCAGCTTATAATACATGTACTTGGTCATGAGTCATTTTGACTTGCTTGAATTCTGCCTTTTTTGCTCAACATAATTTTTTGGCTCAGATGAGCTAATAAAATGTACATACAGCGATACTTCAAAGGATGATCTCTTACATAATTAACATCGTTTGCAAATATCTTTCAGCAACCAAAAAAGATTTAGAGAGTTTTAAGAAAAAGTACAATGATGTCAGTGAGAAGGTTGCAGAGAAACATCGACAGTATCAAAAATTACAGGTAAATGATTTTTTGTAATGTAATTTTTGCGTCTTGCAAATATTTTTATTAACTGTACTCTTCCTTTTCTCCCCATGCTCTTACATTAAATCTTTTTTCAATTTCCATTTAACGTAGAATTTCCGCTTGTTAGCTCCACTGTGAAATTAAAATTCTATACAATACTGAATTTTTAACATCTGGGTATACTCCGTGGTTATAGATTACTTAATGCTTATGGGGAGAATTTTCTGGTATGATTTTTCCTAACCATGATCTTGAGAACCCTATATACAATGCACTCTAAAGAGTTTTAATTCCGTGGTATTTTTATGCAATTAAAGTGATCTACCCTTAGATCTAAAGTGACATAAATAGAAATCTAAAGTTTATTACTCAATTTGTAATCAACTCAAGCAGTCTAAACATGTCACTCGGCCTAGATGAATTAAATGAACTCTTTATTTGCATGTACTTGTACAATTTAAGTAAGCGACAATGATTTCAGTTCACCAACACTTCACTGTCTTTGAATATTTTTCCTGGGGGTAAATGACAGGTACCCTTCGTTGAAAATCCCTACTTACATCTTTATATGATGAAGTTTCCTCAGAGTCCAAAAAACATTTTTCATTGGTGTATAAATGATCCTTATATATTCTGCAAGATCAGTGTTAATGGGAGATCAATCATATCAAATATGTATTTTGAGAAACCAAGAAATGCCAAAACAGTTAAATGCTTTTTAAGAAATGAAATATATGGAAATAACGAACAGTATTCAAGCTCAAAAGTCCATTAAACAATACAAAATAGGAGCAGAGCAAACACGGACCTCCAAAACATTAGAGGTGGGATCAGGTGCCATGGAGGAGTGAGCATCCCCTGCCGACCGGTCACACCCGCCGTGTGCTCCTTGTCATGATGGGGAAATAACGGTAAAATCAGTCGACAATTCAGTTTGTAAATAATGGCCTAACAATTAGTATGAAAAGCCTCAGTCAGCATTTGACTCAATGATAAATTAGTAACTATGACTGTTTGATAGTCAGGTGACTATAATATAGAATATTAGATAGAATTGAAACAATTACATCTTTTTCATCTTTTGTACTTGAGAGAGAAATGTCAAACTCTTTTGAGCTGATCAGTATACTTTTGTTTTTAGTCATTGTTTGATGCCTTGAAAAGAAAGTGTATAACACCATCAACTTTCGAAGGTGGTGATGCTGTAAGCAGTGGCAGAGCCTGGAATCCTTTAGCTAACTTCACTATGCCAATCGGCTCAGATCAAGGCAAGTTTCCAGTTCAATATACCATTATTAAAAAAAATGCTATTTGAATTTTTCTATGATGCACTTCTCTTTTCTGCAGGCATTAGTACCAGTACTTCTATAGGTAGCATTTCAAACAGCAAAAGAAACTCTCCAGAAACTGGTCGTGGTAAGTGCATGCTAATATTTTTTGGAAAGGGTGCTAGTATTTGGAAGACTGCAAGTCAATATTGCAATGTTTTTGCTTTTGAACAGAGGTGCCCTTTTCATTCCGGATAACAGATACCCCCATCTTCAAACAAAATGGTAACAATCCACAGAATAAGAGAAGTAGGGATCAGCAGAAACCAAACAGGAATCCATTAGATCTAGACTTTCCTACTCACTGACTTTTTGTATATTGATAACACCTGTCTGCATGAAATAGAATGCAAAGTACTGAATTTCCAAGAAATAAATCTTGTCTTGTTTTAAAATGAGTCCTTTTTTCTATCTAATAAATATCAGTTGGTACACTCTGAAACGTACCATTCTCTTCACATATTGGAGCATACATTAGCAGTCACTAAACACAATGTCTCTTTCCTCTTAGCGTATGTGTGCGTTTTATATTTTATTATTTGCATTCGATAGGCTTCACTTATCTTTAAGGAAGAAGGCTTTGCATTTAAAATCTAAAAACTAAACATTTTGAGCAAAAGCTCATTTAAAAATCACTACTGTTCTAAAAATCATTCTTCAAGGGATTTTGTGTCTGTCAAATACTGCATTTTCAAACTTCTTAAGTAGGATTTCAAATCCTCCTTGTTGAGTTTGGAGTTCCGTGACAACTGAACCAACCGTCCAGAAAGTTTAAAAATGATTCTCTTCTCTTTCATTTCTTTGTCAACTTCATGTTGCCTCTGGAAAATAAAAACAAAGAGAAAGAAACTGTTTTTTAACAATTGTGTTTTGTTAAATGATAGATGTTTTTGTTAAATGATAGATAGATACATAGTAAACATACCCCCTTTTTTGAAGAAATTGAAGAAGCCAAAGTCTTAGCTTTCTGAATCACATTCCTTGGAAGAGTTGATAGTTCTGCTAATCTTATACCTACAACAGTTGTATGGTTTAAAAACAAAAGTATATTTAGGTAAAGTTGTGCCAAGTTAAGTAATATATAAGCAACTTCCTACCAGGTTTCAAAGGTACTTCTAACATATTTTTCACTTGTATCATCATATTGCACATGCATTCTAGTTTAAAATCCTGAAGTGGCAATAGAATAGACAATTGGATTAAAAAGTTTCAGAATTTTTATTAGTAAAATTTCTTTTGAAAAAAGAAAATATCATTACACCTTAAAAGACTTTCTAAAATACATTATCACAAGAAATTATAGTTTTTTATGCTTCAAAATGGTAAAAGGGGTATGAAAGATTAAATCTAGACCTTGATTGAGTATCTTCTCTTGTATGTGTGACAAAAAATTGGCTTTTTGATTGTTATTTTACATTATTTTTTCAATTCTGGTTTGAAAAGTTTTAATATGAAAAAAAATATGAAGCAATAAAATTCCCCAAATTTCACTTTTTTGTCCGTTCAAGCCAATTCTTTAAATCTAAGCCAAAAAAAGAATTTTTATATACTAGTTCTCTTACAAAAAATACAAGATTTTGAAGTGACCCTATGTTACATTATTGTGTTGCACTCCTGACATCTGATATGTATTTTATTTAACATTCAATGTTTTAAAAATTATAACACACAATAACCCATTCTTACTTTGTAAATTAATTTGTCGTTTTGATATTTTTGATCGTTTACGGCAGGTTTTTCATATATTGAAGACCTTGACACATGATTATTTGCAAAGTGTAATATATATAAATTGTATATAAAACTATATGTGAAATGATGAGAACTATTCCCTGAATTGACTAGAAAATTTCTGTAATTTGTTGATAGACATAGAGTTTTGAACATCAAATAGTATCAAACATTTTTTTAAACTCATTTTTTAGTAAAAATAGTTGAAAAGCATTGGTAATTATAAAGCAGTTTTGTTGCACTCCTGACTGCAGTAAAATTTAAAAAGAACACAAAAATTCATTAAGTGTTGGCAACATCAAATGGTAATGAAACTGTGCAATGTTTATAGTCCAATACTTCATAATTAAAACAGATGAAAGTATTTAAAATTCGCATTTTATTTGGAATTGTTCCCTATTTATGCCAAAAAACTAGCTTAAATGTATATTCAGAAGATAAAATATATTTTATAGCATATTTTCCTTTACAGGACAAACACAGTAACCCACCAGAAAAATTCTACTCGTCATTTTTTTTTCTTTATTTTTATTCTTATTGGATGATTTATAATTCTAACATATTTGTTGCACTCCTGACCAAAAGCATTGGGACCTTTAAAGTAGAATTGTGAAGTGAAAATTACATAAGAACTTGTACTGTTGTTTCAGTGAAGTTGAGGAGGAATAATTTGAATTTTATGACAATTTTTAGTGTGTTTTTTTTTAACATCCATAAAAAAATCACAAAAAAGATAAAAACAAATCTAAAACTGAAAAAGGAAGGATTTTAATAAAAAAAAAAAACTGTCAATAATTTAGTATTAAATTATACAAAAAGATCATTATTAATTGATGAATACGTCTATGCTTGAATAGAAGTGTTTTTGTCACACAACTTGAATCTTTAAAAAAATGTGTTGCACTCCTGACCATAGAAATATAGATCTGCAGCACAGACAGATCCGGTAATTGATAAATCTATTTGGTAAAAATGTTCTTTGTGTCTTTCTTTTCCGAAATAAAAATCAGAAAATCATATAATGATAATAGTTTATTCATGCTTGGGAGCAAAACATCAAATGTTGCACTCCTGACATTATTGGGTATGCACATATACTTGACTCTAATGAATGCTGCTTGTGATTTATATATATTTTTAAGCTTTAAAATGTATATCAGTTATTGTTTTACACTTCGAAAATTGATTTTTGTCTTAATTTTCTTTCAGAATTTTACAATTGATGTTTTTTTCACAACACTACATTTTTTCTGTTGCACTCCTGACATGGTATCACATTTCTTTTAAACATCAGCCATGACCACAACTTGATTAAACAAAAGTTACTACAGCACACATTTAAAGCTCAATACTTTGAATATTATCAGGAAAGTCTTTATTTTCAACATAAAGCATTATTATTTATTTGACAGATCTCCAAAAAATATTGAAATTTAATGTCACAAAAAGGTGTTGCACTCCTGACAATTTTAGCATCATTTTTGGGCATAACTTTTTTTGTTAATTGAGATATCAACGAGATATTTGGCAGGTATTTAGACACCATCTTGAGACATATGCTGAAACATAGAAATCTATTTTCATTGCCTGTAGTTTTATTGTGGGTTGATAAATATGCGTTTGGTCATTTTTTTTTAATTCACCCATATCAGCATTCACTTGTAAAGATGTTTTAAGTCATAAGAGAACACTATTATTTTCATTTTTTTTTCTTTGAAAAAAATACTCATTTTGTAGTTAGATGAACCATTTCACAATTTTGGATTTAGTTCAATGCCCATACACTTATTCTATGCTATGTTTAGCTTGGCAAATAAGGGATTTCAATGTTCCATTTGATAAATTACTTTTACAGTCACATTTCACCTTGTGCATGTTTGAATTACAGATTACGTAAGTTATTTACTTTTGTATATTTTTTTCTAATATTTTTTTCTCACCTAAACATTACTTCTATGTACATATAAAGTTAAAAATATTGGACACTTTCTTAACTTTAAAAGATCTCAAAATTACATTATGATCATCTGTATCTATAATGAAAGCCGATAATCAACCACAATAGTAGTGCTAGCTGTGTTTTTAATCATGGAATCAAAACATTACAAAACTAACAATTTTTTATTTTGATTTTCTGATATTTTTACTTGAAAACTACATGTATGTAGAGCTTAAATACCATAATGCTCCTCTTTATTTTGTCCCTTTGTCAGCACGTGAGTATACACCACTTTCTCAGTTTGATCCTCCTCATTAAATGTTTTGTGAATCATGAAACAGTAGCTGAAAAGTATGTGACCAGCCATGAAATGTAGAAATTGGATCAAATGGGATGTGTTTGTTACAAACTGTAGATTATACTGGCTTTTGGCACTTGCTTTACGAGATATTTACTCACTTTACTGGAAAGTTTTTTTTTAAAGCTCTACTGAAAGGTTAATTTTCTTTTTTGGTAAAAAAAAAAAAAGGTCACGGTAGCCGAGTGGCAGGACGCTCGCTTCGTGATCGGGTGACCCGGGTTTGATTCTCGTTCGCCGCATCAAACCTAAGACGTAAACATAGGCAGGGACTGTTCCTTCGCCAAGCGCGAAAGTCAAAGATCGGGCGTTTGTACGATAAAGAACCTTCTCTGTTCAATGGCCTTCTCCAGCACGCTAGAGATTCATGGAGAGATACTTTTGACTTGGCGCCGCGAGGAATGTAAGGAGCGAAGGGACGTTAACCGAGGCTCTTGTAGGAGTACTCAATGGCCCCGAGTGCCAAGTGTAGGTCTAAATTTTAATCCCTTCACGGGTAAACGGTGACGTCTCTATATGAGTGAAAAATTCTCAAATGGGACGTTAAACATACAATCAATCAATCTTGATATAAATTATATTCTTAAAGCGCGTACGTCGTTGCTTTATAGACCAATTTCACTAACAATTACAAAGATTCACTCTACAAACTGCAAATCGCTTTATATTTGGTTCAACATTGACAATATCCATCATTTTACTTCCCATTTTTTGAATGTCCTAAATACTATATTTTCAGAAATGTCATTTTCATTTATTATTTCAATTCTAATTATTGTAGATATTTAAATGCTAATATCATTTCCACAGTATTTTTGTGTAAAATTCATATTAGCACATTATTGACAGGTTTTCTAGAAAGCAAAGTACCTTATACATAAAAATTATGAGATTCATTTTTTTTCTTTTTTGGTATAAGCATTCATATAAAAAGAGTTATGTCCAGTCAACTTTTGGGGTGAGATCTTGACAATACACCTTTTATATCTTTAAAAAAATTGGTTTCCACTGTGTACCTTATTGCAAATTCACATAAATGTGTTGCTAATTTTTGCCTAATAAAATCTTTTTTAAATTAGTAACCATGGCAAAAATGTTCGTCGAATTTTAATCAATTTTGATATGCAGAATTGATTTTGTCTGTTGTATGATGTTATTAAAATCAGACCAAAACTGATGAAGGAGTAGTATTTTGAAAGAAAAAAGTTTACAGATACACAAACAAAACAAAAAAAACGAACGGACATCTTAACATTGCCTAAGCTTTTTTACTGAACGGTCTTTGAAAACTTATTGTTGACATACATGGTATAAGTATCAAAACTTCATATACCGGTCACCAGGGACATAAATTAAACAAAACTGTAATTTCGTTTTCTTTCTAAACACTTTTTTCTGCTACACTGCATTTCTCGCCGATTTTTCTCCATTGTTTACTTCTCCACGTGCTCTAGTGCTAAAGAAAGCGCCAAGCATTTGGTGATAGGCATTCATAAAAAAAATTCTCAACAAGATTTTTAAAAAAAATGGTAAAAAAACAAAGCAAAAGTGAATTGATTGAAAAATGGCAAATGACATTTTGAAGGGTGAATTCTTTCTGGTCACAGAAACTTGATTCGGATGCTTGTGGATTATTAGACATCGTAACGTTACTGCATTGAGTCTTTTATTTTTTGTAAATCTCTTATTATATAGAGAGAACACGTTAGAATTCCTCAGGAATATTAACTCCTATGAGGAGAGATGTGCTCATCAGCTGACTGACTCGAGATTGTCACGCTTCACCGCATCTTCGCCGATCAAAGAGGGAGGTTCAAGACAATCATTTGTTTTCTTTTTAGCTCATCTGAGCTGAAAGCTCAAGTGAGCTTTTCTGATCACCCGTTTGTCCGTCGTCCATCCGTCTGTAAACTTTTCACATTTTCAACTTCTTCTCAAGAACCACTGGGGCAATTTTAACCAAACTTGGTACAAAGCATCCTTGGGTAAAGGAGAGTTTAAATTGTTAAAATAAAGGGCCAAGTCCCCTCCAAAGGGGAGATAATCAAGAAAATACAAAAACTGGGTGGGGTCATTAAAGGGTTTTTATCATGTCTCAAAATTTTTGGATATGACAAAGTTTACATGCTATTTAAATCATATATTTAAAAATCTTTGCTAGAAAATTAATATTTTTGATGTTTCAGTGATTCAAAGTTTGAATTTCTCAATATGCATATTTTGATCGCTGATGTTACGCGCCATTGCTCTGATGTCATAGGTGTCAATCCTGGTCAAGCGAAATACTTATTGTGTTTACAAAAGGGCTCATTTGTTGTATCTATTAAACCTGTTAGAAAATAATTAAGAGATAATTGGATAACTGACAGTTAGTAAGATATAATTTATGGCTTTAGGATGCACAAATGTGCACAAGAAAGATTTTAGGAAGAACTTTTTTTCCACATTCCAAGACTTGGTCGCGAGATGAAAGGGGGCATTTTTCTGCAAATGCGATGGTGTTTATTTCCATTCAGAACAATCGTTTATCGATCATATGATTTTTTTTCTGTTCTATACAATATTTTAAGGAAAGATACCTTTAAAAAAATATTATAAAATGAAAACACACATTTTTTAAAAGTCGCACAGAATCTAGTAGGAATATTATGAACTTTGTAATGGCGTAAGGCGCCATTGAAGAAGTGTCATTTCTAGTACATGATATTCACTTCTGGAACAGATAGAAGATATACAGGATTTATTTATATAAAATTAATTAAAATAATGATGAAGGAGAATTTAAAACTCCCATATTTATAAATGTTTACGGAATCCAAGTTTTACATTGAAATATATAGTAAAAATCTTCTTCTCTAGAACCACTGGGCCAGAAAAGCTTAAACTTATGTGGAAGCATTCTGGGGTAGTGTAGATTATAAATTGTTCAAATCATGACCCACAGGGGTAGGGCGGGGCCACAATAGGGAATCCAAGTTTTACATTGAAATATGTAAGAAAAATCTTTAAAAATCTTCTTCTCAAGAACCACTGGGCCAGAAAGGCTGAAAATTATGTGGAAGCATCCTGGGGTAGTGTAGATTCTAATTGTTCAAATCACGACCCCAGGGGGTAGGGCAGGGCCACAATAAGTACTACAAGGGGGAGGGAAAAATCAGGTGAAAAACAGCAAGGCCAAAGTTACTCAGGTGAGCGTTATGGCTCATGGGCCTCTTGTTTCTGAATTTGTACACATGTACATGACTTAAATTTGGAAAATGCATTTTGTGCATTTTTTAAGCTACGAAGTATTTTCTTTTAGAAATTTTATATCAATTTCAAACTTACTTTTGTACATTAGGATACAAACTTTCCAGTTGACCAAGATCCTTGAAATGTGTTGCAAAGAAGACAAAAGCCTGATTGGTAAAGAAAAAAAGGACATTTTAGCAGCAATTGCAAGTGTTTATTGTAATACACATGTAACATGTCAAGAATGCTGGCAAAAATTGCATAACATCAATCTCACTATCAAATTTAATTTTCTTATTTTGTACCTCATACTCAAAACTGAAATACTCAGCAGTGCATTCTAATTAAGAAGCATCACTAACAACTATAATAATTTTAAGAAGGATCTGAATTACTCTCACCAATTTTTATTAGTGTATGAAAATTAAAGAAAAAAAACTTTAACTGTAAAATAATGTAATAGTAAGAATAAAATCATAGGAAAGATCAAAATGAGAAAATATTGACACAAATAAATCTCTATCTCCAATATGTATCTTTGTATGAAGCTTGAATAGAAAATCTTCAACACTGAAGTGTAAGGTCATTAGAAGGTTAAGAACATAGGAAGGTTAAAGTCAAATTCCAAAAATTATGACCACAGGCACTTGGGGGCTGGACAACCCCCTCCCCCCTCATTTTTTTTTTATATCTGGGGACAACACACCTTTTTCCTATTTTGTACTCTAATATGCACTACCTGATATTGATTATGTAACCCTTTGTCTCAATAAGCTGTTTATAAATATATCGTTTTCAACTGATACATAAAAAGAGAGTATTATTGGAAAACAACATATTTAAAAACAGCATATTGAGACAAAGGGTTACATTATGGATATCAAGTAGTGCATATTAGAATACATAAATAGGGAAAAAGGTGTGTCGACCCCGATTTAAACAAGAGGCCCAAGGGCCTTAACAGTCACCTGAGTATAATGCAACAATTTACAGGATCCATAGAGTATAAAATGAATTGAAATGTGAAGCTTTGTTACCCAAAAGCAAGAAAAATAGGGTGATCAGGATCAACAAAATAATTAATCTAGTATTAATTAACAGTTCATAAATTAGGTTCTAATCTGTTCCCCATTTATCACTATCACCATACAGTATATTAACAAACTTATCAATAGAGCCCCCCCCCCCACTCCCCAAGCGAGAAACACCAGAGCCTCTCACCCTGGGACCAGAGGTTTGCCCACCATAAGTAATCACTTTGTTTATCTGCTTAACACTAAGAGCAGACAGGATTATTTAATAGAATTTAATAGAATTAATGCATTTTCACTATATTATCAAGAGCCCCACCCTTACACCAGCACATCTGACCCAGGGGTCATGCAATTCACTACTCTGGAAGAAGCATTCTTGCTCATCATAACTATACACTTAGCTTCTTTGCTTTTTAACCAGGAGAAGAAAAGAATATTTTCAAAGAAATTTTGCTTTTTCACTATATAATCAATAGAACCCCCCCCCCCCCTTTTTTTTACCAGAACCCTTGACCCTGGGGCCATGAAATTCACAATTTTTGAAGAGGCATCCTTGTGTATCATAACAATGTACTTAATTTGTTAAAATAATACCCAGGGGCAGAGAAGAAGATTATCAAATAAATAATTCACCTTCACTATAGGATCTATATAGCCCCACCCTAACACCAGAACCCCTGATCCTTGGGCCATGAATTTCACAATTTTGGAAGAGGCATCCTTGCTCATCATAACAATTTACTTAGTTTGTTTAAATAATACCCAGGAGCAGAGAAGAAGATTTTTAAACATAAATGCATTTTCACTCTATAATAAATAGAGCCCCGCCCTAACACCAGAACTCCTGATCCAGGGGCCATGAAATTCTTAATCTTGGAAGAGGCATCCTTGCTTATCATAACTATGTATTTAATTTGTTTAAATAATACTCAAGAGTAGAGAAGAAAATTTTCAAAGAAATAATAAAGATCTATATAGCCCCGCCCTAGCACCAGAACCCTTGATCCTGGGGCCATGAATTTCACAATTTTGGAAGAGGCACTCTTGCTTATCATAACTATGTATTTAATTTGTTTAAATAATACCCAGGAGTAGAGAAGAAGATTTTCAAAGAAATAATGCACTTTCACTATATGATCTATAAAGCCCGCCCTAGCACCAGAACCCTTGACTCTGGGGCTATGGATTTCACAATTTTGGTAGTCACTCTTGCTTATCATAACTATGTATTTAATTTGTTTCAATAATTCCCAGGAGTAGAGAAGAAGATTTTCAAAGAAATAATGCACTTTCACTATATGATCTACATAGCCCCGCCCTAGCACCAGAACCCCTGACCCCGGGGCCATGAGCTTCACAATTTTGGCAGAGTCATTCTTGCTTATCATAAATATATATTTAATTTGTTTAAATAATACCCAGGAGTAGAGAAGAAGATTTTCAAAGAAATAATGCATTTTCACTATATGACCTATATAGCCCCACCCTAGCACCAGAACCCCTGACCCTGGGACTATGAATTTCACAGTTTTGGTAGAGTCACTCTTGTTTATCATAACTATGTACATGTATTTAATTTGTTTAAATAATACCCAAGAGTAGAGAAGAAGATTTTCAAAGAAATAATGCATTTTCACTATATGATCTATATAGCCCCACCCTAGCACCAGAACCCCTGACCCTGGGGCCATGAATTTCACAATTTTGGTAGTATCACCCTTGCTTATCATAACTATGTATTCAATTTGTTTCAATAATACCCAGGAGCAGAGAAGAAGATTTTCAAAGAAATAATGCACTTTCACTATATGATCTATATAGCCCCACCCTAGCACCAGAACCCCTAACCCTGGGGCCATGAATTTCACAATTTTGGTAGAGGGCTCAATGCTTATTACAATCATGCCAACAGTTTGACTGCTTGATGTCCAGGAGTAAAGAAGAAGATTTTTAAAGATAGCACTAATTTTGATGGTTTTAGCCCCACCCCCAGGACCCAGGGGGGCAGGGACCATGAAATTCACAATTTTTGTACCCTTTCACCCATTGATGCTATATGCCAAAATTGGTTGAAATTGGTTCAGTGGTTCAAGAGAAGAAGCTGAAAATGTTCAAAAGTTTACGACCGACGGACGATGGACGACGACGGACGAAAACAGATAGCAATAGGTCACCTGAGTGACTCAGGTGACCTAAAAAGAATAAAAAAAAGAAAGGGGGTCCAGCCCCCAAGTGCCTGTGATTATGACAGTTGAATTGCTCTCTCTCTCTCTCTCTCCAATTTGTATCAATTTATGAAGTTTGATGAAACATCTGAAACAATTCCTTTGAAACTAGCAAATGGAATTAAAACAAGAGGCCCAGGGGCCACATCGCTCACCTGAGCACCTTGGCTAGCACCTTTGGCTATCCTATGTAAAACTTTGATCGCCCGTTGTGGCCCCACCCTACCCCCGGGTGTCATGATTTTAACAAACTTGAATCTTCATTACCTGAGGATGATTCCAAGTAAGTTTCATATTTTCTAGCACAGTGGTTCTTGAGAACAAGATTTTTGAAAGAGGTCATTATTTTTTCATGAATTCAAAATTATCTCCCCTTGGTAGAAGGTGTGGCCAAGTGTTTGAACAAACCTGAATCCCCTTTACATAAGGATATTTTGTGGCAAGTTTAGTTGAAATTGGCCCAGTGGTTCTTGAGAAGAAGTCAAAAATGTGAAAAAGTTTACAGACAGACGGACAGACAGATGGTCGCCGGACAAAATGTGATCAGGAAAGCTCACTTGAGCCTTCGGCTCCGGTTAGCTAAAACCAACAAAATTGAGATTTCACCAAAAAAAAACTTACTTTAAATCTGAGGAGATATTCACAGACAGCATGACAAATCCCAACACCTTCCTCTTGGCTAGTTCCTGTAATTTACTAAAAGTTTAAAGTGTGCTTCAAAGCAATACTGAATGTACAGATTGAACACTTGATCTCATTAGCCATCACATGCTCCATTGATGCCGTGTTTTGCAAACCAAAATTCTGACACTCTTAAACTATTTCAAGATGTTCTTTCACTAAAGGAAGTGTATTGTTTAATATAATTAATATTTTGCTCATAATTTTAATGACCATGCATGATCATTATCCAATCATATTTACTGATCAAAAGCTTTGTTCTAGGCCTGAAGAGGCTTGCTCTATTACATTTTAATTAAAAATAAATCAATAACAAGAGGCCCATGGGCCACAATGCTTACCTAAGTGAGTATGGCCATGCTGTTCTTCATCAGCAGTTTTTTTTCTACCCATTATTATATATTCATACAGTGTATGTAAAACACTGATCACTGTTGCGATTCCACCCTATCCCTAGGTGTCATGATTTGAACAAACTTGAATCTACACTGAGGATGCTTTCATATTCATAATCATGGCTTTGCTGGTCTTTGAGGAGAACATTTTTTAAATATTTTTTCCTATAAATTCCTAAGTAAACTTTGATCCCCTGTTGTGGCCTTACCTTACCCCAAGGGGTCAAGATTCAGACAAACTCGAATCTACACTTCCTGAGAATGCTTCCATATCAATTTGACTTATGGCTTTGCTGTTCTTGAGAAGAATATTTATAAAGATTTTTCCCTATAAATTCCTACATATCAAAACTTTGATCCCCCTTGAGGCCCCATCCTACCCCTGGGGATCAATATTTAAAAAATCAAATTCCATAACAAAATGACTAATCATGGCTCTGCTGTTCTTGAGAAGATTTTTTCCTATATAATGCTATGCAAAACTTTGATTCCCCATTGTGGCCCCAACCCAACCCCAGGGGGCTCATGATTTGAACAAACTTTAATCTACACTCTCTGAGGATGCTTCCATAATGTGCCAATCATGGCACTGCTGATTTTTTTTCCTCTATATATTCCTATGTAAAATTTGATCCCCCTTGTGGCTCTACCCTACCTCTGGGGGTCATGATTTCAACAAACTTGAATCTACACTAAGTCATGAAGCTTTCACATAAGTTTCAACTTTTCTGGCACAGTGGTTCTTAAGAAGAAGAAATGATGCCAATAAATTTTCACTAATTCTAAATTACCTCCCTTGAAAGAGGACATGGCCCTTCATTTGAAAAAATTTGAATCCCCTTCACCCAAGGATGCTTTGTCGCAAGTCTGGTTGAAATTGGCTTGGTGGTTCTGGAGAAGAAGTCAAAAATGTGAAAAGTTCACAGACGGATGGACAGACAGAGAGACAATGGACAAATGTTATCAGAAAAACTCACTTGAGCCTTCAGCTCAAGTGAGCTAAAAACTTACAAATAGTATTACACTACTTGTTTTGAATTAACATGTCATTAATATAATTCATCCATTGCTTTATTAAAAACCATAAGCTCTTCTAACAAGGTAGGTAAAATTCCCAGTAAAACATGAATATTGCAATGATATATGGTAAATATATATACATGTATATACCCAACAACTTAAAAATTTTAATACTATACCAATCACAAATACAAAATATTAATATTTATCAATCATTTAATATTGTATTTCACAAACCTCTTCCCAGTTCATCCATTATGATAAGAGATCTGTGACTGACATTTTGAATGATGTAGTTTACTTCTTTCATCTGTATAAGGAAGGATATAAGAGTATGTACATGAATTATTATTGGTTTTCAGATGTTGTCAAAATGATAGCATGTAGTTTCTTAGCACATATCAATATTTCCTAAATTATATACAAGAGGCCCAAGAGCCTTAACAGTAACCTGAGTACAGTAAAACACACTTGTAGCGAAGTACCAGGGAATACCTATATAACAAATCCTACTTTAGGCCCCCCAAAAAATTAATCAATTATTATAGTTTCTCAGGCACCACCACATCAGGTCAAAAACTGGCACATTGATCAATTTTTTTGACATATTGAAAATGGAAACAATTCAATTTTCTGTTTTTCCAAGTTGAAAAAGAAAACTGAGTTATTTCCCTTTTCATACATGCTAATAGATGGACGTTTTTATTAGATAAATAAAATTAATACGGTATTTTATAAATTAACTTTTAAACAGATGTTTGCAATAACATTATTTAAAGTTGAATACATGTTATAATTAATATAAGAGGACAAAAAAGTAAAAATCAGTTGATATCATTTTGTTGAATGACTGACATGAAAAAAAGGTATTTAACACCTAGCTGTTTCAAGTATATTCATCTATAAGAAATCCAAGTATGTTTAATTTTAATGTACTGAAGAATAAAATGGGGGAAAAACAGCCGTGTTTTTCAATCGCAGAAATATCCCCTGGGGTACAAGTATCAAGTCAAACCTGGTACAAATTTTACTTGCAAGACCATTTTACAGTTTACCAACACTCACAATTGTTTAATAAGGTATTACATCGTTCCACTTATTCCCTCGCTCAGTAAGCTCAACCTTTTTGCCCATTTTCTTTCTTAGTTCCACGTTATCGGCAATACATTTGAGAATGTGGGCGGACCTATCAAAAATGCCTCAATCAGATTCCTTGTCGGATTTTGCAATTGTATGTCAGTCAGATTCAATTGTATTTCAGTCAGATTCAACAGTGCCGTCACTCAATGCATCACTAGTTCGGTCGTAGTGTATACTTTCAAGCAAGATTTGAGATAAATTTTATTCCCAGTACAAATTATTCTTAAGAATTGGAATATACAGTTTCTGCTCCTAAGTTGTCACATTTAGAGTTCCATCACAATTAATGTACACAAATTTATACACAATGCAAAGAGGACATATGACAGCAATCTAAATTTGTAATAACTGGGAATAGCTAACCATTTTGGTCTCCATGGCATTTCTTACTACAATCAAGATGAGCAGAAAATTTGTTTTATTTATTAAATTAATGAGTACAAACTTGCTCAGATTTCTCAAAATTTCCTTTTGAGGGCAGAAAATGGCCATTTTTGCATAGAATTTCAGTTAAAATTGGTAGAGCAGTTTGACAGATGCTGCAATTGTTAAAAAGTGATGGATATGACATGTAATTATGGATATATAACCACTGAGAATGATAACCTCAGGTGATCTACACAGATATGATTATTAATACCTCTAACATGAAAGTAGATGAGTTGGACTCTATATCATCATCACTGCCAATCCTGGAGAAGATCTGATCTGTGATTCTGAATGAGGCATACTCTGCAGGAACAAAACATCCTATCTGGGCCATGATTTGTAACAACACTATCTGTCTCAGGTAGGTGCTCTTACCACTCTATAATAAAATCTAATTATTTTAATCAACATTTCACCTGTTCTAAACTAGAGGCAAATTTCTAAGTATATAGATGCTAAGCTAAAGTTTATTACATGTATGTATAAAACAACCTCAGTGAAATCTGCCTATATGTGGTCAAGAATTATTCTGAAATAATTGCAGTAATTTTTCTCACCATGTTTGCACCAGTGATGATATTGAAATTGCTGTCTTCAGTGGCATACTGTTAAGAAATTAATGGCAAAATGCATGAATTAAAGGAAAGGAAGACCTGATGGCAGATAAGTTTATTCTTTCTCTTTACTTGGTGAATACTGTTCTCCTTACTGTATTATTGGGGATAGGCATATCAGTGCTGATTTTTTCCAGGATCGGATGTCTTCCCTGCTTTATGGCCAGTGTATCTTTTGTAAAATCAGGCTTTACTGAAATTAAAAAGATATTCATTATTCATCAACTTGAGTATTTCCACAGAAATAAATAATTCTTGGCAATTACTAAAGCTCTCATGACGTTTTTTCCATTTGAATTTCTGTACCATAACTGGACAAAGTACAAGCATGAGCAAAGCTCTGCAACATGTCAATCATAGCCACGGCCTCCGACAGTTTGTACAGACAGCCAAAGTGGTTCCTCAGATCTCCTAAAAGCTCTGTCACTACTCTGTAAAATACAAATAAATGTCAGGAAAAAAGTATTCAGAAACATGCATTTCCAAGGTGCTAGCTTTCAGTATAAATTTTATTGTAAATCAATAAATGTACTGTAAATCAACTTTTGTGTGCATGTGAGAAATTTCCACGAGATTCATAACCTTGCTTTACTCATGTAAACTTCTCGCTGCAAACTAATTATTTCACTGTTTATTTAAAAAGAATATTTCCTCTTTCACAAAAATAAGTCATTGCAGATAGATTTCAAACTGATGAATAAAAGTTGTTGCGAATAATAGTTAGTACTAACTCACATGTTGGTCACCAGGTATATTTCATCCAAAGCCTCTTTTGCCCTGTCTGATCAAAGTATAGTTATTTCTGTGAATTTTTATAATTTGAATTATCTGAGATTTTTTCATATCAATATGTTTGAAGCATTATAGACAGCTGGAAACTTCCTCTCATTAATAAAAAAAGTGAATGATATTAAACTACAGTTGAACTTCGATATCTCGAACACCTATATCTCAAATACCATGGATATGTTGAAATGAGTTGGAAGTCCAAATTAACTTCTCTTTTTCTACATATTTTAAACTTGATATTTCAAATCCTTGGATATCTCTCAATTTTTTTTCTTGGTCCCATCAAGTTCGAGATAACAAGGTTTGACTGTATAATTAAAGCATACAGAACCCAGTAGTAATTAAAACATGCATACATTTAAACTGTTAAATTCATTTTTAAACAATCTTACTATTCAATCGAATCTGAAATGCAAATTAAGATAATGGTGAAGCATCAAAGGGATACTACCTGGTATAATAAACCTATTTATGTAAAATCAGTGCAGATTACAAGTCCAATAAAACCAAATAATGCTATTTCTATCTTTTTTTCATACAATAAAGAAGTCATGTAAAAAGAAAAAATTCTTTTAACCTAAATATTCTCACAATCTATATTCTTTAAAGAAACGCACATTAATTTAGTAATTCGGCAAATAAAATTAAGGAATATTGTGATTTTATACTTTGAGTTTATGGAAATTATTTGGTCACAAACTGAAGTTATTGATTATCAGAATTAATTCATAACAATAAATTCCAATCAATTTTAGCATTGAAATTAATAAAAGAATTTACCAGTTCTGTGGTGGTAAAACACAGTGTGTTTTTGGCTTTTGTAACTTTGATAAATATCTCAGGAAGACTCTCCTTGCTGTAGTTATGTTTTGGACCACAATTAAGCTGCAGAAAAAAGCCTCTAGTGGAGTTATATGAGGTCACTATTGGTAAATTGTATTCTTCTGCCCACTGGTTAGCCAATGCTGCAATGCAAACAAGAGACCCATGGGCTGGCACCGTGCTCAGCAAAGTCATCTAATATTTTCAAGAAATAAATAATTATGTTTAGATACATGTAAATGAAACCCCTTCTCGAAGACATCAACTGCACTTAAACTAGATGTGCCGTAATGCCACCAATGCCCCAGCAGGCAGCCAAAATTTCAAGTTGTAAATTTCACATTTGTGGCCGAGATGATTAGAAATTGTGAATTTTTAAATCTATTCCAAGTTCAAGGGTGATAACTGTCAAAAATTATCTGACAAGGACCAAACTTAAACTTGATTTTCTGGTAAAATACTTCCATATATGCAATTTCAACCTTATACATAAATCCCTTTTAAAGTTAGAGAGTGGAAACTGAAAATTTCTTATTTTTTTCTAACTTCAGGAGGGATAACTCTATCAAAAATCATCTGACAAAGATTAAATTCAATCTTGACCTGTATTTTCTGGTAAAATACCTGCATATGCAATTTCAATCTTATACGTACGAGGGTTGTCTGTAAAGTTCGTGGACAAGCTAAAATTTATTTAAAAGTTGCGTCATAGATATTTATTATTAGCATATTTATAATCCTTTACTATATGTGAATTACAAAATGAAAAAATTTTATTCAATTTTAAGGGTATAATTACAATTATTACTCCATTATTAGACTTGGGGTGGTGATCCCGAGCACAACAAAGTTTTAATTAAAAAGTTATTTATCACTTTATACATTTCATTTGTATTTTGTAAAATCCGCGGAAATTTGGATGGCTTTTACATTAGAAGGTTGATAAAAGTTATAACGTCAAACCTGTAAAATTTGAACGTTCAAAGTTTCGAAATGGCAGAGAAATCGAGGTCAGAGTTTATTAAGACAGGATCGTCATTGTTCGAAAAAGGAACGTTTTCGGAAAAGGTGGAGCAGAGAGTAGTGATAAAATTTTGTGTAGACATCGGAAAAACACCAACAGAGATCCATAAATTCCTTAAACAGTCGGGAAATCATGGTAAAGTAATCTATTCTTTAGTGTTTAAGTGGCACAGAAGATATTCGGACGAAAGAGACAGTTTACTAGATGACATGCGTGAAGGAAGACCATCTTTCCGAGATTGTAGTGCTGTAAAAAATGAAGTTCGTAACGTGACTTTGCCGTATTTCCGTACATGAAGTCGTTTTACAAGGATAGAGGTTTGATGATTTGCAGGATCTGAGATAGGAAGTGTGTTCAATATTATTTCACGTATGAAATCAGAACAGTTTGTGCACATTTTTGATAACTGGTTGAAGCGACATAAGAAATGTGTTGAGTTAAACGGTGACTACATTAAGAAAACTTAAATGTATTTAGCTTTTGACGTCGAGTAACGTCAAGGATTTTTGTTTCAGTGCTCCGGGTATGAGTGTGTATCTTTTTTGTATCTGATAAAATATAACTATTTGTGCTTTGTTTGTGATTAAAACTTGCATATTAATAAACTGAAACATGAATTTAATGAAAATAATAATTTCATGTATTTTATCAATGTTTGTCAATAATTATAAATGTTGTCCACAAACTTTACGGACAACCCTCGTACATCCCTTCAAAAGTTAGAGAGCAGAAACTGAAAATTTCATATATTTCTTTAAGTTCAAGAGGGATAACTTTGTCACAAATTATTGGATGAAGACCAAATTCAAACTTCACCTGTATTTTTCTATTAAAATACCTGTACATGCAATTTCAACCTTATACATACATCCCTTCTAAAGTTAGAGAGCGGAAACTGAAAATTTCTTAATTTTTTCTAAGTTCAAGGACCATCACTGTAGCTCAGTCGGTAGAGCGCTTGCTCTGTGATCAGAAGGTTGTGTGTTTGAATCACGGCCAGGACTGACCTAAAACGATAAAAAATAGGGAGCAACTGTTCCTTCACCAAGCACTCGGCACTTTGAAGTGAAAGTTGTGGGTTCTTCAGATGAGACCATAAAAACTGAGGTCCCGTGTCACAGCAAGCGTTGGCACGATAAAGAACCCTCACTGCTCAATGACCCTGAGTGCCGAGTAAAGGTCTAAATTTAAAGCCCTTCACCGGTATATGATGACTCTATATGAGTGAAAAATTCTCGAACAGGATGTAAAACAACATACTAGTACAATCAATCGATCTAAGTTCAAGAGGGATAATTTTGTTAAATTCATTGCACCACGACCAAATTCAAACTTGAACTGTATTTTCGATAAAATACCTGCACATGCAATTTTAACCTTATACATACATCCCTACAAATGTTAGAGAGCGGAAACTGAAAATTTCTTTTTTTTTTCTAAGTTCAAGAGAGATAATTCTGTCAAAAATCATGGGACCAAATTCGAAGTTGGACTGTGTATTCCTATGACCTATCCATATATGTCAAATCTGAGATGAATGTGTGCAGCTGTTGAGATTGGCATGTTTAGTATTTTCCGCTATGTCATGCTGTCCCAGTCAGATGACCAAATGTGCCTCTAATTTGAAGAGTTCCAGTAATGGAAATTGAATTTGGCACTTCTTTTCTTGAAAAAAATTTCAAAAAAAGTTTTGCCCTACATATTTTTTATGTAAAACCCTCTCCTGTTGATGTGCCCAAGCCTCAGGGGCCATGAATAAATAGAATTTAATTACATTTGGATGCTTTTATATATTCAATTGCTAAAATTGGCCTCCTAGAAGACTTTCTAAGATTTATCCTATATATTCCTTTGTCCAGCTTCGACCCCCCTATTGTGATCCCCATGTTTAGGCAGACAACAAGACAGTCGGACAAACTGGTACATGTATCAGAAATGCTTACTTTAGCTTTGGCTCAAGTGAGCTAAACATGAAAAAAAAAAAATATGCAAGGCCAAATACCATATAAGAAAAGCATTTTCTTGACACAAGAACAAATGACCTTTAGACTGTGATATTATGCTGGGAACCCAAAGCAATGGTCACCTGACTCATGTGACCTAAACAACATGGGACACAGTTATTTTCTGATTGCTTACACTAACTGTTTCATACATTTGAATCTGTATTTAGACTTACTGTTGATGTCCTCTATTATACCGCCATATGTTCCTCTTCCAATATCAAGTAAGCCTACAACAAATTTAATCAATACAAGATGCAAATGGGCCTAAAGGTCATGTGGGCATCATACGTTTTTTAGGCTACGAGCACTTTGGGGCCAGAACTAGTCTGCACTTATGTGGAATATTATTTTTCAATCTGATAAAGACCCTATAACCATCTTTATATTCATGCAACTTGTACCCTTGAAGTTCCTATAAAATTGACCTGGGGACCATGAATTTCAAAATTTTGGCATATATAGGTCTAAATGTTCATCATAATCATGTTTACAATTTCCTATTAAATGTCCATGAGTAGAGAAAAACATTTCAAAACATTTAAAATACTGTAATTTCAATATATATTACCAACTAAGCCCCAATATAGGGCCTAACCATGGACCCAGGGGTATAAATGTCACAATTTCGGTAAAAGGTTGAGTATACTCATTAGAATGATGCAAAGTTTGCCTGCTAGATGCCCATAAGTAAAGGGTATTTTGTTTTAAAGACATAATACATTTTCAACATATGATCAACATAGCCTTGCCCTGGAGTCTGAAATTTGAACCCAGGTGCTGGCCATGAATTTCACAATTTTTGGTAAAAGACTCATTCCTCATTATATTCATGATAACAATTTGACTCTTGATGTCCTAGCTAGAGCACAAAAAAGGATTTTTAAAGATTCTATAAATTTTGTTGTTTTGATCCCTCCCTCAGACCCAAGGGAGATCCATAGTTTTTTGAATTTTTGACCTTGAGAATAAGCTGAAAAAATGTTCAAAGGTTTACGACTGTGCACAACCAATGACAAATGACTTACAACGCAAGACAACGGATGAAAACAGATCACACAGGATCACCTGAGCGATTCAGATGACCTAGTTAAAGTATACAGTCATAATTTTTGGAATAACCAGATAAAAGAAGACTTTTGTGGCAAACCACATTTATATTTCTGTTGAAGTCAATTCCATTTAACCTTTGACTTTTTAATATCAATTGAAAATGAAGTAAGTACATGTATTACAACCCTTACCATTAATACTTCCCTAAAAAACAAAACAAATATATTTTTAGGTTTTCAAGTTCCTGAAATTATTCAAAATATAAGGCAAACACAGCATTAATTAATAAGATAGAATGAAAACTCACCTTAACTGCAAAACACTTTTGAGTGCGCATGTGCAGCATTCCTTTTTGATACTTGGTATCATCATGAATTATGCTAGCGATTCTGGCTTTCATCAGTGCATATCTACCATCTTCCAGTGACTGAAAGTTATCAAAACCTCAGTAAATTAAATTATTTACATTAATTTATGGATTTTATGTAAAGAAAGAATTTTTCAATGTTTCATCAATTGCACTGCATACAATGGAGGAAATGCATCCAGTCTTTACAGCTTCTGAAAACAAATGTCATATTGGATGAAAGAACACCTCAAAAAAGACCAATGATTCACTGTTTAACAAAATTAAGTACCTTGTTTCATCAGGTGGTTTTACAAGATGAAATACCTTATATAAATGTTTCATTAGGCATATGTACAAGATAAAATACCTGGTAAAAGTGTTCATCAGGTGGTTTTACAAAAGATGAAATACCTTGAAAATTTAAATGTTTTATCAGCAGGTTTACAAGATGAAATAAGTTGTAAAAATGTTTCATCAGACAGTTTTACAAGATTAAATACCTTGTAAAAGTGTTTCATCAAGCGGTTTTCACAGTTGGAAAGTGCATTCCTTAGTGGGTCTACCAGTTCTAGAATGTGTTTGAGGAGAATAAGGTTGTTAATGTTAGCCTCTGCAGTTTTCAGTGTCTCCTTTTTTGGGATCTGTACACACACTGAGAGGATGTGGTCAACATCCAGGAATCTGGCAATCACAGTCTGAATGTTATCAAACACATCCTCCTTCTCTGAATCACAACAATGAAGCATCATTTAACAACTACATTAAATAAGCAAATAACTACTTGCATAATCATTACATTAAAGTTCCAATTTCTTTATTAAAAAATACTAATAGAATACACCTTTAATTCATTTTCACAAAGTTTGAATATTCCTACTATCAGTAAGTCTCTTGAAAATTAACCTGTTGACTAAAATTATGTGTTGGCATCAAAACTGTAATTTATTACATGTAGTAATATATTGAATACTGGGTTAAGAAAAACTTTGAACCTGTGAGTTCTGAGACCACCTCTTGTCTCATGGCTATGGTTCCCTTGTCACAAGGAGGCTGTAAGATGTTGGCTCTCAGTAACCGGGCTCCACCAACTGTCTTTGTGTAGTTCAACACTCCATATAATGTATGCTCACTCTTAGGATCCCTTATGTTCTGTAACAGTTCAAGGTTCACAGCTGTGGTAGCATCTGTAGTCAAACAAAGAGAGAAAATAGTCTACCAACATGTTATGTAAGAAATGGTGTACACAAGAAAAACAAAGTTATGACAAGTTGCTAAGACAGCTAAACTTGTTTCAAATACTATGTAATTTGTAATACTTAATGAAGTTAGTTTGTTCCAAGGAATGCATGTTATCTGCTAATCATTAAAAAATATAAACAAAGCTCAATTTAGTGCTGTCAACTACTTATTTTCATGAGTATTATAGTTCATGCCTACGCCTGCAAAGAAAAAACAAAATGTGTTTAGAAAACACTGACGCTCCTTAGAGCAGCTCATGGCTAAAGTTTAGAGGTTAAAACTTTTCAAATGTAGATCAAACTCCAAGGTCAAGATCAAGAGGAAACAATGAAAGGTCTTGTCACAAGGAATACACATGAAATATGAAAGCTAGAATGACCAATTGTTCAAAACAGATGTGTTTTAAATGTTGGTAAAAATCTAAGGTCATGAGGTAAAAATGTTGGTACCAAAAGAAAGGCCTTGTCACATGAAATACATGTGAAATTTAAAAGTCCAAGCACTAACTTTTCAAATGTTATGCCACAGGTTAAACTTTTTGATTACACACAGCCAAAAAGACAGAAAAACACCAAAAAAATATAAGGGGGCATAAAAACATCCATGGATAGTAAGACTGCCATAGAATAGTATGTGTCATAAAATGTGACAATCAAATAGATATATGATTCCTTAACCCTCAAAACTATAATGAATAATCAAAAGTTATTAGAAATTATTATTGATTAATTTTTTCGTATGTGTTTATAATTCAGCACTGCCTCAGATCTAAAACCCATAGAAGATTTCAGTCTGACTTTGTCTTTACTGGAATTGTCAGCCCACAACTTTATTGGAACACTGATCCTAATTTATTTCCTACAAGTAAGTGAATCATTTAAATTTCAGTTTACCGGTATGTGGTTAATGTATATAATAGAGTTTGAAAGTACAGTGTCATGAGGTCATAAACATGTAATATATAGTAATCAAACCCAATCCCATCAAAATTCAAAAGACTATTAAGTACATCGTTCAGAGTATTCTTGAAAAGTAGGTCAAAGGTCAAGTTCATTTCAACTGTAACACTGGTATTTTTTAAAATATCTTATGACAAACAGTGCACATGATACATAGCAAAGACTTTCCACTCAAAGAAGATGCTGAATATTGGCACTGTGATCAATTTTGCGAAGTAGGTCAAAGGTCAAGTTTAAAGGTCATGAGGTTCCTAACCACAGTATTTTACAAAAGCTGTTGTGCCAAGCACAACATGAGCAAAATATCAAATCCTTGATTCTTAAAGTTCTCAAGAAACAGCGTGTGAGAGAAAGATGGACAGACAGATGCCGCTGCTCTGCAGGTGATACAAAAATGATTTGTTACAAGCAGGAATTTAACATCGGATTCCTACAAAAATGATTCCCACCATATGGCATGCCTAAACAAAGACTGTGCTAAAATTTCAAGCATCTGCGATGAGTAGTTGCTGAGAAAACTGTGACAGAAATTTGTAACGGACAGACAGACAGCTACACACAAAGACAGACAGACACACAAGGGTAAAACAGTATACGTCCCCCTCTCCTAATAGCTTATTTAGGTTTTTATTGAGGCCAATGGGTACTAAATTATTAAATAAATAAATTCAATTTTTTGTGAAAATAGACACATCTTACCTAGCTGCCACTACTCTTCTTATATATAGCCATTGGGAGGTACCAGATGACATTTTTTATTTTATTATTTTTTTTAATATTGAACGCTCATATTCGGAATGTTTTGGGACATACTTGTATACGTAATGCAAATTTAGCATTCAATAAAACGCCAAGATATTGGATGGTCAAGTTTTCTAAACTTTATGCAGGTTTTTATTATAGACTATTTATTTGCTATAAAATAAATATTACTGATGTCTTTAAAAAGACTTTTGTGTATATGAAAAGAGCCTATGTAAGAAAATAAAACCTATCAATATGTATATGACAATGTGCATTTTGATGTGATTAATTGATTAATCGGTCTATATGTTGCAGTTAACTGACTGGCAATTTGTTATTCCTAGCTTTTACATTATCTTTTTCAGCTCAACTTAGTCACAAGTGCAAGAAGATTGATTCAAGTACATGTATAATCAAATAAAGGACCAAACCCTCTTTCAAATAGATATTTATACATATAATTAAATAAAGCAAAAAAATGCGCTTATTAGAATTTCTTCCCTATTTTTCTGAGAGATAATGTTACATACACAGGTGCAAGTTGAGGACTTTATGCCTCAGATTGATCAAATGAAAAGTTCATAAAATGTTACTGATCAAAATACCCTACACAATCTTACACTTCAGAAACTGTGTTCAAAAGTATTTAGCTCATGAAATATTTAAATTTGCAAGAACTGTCTCTTATTAAAACAGATCCTAAACAGAAATCTACATTAGGCTCTTACCTAGTATACAAAACAGTCACAAAAATTACCTATCATAGTTGTATTTTCACATCCACTGAAAGTGACATTGATAGATGCTGGAGCTAGTATCATATTCTGCGTAAATTCCACATACTTAACAAGAGCTGCCGCTGCTGCCAAGCAGTAGTACCTGTTTCAAAAAACAAAGTCTTATGGTACATGTCCGTGTAAACATCTGTAGCATTAATTCTTATTTCTATAAAAGTACATGCTTTTCTTAATAAGTGCTTACTTGCTTGTTAACTCCATTACAACTGAATTAAAATCAGATACACACAGCTGTTTCACACATTGTAGACCTGAAAGAAGAATATTTATAAATCATATCGCAAACGAAATGTTCTGAACAAAATTGTCAATTTGGAAATCAAAAGGTGTATATATGTACAAACATGTACATGAATGAAAACGATATTATGTATGCAATCTGCTTTACCCTTGGTCTCATTGAAGTATTTTCTCTGAACTGTTGAGACATTAGAGTTCTGGAATTGGTGACTCACTAGCTTAAACAGCTTGGTCATGGCTCCATTGTCACAAGCAGTATTTGGCATTATTATCTAGTAGATCCATGTATAAGTTAAATTTATCAAGTAAGCATCTAATGAGATTACACATAAACTGAATCCTTTAAAACAATGAAGTTATCAGACCTGCCTATCCCAAACAATGTAATCTGTAGTTTTAGATAAATTTGTCTCAAGATTACACTGCAGCAGATTGATTCTACTTTCAACACAGAAAATACAAGTGTATTCACATAAGACAGACACTTATTGATGTACTCAGAGGACATGCCTTAATGTGATATTCAACATTGACATGATGGCACTGGTCAATTTCAATATTTCCTTTGCTACCCTGTTTGTTAATTTCAGCTTTGACATTTTTGTGAATGCCTGTTCATTGGACAGCTGCCTGTGATATAGTTTGAATGTATGACAATTTTGTATCAAAAAATTGGAAAAATTATGGGTTAATCTGTAATTTCATAATTTTAGTAAATGGACCTGATTTTTGTACTTATCAATAGAAGATATGAAATTAATCAAATCTACATCATTCTTCAATGTACACAATAAATATCCTGTAAATCACTGTCTCTATGAACTTTTCTAACAACCCTTGTAAGATTTGCTTTAGTTTATTAATTGCATTCTACTCTTCCCTACTGTTACAAACAATAGTTTAATTAGAATTGACCTTTACCTCTAGAGGTTGACATCTGTGCAGCTTGGTTATTGTCTGTACATATGTCTGAGTATCTGAAAACTGAGATAAATTCAGTGTTGGGGATCTCAGATCAATGCTGGCAAATCCTATCTCTCCCCTTGCCATACCACGCCCCTCTACAAGTGCTGAAAAAGAAAAGAGACTTGAACACTCATACTGCTTTATTTCTAAATACGGTTTTGAAATGTGTAACTGCTGTTACCTAATGCCCTGAACCATTTACTACAACTTTACTTTTACCTTTAACTTGTTTAAGTGTCAACTTTAAGAAACAAAAGGCCCAGTCACTATGGTCCTGCTGTACTTCAGCAGCAGATTTTTTCACTATATATTCCTGTGTAAAACTTTGATAGCATATTATGGCCCCTCCCTACCCCAGGAGTCATAATTTGAACAAAGAACTATATATGGTTTCCCTCATATTTTGCCCCCGTAATTGTTAAAATTTAAATGCCAAATAACCTAAATAAAATCGATATTGTTTGAAAGAAAAGATTTTATATTTTTCTTTTATAATAATTGTAATATTGAAATTCAAAGAAATAATCCATTTTCACTATTAATAGATTCAATATAGCCCCACCCTTATACCAGAACCCCTAACCCAGGGGACAAGGTATTCAAAGTTTTGAATGATGAGCACCTTTGCTCACCAAAACCATGCACTTAGTATCTTTCCTTAATAAAAACAATGGGCAGAGAAAAAAGATTTTCAAAAAAATACATTATATTAAATATATAATAGAAATGCATTTCTATTATATATTCAAAAGAACCTCACCTTACACCAAAACCCTGATCCCAGGGTTATGAATTTCAAACTTTTGAAAAGACATCCTTACTCATCATAACCATACAATTAGTTTTTCTCTTAAATACCCAGGGGCAGAGAAGAAGATTTTCAAAAAAAAAAAAGACCCTAGGGCCACAAATTTCACAATTTTGGAAGAGGCATCCTTGCTCATCATATCTATATACGTGTGATCAGAAAAGCTCACTTGAGTTTTCAGCTCAGGTGAGCTAAACAAGAGGCCCAAGGGCCTTAACGGTCACCTGAGTATGATACAATAATTTAAAGGATGCATAGAGTATAAAATGAACTGAAAGGTGAAACTTTGTTGCCCAAAAGAAAAAAAAATAGGGTGATCATGATCAACAAAATAATTGGTCTTAATATTCATTAACAGTTCATAAATTAGGTTCTAATCTGTTCCCCATTTATCACTATCACCATACAGTATCATTTATCACTATCACCATACAGTATATTAACAAATTATCAATGCTTCTGTACTATTTTAATCCCTTGTTGAAATCTCTTACATTGGCCTCTCTTGGTCTTTGTTGAACATTTAATAAGACAAGTTATTTTTGTCTCATTTTTATTTATCTACTACTTACAAGTCTATCTGATCATTAAAACAATGAAAGTACTTTTTGTATTATACAATAAAAGTTTTTGCATAATTCTCTTATTCTATTTACCTTTCAAGTACATTATTTACAGTGATAAATTATCAAAAGTAAATGGCAAAGGGGAAAAACTCCTCTCAGTAGAATACAAACTAATAGAGCCCTGGCCAGGACCAGAACACTTGACCAAATGGTCCAGATGTTCAAAAATCTGGTAAAAATTCCCTTCCTTATAAAATTTTTTTACTCTATTTGCCTCAGATATGCCCAGGTGCGGAGAAGATTTTTAAAGAAATAATGCATTTTTACTACAGATTCACTATATTATCAATAGAGCCCCCCCCCCCCCCCCCAAAAAAAAAAAAAAACACCAGAGCTTCTGACCCTGGGACCATAAGTTTGCTCATCATAACTAATCACTTTGTTTATCTGCTTAACACTAAGGAGCAAACAGGATTATTTAATAGAATTAATGCATTTTCACTATATTATCAAGAGCCCCACCCTCACACCAGCACATCTGACCCAGGGGTCATGAAATTCACTACTCTGAAAGAAGCACTCTTGCTCATCATAACTATACACTTAGCTTCTTTGCTTTTTTAACCAGAAGCAGAAAAGAATATTTTCAAAGAAATTTTGCTTTTTCACTTTATAATCAATAGACCCCCCTCCCCCTCTCACCAGAACCCTTAAACCTGGGGTCATAAAATTCACAATTTTGGAAGAGGCATCCTTGCATATCATAACAATGTACTTAGTCTGTTTAAACAATACCCAGGGGCAGAGAAGAAGATTTTCAAAGAAATAATTCACCTTCACTATAGGATCTATATAGCCCCGCCCTAGCACCAGAACTCATGTCCCCGGGGCCATGAATTTCACAATTTTGGAAGAGGCATCCTTGCTTATCATAACAATGTACTTAGTTTGTTTAAATAATACCCAGGTGCAGAGAAAAAGATTTTTAAAGAATTAAAACATTTTCACTTTATAATCAATAGAGCCCCGCCCTAACACCAGAACCCCTGATCCAGGGGCCACGAATTTCACAATTTTGGAAGAGGCATCCTTGATTATCATAACTATGTATTTAATTTGTTTCAATAATACCCAGGAGTAGAGAAGACGATTTTCAAAGAATTAATGCATTTTCACTATATAATCAATAGAGTCCCACCCTAACACCAGAACACCTGATCCAGGGGCCACGAATTTCACAATTTTGGAAGAGGCACTCTTGCTCATCATAACTACGTACTTAGTTAGTTTATCTAATACCCAGGAGCAGAGAAGAAGATTTTCAATGAATTAATGCATTTTCAATATATAATCAATAGAGCCCCGCCCTAACACCAGAACCCCTGCCCCTGGGGCCATGAAATTCACAATTTTGGAAGAGGCACTCTTGCTCATCATAACTATGTACTTAGTTACAGAATTTAATACCCACGAGCAGAGAAGAAGATTTTCAAAGAATTAATGCATTTTCAATATATAATCAATAGAGCCCCACCCTAACACCAGAACCCCAGACCCAGGGGCCATGAATTTCACAATTTTGGAAGAGGCACTCTTACTCATCATAACTATATACTTAGTTAGGTCATTTAATACCCAGGAGCAGAGAAGAAGATTTTCAAAGAAATAATGCACTTTCACTAAATGATCTATAGAGCCCCGCCCTAGCACCAGAACCCCTGACCCTTGGGCCATGAATTTCACAATTTTGGTAGAGGACTCAATGCTTATTACAATGATGCCAACAGTTTGACTGCTTGATGTCCAGGAGTAAAGAAGAAGATTTTTAAAGATTGCAATAATTTTGGTGGTTTTAGCCCCACCCCTCAGGCCCCAGGGGGGCAGGGAACATGAAATTCACAGTTTTTGTTCCCCTTCACCCATAGATGCTATATGCCAAATTTGGTTGAAATTGGTTGAGCGGTTTCAGAGAAGAAGCTTAAAATGTTCAAATGTTAACGCACATCGCACGACGCACGCCGACGGACAAAAATGGATAGCAATAGGTCACCTGAGTGACTCAGGTGACCTAAAAAGACTAACTTTGATGGAATGACTGATGGATTGACAGAATGATGGACAGAAAGGTGTAACACTCTCTGCCAGAACCATTTTATGGTAGGGGGCATAAAAAAGATGACAATTTCCCTGAGTACTTTTGATATAGGTCCCTGATACTATTTTCAGTGGGAAAATTAAAACACAACACTTGCCCACAATTACTGCTGAGTTAGGATTGATGGCAGCCGACCTGGTATGTGGTGTAGACTTTGGGTCACATGATTTCTGACGGCCAGAACCAAGGAGAGAGGTAGAACCACTAGTGCAAGATTAAAACTTTATGTATGACATTAAAATTTACCTTAAAAATACATTGTGCTTAAATTACTTTAACTATTTTGAAAAGAAGATGGATTATAATTAGGACTCATGGTCAAAAGTTTTAGTACTGCAGTAATAAGTTTTCATTACACAGATTTGCATGACGAACTTCCCAGGAAAGATGATGCCATTCCTTTACTAGAAGAGATTGTAGCTTTTCTTTTTATGTTCAAAGGTGTCTTTAACAGGTTTGATCCTACAATCATAATGGCAAAATATTTCAATATCTGTATGTGTATATAACATTACACATTATAAAATTTTAAACCAGAAGTCTCTGACGAGACTGAAGCTCTACTGGTGTGTACTTATAATTTAAAAAGATGTATTTTAGTGAAGTCTACTTGCGTACACTCTAATTAGACTTAAACTTAAGGAGGAGTAGCACTTTAAAAAAATAATTCAAAGAAATATTCTTTTTGGTAATCATGGCAACATATTTCATCATAACAAATAAAACAAAAAAATGGAACAATGCATCTTTATGTTGTCTAATTGTGTACCAAATCTTGTAAAAATTAGATCAAAACTGTAGGAGGAGTATTGTTTTGAAAGAATTTCAAAAAAATTATTATATTTAGTAATCATGGCAACATCGTTCGTCAAAATCAAAAACCAATAAACAGAATTATGTATCTTAATGTAATCTACTTAGGTACCAAATTTTATTGAAATTGGACTAAAACTGTAGGAGGAGTAAGGTTTTGAAAGAATTTCAAAGAAATTTCTATTTTTAGTAACCATGGCAACACCGTTAGTTGAAATCAAAAACCAATATATACAGAATTATGTATCTTTATGTAGTCTACTTGTGTACCAAGTCTTATTGAAATTGGACCAAAACGTACTGTAGGAGTAGCGTTTTGAAAAATTGTATACAGACAGACAGACAGCTAGACAGCTGGACAGATGGACAACAGACACCTTACAAAGCATAAGTTCTTCTGGTCTCTGACCAGTAGAGCTAAAAATATAAAGAAAAAAGTTATCATTAAACTTTATTATACATCTATTAAGAATACTCAGATTTGATTAGCTTGTTAGAAGGCTTTTAAACTCAATAATGACTCAAAAAGTACCATTTACAGCAATAATGACCTAGGAATCATTGCACGTGGGGTATAAATAATGACCTCTAAAAATGACCTGTTAATCTAAATTTCATTCAAATTTAAATATTAATGCATACAGTAATGACTGTTCATTACAAAAAATGCCGCTATAAAAATATGCATAGTCTTTTTATGATAGATCATACAGAATACGATTGTCCTTTAGATGCATCATAAAATTTATCGTTTTCATTGAAACTTTTGTTACAATGTCAAATTCAATGAATGCAGACTTGGCTCTTTTGTACAGTAAAAGTCTGAACCAGATTGTCATTGTACTCAGAAATGGTATTTGTGAATTTATAAAAATGCATGTTACTGACAATCACAGAATGTTTTGATAAATCGGCGGTGCAAAAACTTATAAGACTTGCAGGCGAAAAGTAAACAACTTCACTAGCGAATCCTGATCCCGATGAAACACTGATAATAACAGTTCGTAGGTCTAATGCACAATTGATTATTTTAGTAATTAAGCCTACAAAAATTGTCTTAACTTATATCGGTATAATAAAACAATTGATTACCCCTTATGAGTTCAACATAGTGAAATAAGGACCCTTGACCTGGCCCACGAGGTGACCTGACCTGACCTCGGCAGCTACGTGGCCTCGGTCAGGTCAGGTCACCTCGTGGGCCAGGTCTCGGGTCCTTATTTCACCATGTTGACCTCATAAGGGGTAATTAATTGTATATTATATTTGGACTGAAAGTGTTGAATAATCTTCAATCTGCTTGTATACCTGGAAGAAAATTTGTTTGAGGAGTCATAGTCACTCCAGGTAGAGGAGTTTCAGACAGGTACAAGTTCTTTTTCCTCCCCATAGACCAGTCACTGGAGCTGGTCTCCCCCCAACAGCTGTACCCACTAGTGCCAGTGGTGCTTCTAAAGTAGCTGTCTGTTGTCTTAGATGCTCTTCCACTCCGTTCCAAATCGGTTGTCCCAGGGGTGCTTCCATCACTGAAATAACAATACTTAGTCTTCCTTGTCCTACCAATTTCTTTTGTCACTGGTTTCTTTATTATTAACTCCAATAATAATAGACTTGTTAAAACTTCAAACAATATGCTTTGATGGATTCAATACCATCGTTTTTTTTAACCTGTTTGTGAGAAACTCTAGCACATAAATAAAAAGAATAAAAAAGAAATTGCTTTTATTCAAAATGGCAACCATAAATTTATTGTATTTTTTTTTTCTTGTTTCCTTTTCACAATGTTTAACTGTACATGTATTTACCTTGACCTTGTTGTAGGGAGAGGGCTAAAATAGGTCTTGCCTGCTGCCCAATCCCACTCACTTTTAAATTTTGTGAATAAAATTATTTATAAATTAATTGAATTAAATTTATTGCAGTTACAGATCTGATTCAGAAGATTTTCAGTCATGTAACAGAAAAGTTGAACATTATGGATGGACCAGGAATCAAACTCAGGACCTCTGCACTTGTCAGGTGCTCTAACCAATGAGCAACCCAGGTCAGTATCCACAGGCCATACAGACCAAACCACTACTTTCCTCCCTCCTTAAATTGTCTTCTCCCTTGAAGACACTTGACCCAGATTCCGCTAGCAGGATTTTCACCTGCAACTCCAGGATGATCTAACAGGAAAGGGGAAAGTTCGTGGCTGGATCAGGAATCAAAGTCAGGACCCCTGTATTACTAGCCAGGTGTTCCAACCTCTGAGCCACCCTGGGCAACACTCCTGGTCCACACAACCCAAACCACTACATTCTCAAATCCTAGGTACACAGCACCAAATGTAACAGGAAAGGAGAAAATTTAAGACTTGACCCAGAATCGAACCCAGGAACCTGCATTACAATCAGATGCTCTAACCATTGAGTTATCCATGCTATTAATGGTCTATATAGCCCAAATCATCATATACATGTAACATGTACATTCCAGAATACATCGCGCAAACATTCATGAAAACTTTCTCCCCTGATCATATGTGAAGCAGACTACTATGAATACAAATTAATAATATCATATCTATATGTTTATCAATCAATCCTCTCCAAATTTCTGAAATAAACTTACCTTTCTAGTTGGGCTGATGATATTGAAGATGATCTGTGCACCTCAGCAAAAGTACAAGATTTATTTTTCTTCCTGGTGGAGTAATCCAGAAGTTCAGAGGCTACTCCATTCCTTAGCTGTTGTATGCCACTAGCAATATCAAGCTTTTGTCTGCTGTACCAAGTAAAATATGAATACATGTACATGATTATCATAAATACTTTGGGATTAAAAATAAAATACTCTTTCCTTTACTTGGCAACTAAGCAATTATTGTGCATTATCACTGTAGCAAATAAAGTTGTTTTTACTGCCTGCTTGACTAATTTGACATAATGAATTACAATAAAATCTAGATTTTAAAAACAAAATATTTAGCTAGCTCCATGCTGATCTTAATCAAAGGTGAATTAAACATCATGCATTTATGAAATGTAACCTTGCATTCTGTGGATCTTTAATTGTACTTCTGAAAGACTTTGAATAATGTACAGCAGTTGATAAGATGATAGTTGGCTTTTTGGGGATGTCTGTAAAATAAAAAACAAGAAGTCTGTTAGCCAAATTAAGCTCAGTAATACCCCCGCTCTGATGTGAATATACACAGGTTCAGTTACTGATAGACACAGGGATAAACAGGAAGTTGAGATCGGATTCATACAAATATTAATCCCACCATATGGCATGCCTATTGAAACAAAGAGTGTGCTAAAATTTCAAGCATCTGTGATGAGTAGTTGCTGAGAAATTTGTTATGTATGGTATGGACAGACATATAGACAAACAGAAAGTTGACATCAAATTCGTACAAAAATTAATTCCACCATATGGTAGGCCTAAACAAAGAGTGTGCAAAAATTTCAAGCATCTGTGATGAATAGTTGCTGAGAAAACTGAAAATTTGCTGTGGACATACAGACACAAAGACAGATACACAAGGGTAAAAAAGTATACCTCCCCTCTCCTTTGGAGCGGGGGTATAAAAAAGGATTTATTATTTTGTCATGAATACATATATATTTTGATATTGCTTATAATCAATCTGTAATTTAAATGTTAGCGGCACTACAAGTTCAAGACTTATTGTTTTCCAATTGATCATTTACATCCACTGTTTATATTGTGTTTGCTTTTTAGGTCACCTGAGTCACTCAGGTGACCTATTGCTATCTGTTTTCGTGCATCGTCGTCCGTCGTCAGTCGTGAACATTTTCAGCTTCTTCTCTGAAACCGCTCAACCAATTTCAACCAAATTTGGCATATAGCATCTACGGGTGAAGGGGAACAAAAACTGTGAATTTCATGGTCCCTCCCCCCTGGGGCCTGAGGGGTGGGGCTAAAACCACCAAAATTAATGCAATCTTCAAAAATCTTCTTCTTTACTCCTGGACATCAAGCAGTGAAACTGTTGGCATGATTGTAATAAGCATTGAACCCTCTACCAAAATTGTGAAATTCATGGCCCCAGGGTCAGGGGTTCTGGTGTTAGGGCGGGGCTCTATTGATTATACATGTATAGTGAAAATGCATTAATTCTTTGAAAATCTTCTTCTCTGCTCCTGGGTATTAAATAAATTAAGTAAGTACATAGTTATGATGAGCAAGAGTGCCTCCTCCATAATTGTGAATTTCATGGCCCCAGGGTCAGGGGTTCGGGTGTTAGGGCGGGGCTCTATTGATTATATAGTGAAAATACATTAATTCATTGAAAATCTTCTCCGTTCCTGGGTATTAAATAAACCATTTAAGAACATAGTTATGGTGAACATGGCTGCCTTTTCAGAAATTGTGAATTTCATGGCCCCAGGGTCAGAGGTTCAGGTGTTAGAGCGGGGCTCTATTGATTTTATACAGTAGTAAAATTGCATAAATTCGTTGAAAATCTTTTCTGCTCTTGGGTTTTAAATAAACTAACTTAGTGCAAAGTTATGACGAGCATGGTTGCCTCTTCCAAAATTGTGAATTTCATGGCCCCAGGGTCAGGGGTTCTGGTGTTAGGGCGGGGCTCTATTGATTATATAGGGAAAATGCATAAATTCTTTCAAAATTTTCTTCTCTGCTCCTGGGTATTTTTCAAACAAAGGAAGTGCATGGTTATGATAAGGAAGAATGCCTCTTCCAAATGTGTGAAATTCATGGCCCAAGGGTCAGGGTTCTGGTGAAGGGGGGGGGGGCTCTATTGATTATATAGTGAAAATGCATCATTTCTTTCAAAATATTTTTTTCTACTACTGGTTAAAAAGCAAAGAAAGAAGTGTACAGTTATGATGAGCAAGGGTGCTTATTCCAGAATTGTGAGCTTATGGCCAATGGGTCAGATGTTCTGGTGTAAGGATGGGGCTTTATTTATTTAATAATATAGTGAAAATGCATTTCTTTGAAAATTTTCTATGCTTCTTGGCATATTCAAGGCAAACAGAGAAACGTTTTAAAATGAAAGGGCATTTTTACCAGAATTTTGAACACCTGGATCATTTAATCAAGTGTTCTGGTCCTGGCCAGTGCTCTATTAACTTATATTCTGCTGAGCAAAGTTATTCCCCTTTGCCATTCACCTTTGATAATAAATCACTGTAAATAATGTATTTGAATGCTTAATAGAATTAGAGAATTATGCAAGAATATTTATTGTATAATACAAAAAGTACTTTCATAGTTTTAATGATCAGGTAGACTTGGAAATAATAGATGAATAAAATTGAGACAAAAATAACATCTTTTTTAATTGTTCTTCAACAGTTCAAAGGCCAGGAGAGGCCAATGTGAGAAGTTATAATATGGGGTTAAATAATAGACAGTTTGTTAATAGTCTGCAAGGTAATAGTGATAAATGAGGGACAGATTGGATACTAAACCAATTATTTTGTTGATGCAAATCATACTATTTTTCTTGCTTTTGGGCTACAAAGGTTCATTTATCAGTTTATGGATCCTCTATATTGTTGTATTGTACTCAGGTGACCGTTAAGGCCCTTGGGCCTCTTGTTCTTTCTTAAATCATGACTTACCCTTATTAAATATTGATCTTCCACTGTTTACAGGACAAAAATCAGGATTTTTATATTTTTCTGCAAAGACTTCTTCGGTCATTCTAAGTATAAAAAATTTGCATTTGTAAGTTAACATTGCATTGTACTATTGTTTTCAGAGGAAGAAAATTATAGTTGCATGACTTCAACAAAGGAAGAACCTGTAAATATCTAGATATAAACCCACTCATTTTGCCTTTATACTTAAATAATAATGTTCCTATTGAAAAGAAAAATCAGAAATTTTATACCCTTTGTAAGTCAACTCCTTCAAGAATACACCCTGAAAACGTAAAGAAATTAGAGCTCTCAAAGGTTCACTTCTATATAAATAGGGATCTGACCTATAGGGCCTGGCTTGGTTTTTTTCTCTACAAAAAGCTTGTCGATTTCCGTTCCGATTAATGGCATTAGGTTGAATACATGTAAAAATTTGTTTTTCATAAATCTTTATTTCAGTGAGTAGAGGTAGGAGGAACACTTTCATTGATATTCTGAGTTTGTTATCTCCAAATGTAATAATTGATATTTTTCTTTACTTCTCATTGTACATAATGGTAATGTCTACTGTCTCTGGAATTCTATTCTTTATGTCTAGGCTATTTATTTTACAACACATTTCCGTTGGGTATAATAAAAACATGCCATTAATGTGTGCAAATTATATAGGCCTAAATGAAATCCAAGGGAGTACAGTTACTGATATATGTAGCCCTAATGTTTCAGAACTTAAGATCTTAGAACATTGACTAAAAACAAAAGTACATGTATGTTATTCTAAATATACATGTATTAAGCTCAAATAATTCAAGCAATACGTAACATACTACATGTAACCCAGACAAGCACTAGTAGCACAGACAGAATACAAGCAATGTGATTAATTTCTAAGGAATATATACAATTGAAATTCATCGCAGCTCAATGCTGCCGAGAATACCTGTAGCGAGTAACACAGAGCGAGTTATTCTTGTCCTCGGAGAAAGTGTGCTTATACTGAGATTTGTTCCGCCTGACTGACAACTGTGCATTGGATTGTTACGATTTGATCTCTCTCTAGTGTTTCTTATATCAAGAATGGGAATGCATAAAGGATAGATAATTGAAGGAAAATAAACAAGCCTATAAAAAATTTAAAATAGTATTTGAAAAAATGAAAAATTTAAAACTATAAAAGTGTGGCACCAGGTGGATTCGAACCCCCGACTTTAAAAAGAAAATATCCACGATATAATGGTCAGCTCATATATCAACTGAGCTATTCTGACTATAAATTTGAATGGTATAAATTAGAAGCAGATTGACAAAATCAAGTTTACTTATTTTTTGTAGGTTTTCTGTGAATTTCGACCCTAGGGCAGGGGTGCCCCTAAAAAAATCCTATCTTAAATTTTTCCTTAAATCCCAACCTATCAAAATATCACAATTTTATTTAGGGGCAGGCCTGCCCTGAAGGACTTCTAGGCCAAAATTCATGCAAAAATCAACGCTTTAACGGACAAAATGGTGTTTTGGCCAACTTTGGAGGTTTATTTTAAAGTTGTAAATAATAAATTTTAGTTGTAAAATACAAATTTGAAAAATTTAGACATATATACGGTAGAAAACAACAAATAAAGATTGATTTTTAAATGTCACTTTTTCCGGGAAATTGTTCTCTCCTATAGGTCAATTCTTTTGTAATAGTGAATACATCCTTTATTGCCCTTTTCCTCACAAACTGATTATCAAAGTCATAGATTAGCACCTTTCCGATTTAGGAGCCAATTTTTTCATTTATTCCTTTATTATTATCATATACATGCATAAATAGCATGTTCATGAATTAGCAGACAAGCAGAATCTCCAAAGGCACTAAAACAGATTAAGTACATATACAGACTATAACCTCCTCTGTTTTCCCTGTAGATCTTTACCTGGGATAGTCATACTGTAATACACTGTAACTATGTCAGCAGAATCAGTTTATGTTGCACATTTTAATATCCTATGTAGGCATATGTGTTTGCTAAATTGGAGTAAATTAAAGTTACTATTGATTATCAAATTGAATCAGCAGCATATACTATTTATAATTGATACTTTGAACTTTCATTTAAAAGCCTACATTAAATCATTATTAGCCATGTAATATTCATTCTGAGTAAAAGATATCCTCAGATGAAAATAAAATACTAATCTGCGAGATCAAATTTAAACATGCTTATGACTGAAAAGTTAATTTGTCTGCCACCAGAAATAGAGTTGCAGAGTCCCTTGATAATGGTAAAAGATAACTGGTATGGTTTTAAAAAATATTTTTGGATTATTCAGCGACTATCAATGTTAACATTTGCTATCAATTGTCCCTGATGTGATGCCTTTAATTAGTGAATATTTTTTGAAAGTGACAACGACTATTGTAACATTACACCTGAAGGCATATGAAAACTATTTTATACTACCTACACAATAAAGATATATGTACATGTATGTACTGGCATTATCACCTTAATTCATAAATGCAGAAAATACTGAATTCAAATAGAAGGGGACATTAAAAAAAGTAGACGGGGATCTGAGGTTCTTCCCTTAAGAGGGAGATGAGAGGGAATACCAGAGTAACCGTTGATTACATCATTATGGTTGGGGAAATTCCCTGGCCCCCAGGTCTTAGGGACAACCATGTTGAACATTTAAGCTAGTCCCATATAAGTATCAGTTTAAAATCTTACTCCCTGGCATACACATCACCTTTTATCTGGCATGGAAAACAATACCTGGTACATGTATTTGCCTCCAAAAATCCATCTTCATGAGAAATTAGATCATTCTTTTGAGTTGCATCTACATCACAGGATTCCACTGGTTTGCTTGTACTTGGATCCAGAAAACTTAAGGCTGTATATATATATATATATATATATATATATATATATATATATATATATATATATATATATATATATATATATATATATATATATATACATATACATGTATATGAATCAATTATTCCACAAAAAACAATATGCTGAAAGATGCACGTCACTGTTATTTAATTTTTTTTATTAATTTCACATCCCCCCCCCCCCCCCCCCCCAAAGAATATGCTCTCCATTTTTTACTCCTGCTGTATTGAAGAATATCCTGGCGTTACCGGTTTTCGATAGTGTAAAACTTAAAAATGACATCAGGGTTTCCGAATGGTTGTTAAAAAAAGTAGCCTATCAAAATTAGGATACTATCGAAAATAGGTAACGGCACAATATATGATAAAATCTAGCTTACAAGCTAGCTGACTTACTGTATTTGGACCGAGATTCTGACATACTTGTTGATTTGTTATCAAGTTCCTAAAAGGATCCAATAAATTTATAATTTTTCACATTCTGTAAAAGAGAGATAAAATATTACAAGAAATAGTATTCAGTTAGCAGAATGCTGCTTCGAGTACCAGAATTTATTCAAATTCACCATCTCAACTGTAAATTTTGATCAGAGGGACCAGGGAATCGTCTTTTTTAGCAATAGGTAAGGAAGTTATCACTGCAGACCGTCAAAAAACATTGCCCATTTAGGTGAATGCAGTGAGAGAAGTGTCCATTGCTTACCAATACCAATTATCAGAAACTTGAGTAAGTCCTATGTGTACATACTATGCATACCGTTTCTCTAAAGAGAATAACATATAACCTGATACATACTGTTCCAGTTTCAACCGCCAAAACTTATTACTATTTTTACAGTCCATGAATACAACTGAACTCATACTTAATTAGTATTAGCCTTCTGAACAGACAGAAAACGGATACTCTGCAACCCACAAATCGCGATCGTCTGCCTCTTCTGTACTTTTCCTATCGTGTATCTCGATCCCGTTCTAAAAGAGAAGGTAGAATGATCTGTAGTCTTTTGATCTAAAAATTAATGGAAGCTTAGTGACTTTAGAAAATATAGACCTATACTGTTATAGGCCTAATTGAATCAACTGAGACAATCGTTTGAAAAAAATAGTTCACATCATTATTTTTTTAAGTCGAGATCGGCAATCCATTGTAGTAAACATGGCTGCAACTATGTCTGAAAAGTCTATGAGCGATGAAGTTTGGCTCATATCTCGTGCTAGAGCTTGTATGAAACCCAGTAAGAATGACCCATATGCAGCAAAAGCCTGGATGATAACAGCTAGATCTTTGTTTCCTAATAACTTTTCTATACAGGTGGGTATTACATTAATCTCGGTGGAGATTCGGCTCGGCTAGATATTGGACATTTTGGTCTGACGCCTCCACCGGTGGAGACGTCAGATCAAATATCTAGCCGAGTCGAATCTCCACCGAGATTAGGTATTGCATGTTCTGAACCCTGAAATTCATCCCACAGGCACAGGTGCCATGCCATTAATGAAAGGTCCAGCACAATCTCTATCATTTAGCTATATTGTTGGAACTATAGCTATATACTTTCTTAAGCTATTTAGAATAGCTTGACAAAGCTATTTTTGTACATTTTTTCACATAAATGTTTTTTGTAAGAAATAGACAAAAAGTTGCAAACATTTGACTATTCATATTATATACTATGGAATAATATGTTGATGGTGCGACTGTTGGGGCGAGTGCAGTTGTGTATTGCTGGATTTTCACTTTGAATAAAGATCAACCTCTAGTTTCAAACCATTTGGAACATCATAAATGTGACATCAAATGACGTCAAATAAAAGCTACATTTCCATTCCATAATCAAAGTTTTAAAGGTTCATAATTTTAACAAAGAACATTTATCTTCTGTATGCAATATCCGTTAAATCAAGGTGAATTTAATTTTGTGAATTTAATTGTTGTTACAGCAAGGATGAAGTTAGTAGCAAGATGCATTTGCTTTGCATTGTGAGTCTAGAGGTAACTGCAGAAAAAAATTCATTTGGATCAATGTGTCAAGTCTGAATTTTCTCTTCAATCAAGCGATGTCATTACTCTAACTCGCAGTGCAAGCGACACTTTGTGCTGCTTGCTGCAATGGCCCAAATGAAAGATATTTCTAACATTGCAGCTTTTGGACACTTCTAAGCATAAGATGTATTTCCAATTTCGGAACATTATTTAAAATTCAAACAGGCTAGTAATTGTATATCAGCACTAGCCTGATTGGACTAGTAGCATTTTAGCAATATTTATCCATTTCTATTTTAGTATTTTTAAAAAAAATGTGTATAAGATTTTTAGTCTGAAAAAGTTAATTATTTTGATTGAATGTTTACAACTTTCATTTGATTTTGTCATCCTTTTGGCCCTAACCATAGTTTGGTTATTTATAACTTGACACATACACATTGTGCTAGATTATTACGAATGAGTAATCAATTATCTTGTTGAAGAGAATTGATCTTTATGATTTCATTAAAGAAGAAATTGTGTGGTCACTATTCAATTGCTTTATATAGTCCCAAAACTTTTGGAAATTTCAGTTCAAATTCTCTGAAGGAGACTCATTTTTATGAGCAGTTTTTAAATGCATTGTTTTCAGAACAATTCAATTAAGTTGAAAACTATCACTTCACCAAAGTTTAACTTTTTGTACATGCTGAAAAAAAAACATGTAAGAAAAAAAGTGTGATAAACACTGTAGATCACCAATTTTTCCCATCACCTTATTTTTGGGACATTATAAGCAAGACAAAATTTTCACAAATTATGGTTATTGTTGAATATAATCTATACTAATAAAAATGTACTCAAGAATGACAATTTCATGAGCATTGAGCAGACTGCCTCACATAATTACATGTAAAGTTCTCACATATAAAATTTAGTGAAAAATGAAGTTCTCATGAATAAAAGGCAATTTACAGTAGCTAAATCAAGCTATTCTGAATAGCTTAATAAAGCTATACAGCTAGTTCAAGCTATGTAGCTTAATAAAGAGATTTTGCCAGACCCAAATAACTAAGGTTTCAAATTAAAGCTATATATATTACCCATGTGGACTCATGAAATTAACTTTGGGAGCCCAAAGATGAATTTAGTGAACAACAGAAATGCTCATGAGAAGTGAGACACAACATTTAAAAATTATTAAATACAGGCAGTATTCAATTTCTATATGCATTCAAATTTGATTCAGGGATGACATATTTGGTGCAGTAGCAAATAATCAAGACTGTCTACTATTTTATTAAATCACAGGCAATTGAATTTTTATCAGTAAGTAGCAAATAAAGCCCTAGAATGAAAAATCTTATCCCCGTGTGCATGCAACACCATTTTGACCCCTTCCTTGAGTTGGGGCATCAGTCAACCTTAGAAATCAGATATACCTAACAGTTTTTATACCATAATGCCATCAACTTAAATCCATAAAAATTCAAACTTTTTCACCATGGCTTAACCTGCTACAATTGATGTAACAAAATTTCATGGATACTAAGGAAGAAAAGTGCTATATTGGAGTCGGCTTATAACTTGGTCAGCAGATCTAGGGAGTAATAGAAATACAATATCACCATAACATTCAGTGTCATCAAAATTAATTCCACATCTTTTACATTAATTTTATTTATTTTCCTTCATAACTTAAATTCATTTATTAAAATTCTACATCCAAGTGTATGACTTTTCTAGTACTATGTCACAATTATATTAGAAATTTGATAATTACATAGGTCTACAAGTCTTTTTCTATTGGTACATTGCAGCATTGACAGTACATAGATAAAATTATTCTTTGTTATTTAGTTTGAAGCTTATTCTTTGGAGAAAGCTGGGAGGAATGTTAAGGAGGCAGCAAAGTTACTAGAAGAAATGTAAGTTTTTGAAAAACTTTATCAACACCTGAAACATACCTGTCTTTTTTCCCCCTTTTTTTGTTGATTGAATGTTTTACTTTGTTCCTGGATAATGTCTACATTATTTGTACATGCATATAAATAATAATTTTGTTCATAGGTTTGTCTCATTTCCAAATGAATCTCAACTTTGGGAGGAAATACAAGAAATATTAGAAATTCTTCAAACTGAAATGTCAGCAAATAGTCACAAGAACTTTCTTACTGGTTAGTAAAAGTGTTATTATTATGTGATTATCACATGCATGTATAAATTATAAATTTAAATATAACTCATATATTCCCCTGTTTTAAATCCTGATGAAAAATTCTCATAAATTTGCATTTAAAAGCTTGCATGTGATGTTATGTGTATTGTAAGCTTTTGTTTACAGTGACTAAGACTAATCTAAGTTTGTGCCTTTTCCAGAGATCTTTGCTGCAGTCTCCACTCCATCACAGTGCCAGATGTTACTAAGTGTAGCTCAGAAAATCAGTAATACTCTAGAACAATGTCGACTTCTCCTTCTGGCTATGAGGAAGTTCCCAAATCTGGTGTTTGAACATGGTGTAGGTATTTTTGATATAATGGCACAATTAAACATTTCCCTATAGTATGAGATGGGATAAAGTGATTATAATACTTTTTTTTGTAGCTGAAATTACTTGACACACTTCAACAAGCAGAGCTTGAAGCAAAGATTAAGTATCCAGTCAACTGTTACAGGAAACTATTTGGTAAGTGCTCACAGTTTTTTTTGTTTTGTTTTGTTTTGTTTTGGTGGTGGTGGTTGTTTTTTTCTTTTTCTTTTTTTTTGGGGGGGGGGGGGGTTCAAGTTCATGAATTTCGTTTTGATAATGATGTTTTCTTTTCTTGAGGACACTCTATATTAAATATTATTATTCTAGAGAAAAATTCCTGTGAAATGAATGTAGCAATGCCACATTTTACTCTTATTTAATGCTGTAGTTCTTTTTTAGTGTGTGATGTCCTACCATTAGTTCTTCAGAAGGTGAAAAAACTTGAGATCCAGAAAGCTCAGATCTACAGATGGCTACAAATGTCTGTTGAATTTTACATTATGTATGTCACCCAGTCACCAAGTTTTAATGGAAATACCAGAAATTCTCCAGGTTTAGTAGATCACTAAATAACTGTTCATTATTCAAATAAATGTCTAGTCATGGTTAAAGACATATATATTTATACATATTATATATACAGTGTATATATGCTTGGAATAGATTACTTCATGTACTAGAATGTATTTGATTACATGTCAAAGAGGGATGTCTGAGTCCTGATCATTAAATAATAATTTTTCATCCAATTGTAACAAAATTGCGACATAATTTAAAATTTTGACCAGTTACAGTGTAACTGGTATAGTTTGGAATTTTAGGCATTAGCCTTCACGTCCAAGGCTAGTGAATTGTTTACAGTAATAAGTTCATTGAATGATTATAACAATTTTTATGCCCCGCCATGAATATGGCAGGGGCATATAGTGTTTGTCATGTCCGCCTTCCGTCCTTCTGTCCTTCCGTCTGTCCTTCCGTCACACTTTGCGTTTAGCTCTGTTCAAAGCTCAGTTTGGAAGAAACTATCCAAGATATTTTTATCAAACTTCATATGCTGATAGATATTGATGAGAGCTATGCAACTGCATCAACATTTTTTTGACCTTGACCTTTCCTTTGACCTTGACCTCACTTTTCTTAAATTAGTGTTTAGCTCAGTTTTAAAGATACCATTCATAATATTTTATCAAACTTCATATGCTTATACATACTGATGTAACCTTTTCAACTGCATCAACAATTTTTGACCTTGACCTTTTCTGTAACCTTGACCTCACTTTTCTTAAATTAGTGTCAAACTTCATATGCTGATACATACTGATGAAAGCTATTCAACTGCATCAATATTTTTTCACCTTGACCTTTCCTTTGACCTTGACCTCACTTTTCTCAATTTGTGTTAAAATGCTTCATTACTAATATACCCTCGGCGGGGCATTCATGTCCTATGGACATATTTCTAGTTATGTATTCCTTTGCATTATAAATAGTCACTGGAAACTTGTAAGCCCTATATAAATTAGTGTATAAAGAAACATTAACTTCTGATGGCCATACTGTATGAACACTCCTCAGTAGCCACAGAATTCCATCTCATATTTGCTTTGCGTTAATCCAGACTATTCATAGAAAATGTTGACAACCCACAGGTACCAAGAAATTTTGACTATATCTGGCATCCAAAGTAATTTTCTCTTTTTAGTATCTCTCCCAAAGCTACTTGTTCTTTTATCTTTTGTCTCTTTTTAAATAACAATATACCGAAGTAATGGTATTCATAGCAATGACCAACAAAAATGTCATACAAATAAATAAAAACAATATATTTTTGTTTTAGAGATGCTGTCACCTACAAAGTTAAGTAACAGAGTGAGTATACCTGGCCTGTTTGACAAGGAGTGTCAAGTCAGTGATCCCTGGGGGAGTCTTCTCAAACTTATCATACTTCTGGGTCAGCTGATGGACTGGGATGTTCCACCTGATCTGTTTAGTGAACCAAGGTGAGTCCTGCAGTATAGGCCATGGATTGGAAACTCATCTAGTTCTATTGGTAGACCGAGTATCAAGGGTATTCAAAAACTCATAATCATGATGACTCTTTGTTGCCATTTCAACAATGTAATTTTTATTTGAAAGATGTTAATATACAGTTGAACTTCGGTATCTCGAACACAGATATTTTGAATACCATGGATATGTCGAAGTAATTTTGAAGTCCAAACTGCTTATTCCTTAAGTATTTTACCCTGGATATCTCAACTCCTTGGTTATATCGAAGTATTGTACTTGCAGATAATGGTTGCTAAGTGACAAAGAAACTCATATTTTTTTGTTTTCTATGATGCAAAATGGACCAAAATAAATACTGTGTACATGATTTTTCAAAACAAGTTTTTCTTGGTAAATTAACAGAGAAATCCAGTACAAGAACATTTACAGCCTGTATAACCGAGCTCGCCAGTCACACTCACCTGAGCAGACCCGCCAGGTGTTGTACACAACAGTGGTCTTATTCCTAGAGTGCCTCTACACCTATGTCAGTAGTGTAGATCCCCAGTCATTCCTCGGTCCCAGTGCCAGCCACACCCCACTGGTTCTTATGGAGAAATTTGAAAATGAAACTTCAGAAGAGGAACCCCAGTAAGTTGTGTCTTTTTAGCTCACCTGAGCTAGTCTTTTTGCTTGTGATGAACTAATTTTTGAATAATACTTTGTAAACCAGATGTCAAACTCTTGAAGATAAGTATATATATATATATATATATATATATATATATATATATATATATATATATATATATATATATATATATATATATATATACTAGAAGTTTGAATTCTCGTATAGTGACTTTGCACATCATGTCGGAAAATTTAAAGCAGTGCATTGCTAACAGAAAATGTTTGTTTCACAGAGCAAAGAAAGTGAAAGTACAAGCAGATGGCAATCCTACAATAGTAGGAGCAGAGTGTCTCACAAACTCCAGCAAAATTATCAATAGTTTTACCACAGCATTCAAATGTTATGAGCTCATGCACTCAACAACAGAACTGCAAACAGGTTGAGATCTATAAATAAAGTAACCAGTTTCTACTGCAAAGTTTCATCAATGTATTGATATCAATTTTTATTACTTGTGTACGTATAAATGTATGTTCATTGCTCTTAGACAAATTTCATTTATAAGATGGTATTTGTTTATTAGGTATGGGTAAACTTAAATGGTAGAACAAGCTTAAATTAAATGTTTAGTAGATAAAATTCTATAATGGCTTGATTTATTATCAGAATTTATGAAGCTGTGTGAGATATGGCACATGGAGACCTGGACCTGGATGGGACATTTCCAGACAGACATGCTCATTTATCAGGTATGATGGGAACTGGTATTCAGGTTTTATAGCTTTTAAAACTCTGATTGGTTCCATTTCCATCAGAAAGCATTTGAAAGCTTTATTCTGAAACAATACATGTAATTCCAAGCTATAATAACAGATTGTCATCTATCAATGTGAAGAAAGCTAGTGAGCTTTGGTTATGTTGCCTTTCAAGAACCACTAACCAAAATTAATTCAAAAAAAGGGCTCAGGATCACTAGTTGAAGAGGATTTGAATTTATTCAAAAGAAAGCCATTCCCACTTCCAAGGGGAGAAAACTAATAAATTACTTCCAGGTTTGATATTTAGCCCCAGAAGGGCATTGAAATATTACAAAGGATTATACAGGATATAATATCTAAATATCTCCTCAAGAATAGCAGGTTCACAGTCACTCAATATGATATTGAAGTATCCATATGGAGTGTAGATTTAAGTTTATGCAAATAGTCATTCACCAAAGGCTAGGATGGGGCAAAAGGAGACTGCTATAGCTTTCAGTAACATTTGATGGTAAAAAAAGTGTGTAAAAATGTCAGTCTACATACTGGTAAAGACTACAAATTTTCAAATTACTTGTAATATCTAATCATTCCTATATTGTGAAGGTTCAAGAAGATATTTTCGCCCTTAAAGCTAGGATGAAGGATTGGTAGGGTGACTCAAGAGACCAGTAGGGCCAGTGGGCCTCTTGTTTTATATCATTTCTTTACAATCTTTTAAAATCCCAGTAATATTGAAAATACATGTGTTTTTCTTCTGAAACAGGGTGCCTTCACAGATGCCATTGCACATCTCCAAAACTTTTCATCTGCCATAAAAGAAAACATGCAACTCAGAAGTAATCTGCAGATGGCATGCTGCTTTTATTGTCTGCAGAAATATTCAGTGAGTACCTCAAAAGTACTTAAAGTACAGGTAACACACGCATCTTAGTTACTGTAACACAGTAATAAGAATTTTTGTATTTAGTGTTTGGTAACAATACATGTACATAGAGTCTATGAACCATATAATGTGTTGAATTTTGTTTGTAAACCTATTTTCTAGAAAGCCTGTGAGTTGGTGTTGAATGTAATCAAAGATCTGCCATACACACATGACAGGTTGCCCATCTCAAATCTGTCAGAGCCCACAGGAGCTAAGGGCAGACAACTCTGGTTGACAAAGTGCACAGAAGCGGAGATTCTCCCATACTGTATACAGTTACTTCTAGCTGCTCTTAAGGTACTATATAAGTAATCTGAAAAAAAACGAAAGAATTATTTTGGATTACTGCTTCTTGTATTTACCTCAAGGAATGAAAAATGCTAATGCATTTAATGATACAGTCTTAAAATCTAGGAAGTTGTACTCTTTGGGAAAGCAACACAAATACATGTACATTGGAAAAACAGCCATTTTAATTCAAGTACAATTGTAATGAATGATATAGAGCATATTCATGTATGTTTTTATCGTGGTGTTACTTAGATGCATGTTTTTGAGATGCAGCTAACTTAGTTACAGATGGTTATCCATCTGTAAATGAAAAAAAAATCAACATGATAAATAAAGGGCAATTACTCTGTCTGCTATCAATGAAAATTTATATTCTTCTGTGCAACAGGAAATACCTAATCTATTTTTATTATTGTCAGTCTTCTTTTTTTCAGTCTAAAGCATTTTCCTCTAAAGGTGATGATACATCACTAGGTCACATGGTGGTGTTATTGCAGTATGATTGGCCAAAGTCTGAAGCTCTGTTCTATGAAGTCCTGAAGAAAGTCATACTGCAAAACAGCCTTGTATACAATCAGTTTTTCAATTATGTTATAAGTATCCTTTGGTTTTGGAGTGACTTTCTTTGACATTACTGTACATAACACAGATCTTTTAAAGATGGAGCTTCTGGTCTTATGCTACACAAAAAAAGTTGTTAAAAAAGTAAGTAATGCAAGAGCTAGCTCATAGCTCATAAAACCTCAAAAATGGATAAAACAACATGTTGATTCAAGAGTCTCATGCCAAAGGATGGGTTTTCTACAGTTTCCACCTATTTTAATGAATATTGTGATGTGTAGTCATTTGGTTTCTAAAGATATATTCCTGAACAGTTACACTACCAGCATGCATACACACAAGTTTATCTTGCATTCTCATTACTTCAAATTTATCTCCCTTTGACGAAAAACTAGTATTAAGGAGGTGAGATTTTTTATGAAAAAAAAAGGAAAATTGACAAAAGTAGAATTTCTGCATTGCCCATGCAAATTTTGTACAATTCTTATAAGGTTTCATAAAGTTACAGGTTTCAGAACCTGAAGAATCTACTTTTATGGAGAAAAAATAATTTTTGTCTGATCTAAAACAAAAATATTGCTTCACTTCTTCCTTTTTGTTGTACACTTATGCATATAAATTGAACAAGTTACCAAGAAGTGGAATGTCGGAAGACCTAGGTTTTGATACAATCTTCAGAAAAAGACAATTTGAAAATTTTCCTTACCTGCATTCTCCAATTCAGTGTTGTTTAGGAGTGCTGTGCTATAGATAAGTCTCATGACCTTGACATGCACATGCAATGCAGTAGATTTGACCTTTACTTTTGTGGCACTTAAATTTTGCACATGGCTGCGTGTCATCAATTCATACACCTCTACTGAGTTGGTTTCATTTTGAACACTTTTACTTTATTAAATGTGTCTACTATTATTTTTCACTTCATACACCTCCTCTGAATTATTTTCCTAAATTGAAATGTTAAATGCATTGTTAGCATTTATGCTTTGTTTTAACCTTGACTCTGACCACAGATGTTGATATCCTGGAAGAATTTGCATTTCTGAAAACATCAGAAGGAGGAAAAGTGAATCTTGATATTTTGCCAACCAGTGTAAAAGTTATCTCTCAGTAAGCTATATTTAAAGTCAAGATTTATACCATAATTATGAGAATAAACTCTGTCTTGTATTTCATTGTTTGCTTCTTCACATGCAGGAATAAAAATGTACTTTTTTTTCTAGACAGAGAACAGTGACAAGGGGAGTTAACAAGGGAGTCAAAGAGGATTTTAAACAAACCATGGTAAAGCAAGTTGGACGCAGTGAAGAACCAGTTGAAAAATTAATAAGGACATTTTTGACAAATGAAAGAATTAGCATATTAAAAGCACTGACCTGAAAATTTCTTCTGTCTTTTCTTTCAATGAATATACTGTAAAACTTGTCTAATCTGTACACCACTGGTTGCATAGAATTAGACCGGTTTATAGAACATTCTGAATTAGACAACATCTCGAACAATTGAATTTAGTGAATGGGACTAAAAATTAACATTGTAATAGGCAAGATTTCAGATTACACAACATCCGGATTAGACAAGTTTCACTGTGTGTGTATATATATATAGGATATTCAATGTTTTGTAGATGAATATGGAATTTATTTCACAAGTGGGACATGATTTTTTGATATTTTCATGAGTGTGAAGCATGAGTGAAAATATCAAAAAATCCTGTCTCACGAGTAAAAAAAAATTCCATATTCATCTACAAAACATTGAATTTTCTGTTTATTACATTTTCTTAGATTTTCCCTTTGCCTCTGTCTTTTCGTAACACAGTGTCATAGGCTGTGACGTCATAGTTGAGCGGTTGAGACGTCATAGCAAAGTGATTGTGAGATTGAAAAATGTTGTAAACATGGATTTTTAACGACATATTTGGAAAAACTTTGACAGTATAGCTATTAGTCTCTGTCAGGATGGCTTATTAACTCTATCTTATAGCAGACCAGGGATTTTTTCTTAAAAACACACCTCGTGAAGGGATGGAAAATTTTAAGTTTTGCCGCACTTCTGATATTCTCACACTGTGTCAGAATATCACTTTTATTCAGTAAATAAATTACAGTATTTCACTGCTTAATGTAAATATATATATATATATATATATATATATATATATATATATATATATATATATATATATATATATATATATTTATATATATACATACATGTATATATATATATATATACATGTATATATATATATATATATATATATATATATATATATATAAAAGAAAGTAACGGATAATTAACAATTTTGTCAATTTTATGACTTTCCATGTTTGTATGTTTCTTCAAATATCTTTAAAGCTATAAATGGAATTTCGTTTCCTGGTATACAACAAACCAGAAGTCTCTTACAAGACTGTAGCTTTACTGGTGTGGTGGTCAGATGGGTTTGATTGCTGGTGGCCAGATAGCTCAGTTGGTAGAGCACCTGACTGGAAATTCAGGGAGCCTGGGTTCAAATCCTGGTCTGGTCCGTCGCATCTTTCTCCTCTCCCGTTACATTTGGTGCTGTGCCATGCCCTGGAGTGACAGGTGAAAGACCTGCCAGGGAAGAGCCCGGTTGGTGTCTTCGGGGGCCGAAGACCTTTAAGGAGGGAAGAATGTGGTGGTCTTACGGGTTCGATCGCCGGTGGCCAGATAGCTCAGTTGGTAGAGTACCTGACTGGAGATTCAGGGGACCCGGGGTCGACACCCAGTCTGGTCCATCACAAGGTAGAGAAAGGTACTTTTTGGACTTGAAACTTTGGCGACAGCAACAAATAAAATAATAATCTTTGGTTTAGTATCTTTCTGTGTCAAGTTTAATTGCAAATGAACAAAAACTGTAGAAGGAGTAGGGTTTTGAAAGAATTTCAGAGAAATTTCTATTTTGGATTTTTATTTTTAGATATAACTGGATATGCAAGTAGACTACATAAGTAAGATACATAACTCTTTATCGGTTTTTGATGAGCGTTGTTGCCAAATTGGTTACAAAAAAAAAACAACAACAAATTTCTGTGAAATTATTTCAAAATGCTACTTTTCCTGCAGTTTTGATCCAGACTGATTCCAATAAAACTTTTTACTCAGTATACTTATATATATACATGTACCATACTCAGACACATGACTCTGTTTTTTTTTATTTCGATGAATGTTGCCATAGTTACTAAAAATAGAAAAAAAAATGTATGGATTTCTTTCAAAATGCTACTTTTCTTACTATTTTGGTCAAATTTCGATAAGACATTCCATATATTAGTACACAAGTAGACTTCACTTAGGTAACCTTAACTACTCTGAATCTATTTCAAGCAAAAACATTTTTAAAAAACGGCCATGTTATGGGGATTCACAGCCATACTTTAGCAAAAGTGGTCGAAAATACCCTGATTTACCTTTTTTTTTAACAAACGGTGTTGCTATGGTTATTAAAACGATACATTTTTGTGAAATTCTTTCATAAGGTTCCTTTTTGCCGAATAATAATTAAACTTGCCACCCGCGCAATGTAATGGTTAGGGCCGTGGATATCGGCCTGGGTAGCTCAGTTAGTAGATCGCCTGACTAGTGATGCAGGAGTCCTGGGTTTGATTCCCGGTCCAGCCATACATTTTCTCCTTTCCTAGCTGTTACACCACAAATGGGACTTAACAAAGGATCATTATTCTATTTATTGTTGTTGCTATAGTTTCAAGTCCAACTGCTACTTTCCTCTACAAAACCAGTAGAGCTACAGTCTCATCAGAGTCTTCTGGTTTTAACACAATGTTTTAGAGCTCTCTTACGTACATGTTTGTTGTACATTGTTGATGATTATTTCATAAAGGGGAAAAAAGCATTTACTGGCTTTGCAATGCTCCAACTGATATTATTCTGTTATATTAATTACTGGATTCTAGAAGACTAGCGGGTCGTTTGACCAAATTAACAAGAACTACGATAAAATATAAATAAATCTATATAGCTACATGTAACGAATGGATAACCACTATCCCCAAAGTCCGCATTATTATTTATTATTTTTTTTTGGTAAGGAGAGGGGGGGGCTCTAAGAATTACTACTTTTACTACTAAATTTTCCAGTTGTGTGGAGTTTTCATTTTATTAGAACAAGTGCATTCCCCAGGCTCAACACTGCTCAATGAATCAAAAGTATAGCAAACATTTTTTTTTTTTTTTTTACATTTTACTTAGGGGAGGTGGGGGGGGGGGGTAACTTCAGTTCATCCCCCTTTTGTATAGGTAAGAATAGTAAATACACCCGGTAACTTCAGTTCATCCCCCTTTTGTATAGGTAAGAATAGTAAATACACCCCCAAAATGTATGTCCTATTGTTTTTCTAAAAAAAAAAAAAAAAAGTATTTCGAATGATCTTTTTCAGTTAATATTGCATGATTGTTTTCTTTTACGAGTCGGACATATGTATAACATATTTATAATAAATAATATTACATATTTATATTTTTGTTTTGCTTTATATGACTTAACTAACTGTATGTTATACCCTTTTTCTATACATGTATACATTATGATTATATATCATATATTTCTAATGCCCGTGGCAAAACGTACCGATATATAAAGTTTCCGGAAACTTGGAAGGGAGGTGTCCTACATCTGCTTCTAAAATATTAAATTATAATATATATTTGCTTTAATTAAAAAATATCAGAATCACCGGCATAAATCATGTAAAAGGCGAACTTTAGAGATTTCAGAAATGCGGAATTGCAAATGTTACTGTTGTGGTTTTATCTATTACGAACCGATTTGTAATTTCCAGTTGCACCTCTGTTTGAAAAAAGAAAGAAGGGCCTTTGAAAGGCAAAGAAGTCAATATTGTTATGACGTTTCGCTTCCCCAGTCTTGTTCCCGGTGCTATAGATCCTCTGTGGTTTACAGTGGACCGTCCTTGTGATGATGAAAATGAATTGGAACAACTTGAGAAAGGACACGACCTTTGGGTATGTACTTTACCTGGCTACTGTAATAATCTGACTTCAAAGTAATGGAGATTTCTTCGCTTTCTAGACATGCTAGATAAGGATTGAATAATTTATAATTTCTTTCTTTTTTTTTTTAGCTTGAGAGCATAGCCAAGAAAGACAACAATATAGTTCCAGTAGGGAAAACTGCATCAGAGGTATTAACATGATTATGCCAAAAAAAAAAAAAAAGTCTTGTTTCCTGCTACCAGCCTGAAAAAAAAATAGGGTAGGAAGGTCGGAAAATTATTTTATTTTTTCCAATGGCATTTTTTGGATATGAACTAATACAAGATCAAATTAAACATTAAAAAGATACAAATCAAGACATAACCTTTGTTCACCTGCTTTGTATGCTGGCCTAGTTAAAATATTAAATATGAACAACAGCACTTGACTTCTGCCAATAGACAACTTTCACATTTACAAAAGTTATTTCCCTTTGTGGGGTCAATCTGGGGTCAACCGGCGTAAGACACTGTTTTCCCTTTGTAACATTACCAACTTTACGGGGCAATGTTTTATAAATTAAATCTGCTTGAATATGTTCATTATGTTTTTTATGTTGCCCCATACTATGGCAATACAGGAATGAATCAAAATTGTCAGATAGCGTTTGAAGGTTGAAAATATTTACAGGTAAGTTACAAGGGTTAAAGTGAGAAAAATGAGCGTTACGCCGGCAACGGGAGATAACTCTTAAGAATGTGAAATTCATCTATGGCCGCTGCCACTTTGTTTTGTGTTAACACGGAAACCGATTATGGTGACAAAACAATGACATTCCCGATTTTTTTTCCAAAGCTAAAAAAAAAATTAGGGTCGGGTGCAAAAAATAGGGTTGGTCGGGTTGCAGGAAACATGACTATTATTTTTTTTAGCCTTAATTAGTACATATTAACTTTGTGGCAAATTCTTCCAATCACAATTATACAATTTCATGTACTATATATACTATACCTTTCTATACTATTCACCAGGCATTTGTTTTCTTTCAGCAGAGACATAATTTTTTATGTCTCTGCTTTCAGTAACTGTAGTAACTTGTCCTTTCTATGCAAAACCTATGCAGCAAAATTGTTGCACTAGTAGACTGAATTTTACGGAAAGACCTTTAAACAGTCTAGACAAGCTCCTGAAATGGAGTCACTGGAAGTCATTTAATTTACTAACGTTTTGTGCTATGTGGTAGAAAATATGCATTTTCTTTTTAAAATTTAAATACAATCTTGTTGTCATGAAGACAAAAAAAAGTCACATTTGTTGCAGGAATGGGGTAAAAATGATGGAGCTCAGTTTTTCGGCATTCACTTCAATTTTGAGGTCTGTCTAGAGACTGTTAAATATCACTTGAAAATTGGCCTAAGACTCTTTGTTTGAATTTTGCAAAAATAACTACGCAGATATTGAAGTATATAAAGGAATAAATTTCAGAAAACTGTTTCCTATTTTTGACTGTTTACAGCATCTAGAAGATGATGATGAAGATGAGGACGATGATGAAGGAGATGATGATGATGAAAGTGATACTAATGATGATGAACTAGACACAGACATGTTAGATGAACGTGACTCTGGAGATGATGCTGGTTGATTGATTGGATTATTTTTAATTCTATTTTCCTGTATAGACAGTGGTATTAATCAGTTCATGTTGAGCAATTTATTGACAACATATGAATGAATTTTGTTTACCATGAATAATGGAGCATATCAGTGCCATGGATTCTTTATATACAACATATGTGAATACTTGGATATTGTGATTTCATTGTTATCTTCTCATTAAATGTAGGAAAGACTATTGTACATTTCATTAGAATTTTGCTATATTGGTCATAAATATTGTTCTTTTATGATACTGATGAGCTTTAATACATGTAAATGGTATATTTTACACATACATAAATTTGTTTGTGAACTTTATTCATACATCTGAGTATTGAACAAATTTCTATCTAATGTGTAAATTAAGGGAGGACAACTCTGATTTATAAAGTATACAGAATCAGAGGAATTCCAAAACTGTGTAAGTTACTTCTAGTTATTGTTTATGTGAAATACAGTAAAACAGGCTTTATAGCAAATATGCTTATAATGAATTTAAGATTAAAGCAAAGTGATTTTAATTCCCCTTGATTTTAAAAAATATTGTAAACTTTATTGTATATTGAAGCAAAATTGTCCTTCCCTGGCACTTTGTTATAAGTGTGTTGTACTATTTATTGAAACGTTTATCACTTGACAATACAGGACAAGTTCAGATCTTGGCCTGGTCTGTTGCATTACCCCTTCCTGATGTAGCATTATCAGCCAGGGGTGATTTTTAAATAAGTTCTGAGAAAATTACTTCAACGAGTATCATTTAGGATTCCTACAGAAAACAAGTGATTTCTGAAATGGGTCACAACATCCTATCATTGCCTTTAACAAACAAGAGGCTCAAGGGCCTTAATGGTAACCTTGATTAACATATTATTCACACACACACACACCATGTAGGCCTCCACTAATCTTTGAATAATATTTAATTTACATATACTAGTATGAGGTATTTTTGTCTCATTTTTATTCATCAGTCATGATAGGCAAATTAATATGGAAGCAAGGTGTTCAAATGACCCCCCCCCCCCCCCCCCCCCCCCAAAAGGGATAGGGTATGGTGGGACCAACTTTTCGGTACTGAATGCTTTTTTCTTTTCTCTTACCAAAGTGCTCAGTGAGTGATGTGGCCCAAAACTCTTGTTATCTTTGTGCTTCACACTCTCATTTTTTCTTATATTTTTGGGATGGGAAAATTTGATTGTCCATGTATTCATACACTGCATTTATATGTAATAAACTTTTGGAATTTCAATTTTAGCCTGAGATTCCAGATACAAATGCAACAAGAGAATGGATTTTAATTCTTTGTAATCTTTATTTCAATAATCTATTTCATAAAACAAAATAAGAGAAAACATTTTTAAACAGCAATTATACACTCTGGATTGACACACTAAGACTCGATCAACAAAGTGTAAGAACATGCAGATAAATTACTTTTTTGGAGACAGTACAGTACATTATTAGGAGAGGAATATTCTACTAGCAAGTGCTTGAAGTAAATCTTGAATATGAAAGACTTCCTGAAACAATGTGAGCATGATCATAAAAATACCAAGATTAGATGTTTAAAAAAATCAAGAGGAAAAACACTGATAATTTTTTACAAAGTTGTGAAGAAATTTTTAATGAGAAAAAGGCATGAGTAAATATTTATCAAATTAATTACTGTAGATTACCAAATTTTTGTGACACCTTATTTTCCCGAGAAATATATTTTGTATTTATAAACGAGACAAAATTTTCACAAATTCTGGGTATTGTTGTTTAAAATCTATACTAACAAAAATTTACGCGAGAATGAAATTTTCGCGAGCAGACCATTTCAAGTAGTAATGTGAAAATAGAATTCTCACGAATAAAAATGTGATTTACAGTAACAAAGTTATCTCAAAATAAACCAATATGTTACACATTAGGATTCAAGTTCTATGGAGAAAATATGTACAAAACAAACATGTATTAACCTTCCTATCAAGGGAAATTTTGAATGTGGTCACTTCAAACAGCTTTATATATATAACCATAACCATCATAAAAAATGATTTGAAACAAATGAAAAAAAAAATTTCTAATAGGGGACTCGGCAAAAAAAAAAAAAAATATTGGCAAAGGTATAACAACCAGCACTGATATGTTGATAAAATTATTATAATTATGTACTATTAACTGCCTCTATATATCAACAGAACAAATGTAAACTATATAATATTCTACTTAATCCATATCATTTTCAAAGTTCAATTTTTCATGTGAAAAGTAACATGTATTTAGACATAAACCATCTTTACTATGTAGCCAATTCTCTATTCAATAGAGGAAAAAACCTTGGCTAGCAAAGATGGAGGTAATCTAGTAATTGTAAATTAACTTTAGTTAGATCTGAGGTAACTGATGAGTATTTAGTGTACACTATTGAGGCACTTCATGGTTGATTTAGATGCTCAATTTTAATCCTAGCATCCAAAGAATACTAGAATATCAAACCAATTTATATTTATCTGGTGGATAAGAGCACGTTGAATATTCTCCATGTAACAAAAAAAAAAAAAACTGTTAAAACTATTTGGAAAAGATATCGCAATAATTGTGAAATATTTGATAAAACAATGATGAGATCAGAAGAGGGTTAAACAAAAAATTGCACAAACACAAAACAAAATGATTAATTGTAGTCATGATCTATAAAAGCACCTAACCTTCAGGGTAACATGTCCCTACTTACAACATAACACAGTGGAAAGAGTTATGCCTAGCATTCATAGCAATTTTTGGTCAAACATATTTGTATTTTGTATATTTATTGCACATTGCATTCTGTTTAAATGACAAAAACATAATAAGGAGGGGATGGTGTGAGAACCATTCATCAATGTTAACTTTGGTTCAAGATGTTTAAAAATGTTTTTAGACCTCCCATGCATCTAAAGCATCTTTGGCTTCAAATCAAATCATTCCATAAATAAACATCATAATGTAGGACAAGTGTTGTGAGCTTTGCACACTTTCATGCTCTATATCTGAAAGCACTACTGAGTTTCTAAATGGAAATAATTTAGGCAAAGTATGAGTCTCTTAGAAGGTGCATCATTTTCTCTTAATAAATATATAAAGAAGAACAACTACTGCAAGTTTTACTGCCTTAATGGTGATGATTTGTATAGGAACAGGCACATACTAATTAATAAAAGATTTATCCCACTTTTTTCACAAAGGAATTGCCTTTTCACTTATTCCTATTCTAAAGTAATTTCTTAAAGATATGTAAATAAACAAAAATAATTTTCAGTTACATTAAAAGCTGTTGTGTGCAGATCTTGTAACAAAAACAATCAGAGGAAATTGTTGACATAAGATTAAAGTAAAAATGAATATACAGATTCCAAATATTTATGGTATGTTTCCATACTATCAGTTGATCATTCTTGTGCAGGAATATATAAAGTACACATCTGTGTAAAAAAAGACATCAATTAATACCCACGATCAAATCTAAAAACAAATTTTAACAAGAAGTGTTTGTGAAACACCGATGCCCCCGTATGGCAGCTTATGGCAAAGGTTAAAGTTTCTCAAATGCAAGTCAAAATCCAGGCCAAAAGATAAAAAATGTTAAATTTGAAAGCCCTAGCTGCAACTGTTCAAAAGTTATGGCGAAGGTTAAAGTTTTTTAAAAGTAAGTAAAACATCAAGGTCAAGGTCAAAGTTGTTGGTATCCAAAGGAAGGTCTTGTCACAAGGATTACATATGTTAAGTATGAAAGCCTTAGCTGCAACCATTCAAAAGTTATGGCCAAGGTTAAAGTTTTTCAAAAGTAGGTCAAACTCCTAGGTCAAGGTCAAAGGGTCAAAGTGGTTGGTATCCAAAGGAAGGTCTTGTCACAAGGATTACATATGTGAAGTATGAAAGCCCTAGCACCAATCATTCAAAAATTATGGCCAAAGTTAAAGTTTTTCAAAAGTAGGTCAAACTCCTAGGTCAATGTCAAAGGGTCAAAGTGGTTGGTATTCAAAGGAAGGTCTTGTCACAAGGATTACATATGTGAAGTATGAAAGCCCTAGCATCAACCATTCAAAAGTTATGGCCAAGGTTAAAGTTTTTCGAAAGTAGGTCAAACTCCTATGTCAAGGTCAAAGGGTCAAAGTGGTTGGTATCCAAAGGAAGGTCTTGTCACAAGGATTACATATGTGAAGTATGAAAGCCCTAGCACCAATCATTCAAAAATTATGGCCAAAGTTAAAGTTTTTCAAAAGTAGGTCAAACTCCTTGGTCAAGGTCAAAGGGTCAAAGTGGTTGGTATTCAAAGGAAGGTCTTGTCACAAGGATTACATATGTGAAGTATGAAAGCCCTAGCTCTAACCGTTCAAAAGTTATGGCCAAGGTTAAAGTTTTTCAAAAGTAGGTCAAACTCCTAGGTCAAGGTCAAAGGGTCAAATGGTTGGTATCCAAAGGAAGGTATTGTCACAAGGATTACATATGTAAGGTATGAAAGCCCTAGCTCTAACCGTTCAAAAGTTATGGCCAAGGTTAAAGTTTTTCAAAAGTAGGTCAAATTCCTAGTCAAGGTCAAAGGGTCAAAGAGATTGATATCCAGAGGAAAGTTTTGTCACAAGGAATACACATGTGAAGTATGAAACCCTAAGCACCAACTGTTCAAAACTTATGGCAAAGGTTAAAGTTTTTCAAAAGTAGGTCAAACTCCAAGGTCAAAGTCAAAAGGTCAAAGTTGTTGGTATCCAAAGAAAGGCCTTGTCACAAAGAATACACATGTGAAGTTTGAAACCCCAAGCACCAACTGTTCAGAAGTTATGGCCAAGGTTAAAGTCTCATAAAATTTTGCAAAAGTGGGTCAAACTCCAAGGTCAAGGTCAAATATGATGGTACCCAAAGAAAGGTCTTGTCACAAGGAATACACATGTGAAATATGAAAGTCATAGCTCCAACCAATCAAAAGTAATGCGCAAGGTTAAAGTTGACAACAGACAGACAGACACACAGACAAACAGACAGACAGGACAAAAACAATACACCCCCGGGATCTTTCGATCCGGGGGCATAAAAATTTAAAGTGTTAAGCCATTTATTGTTTCTGGATGAATCCAGAAGTCTCTGACGAGACTGTAACTTTGATTGTATTAAAAATTAACCTGGAATTGAAACACTTTTTTTAGTTTAACATTTACAAAACTATATATATCCTAATGTTTTCTAAACTTGTACCATGTTTTATTATAATCAAAGTTTTGTACTTCTAAACATGAAAATTAAATTGATGCAAAACAAACTTGCATGCAGTATACATGTATATTAAAAATGATAGCCTCTGGCTCATTAAGCAAATAAATTACTCTTTTACTTCACAATCTTCATCTTCGCTAGCCAAGGGTTTCTGATCCGCTTTTCTCCTCACAAACCCTTGGCATACGGTGCTATTAAAAGTTGGGTTTTTTTTCTCGAGTTGTGATTGGAGTTGATCGACATCGTTCGACCAATCAGAAATTGCTTTAATTTGTAAATGATGATATTTGCCTTCGGGGTATATCTTGCTTCTTTAGTCTCGGTAATGAAAAACACAAGTAGACAACGATTCATAAGATAACATGTCACTCTATAAATAGATATGGTGTCATCCAATCTTAAGCTGATGTACAAATATTTTGATCAGGAATCTTATTGTAGATGTAGATTTGCACGATAAATAACAAATTAAACATTGCTCGATATCTTCTTGTTAATTATTCTTTAAAAACTTAAATTTTCAAATACGCCTTTTATTTTTGTTGATGACGCAATTTGTGTGTATGTTGGAAGATTCGAGATCACGTGTCGTAAACAATCCCAACTTTTGACTGCACCGTATGCCAAGGGTTTGTGAGGAGAGTAAAGGATCAAAAACTCTTGGCTAGTGAAGATGCACAATCTTATGAAAACAATTTTAAAGTACTTTATACTGTAACAATAATGAAATACTGTCTGTTATACTTGTTTGAAAATCTACATGATCACTTCTGAAACAGATACTTAAACATACATCTCAGAAGTTTGCTTAAAAACAAATTAACTACCTATATGTAGAAGAAGTAGCTATTATCTAAATGTTTTTATCTTTTTAAAATTAAAAACACAATAAGCTTTATGAGAAGAACATGACAAAGAATGTTATGTTTTACAATATGCCCATAGCAAGCAGCCAGCTGCCTGCCTTTGTGTTATTTAGAGATTATAAGGGAAAGGTCACCAGTTTAGAACTGGTTCCTCTGTGTTATGTATTCTCTCCCTTAAAAAAGTCTGAATTCTGAAGTCTGCCTTCTAAACTGTTTTTCACATCACCCAATGTGCCTTTTATCTACAAAATTAATCAGAATAAAAATTCATTATTACTACGCAGTATTTTACTTTGGTAAATAACATTACCTCATACTGTATTATTGTATGAGGATGAATGAAGCTATGAAAATATTAGGACTCCAACAAAGTGAAAAGCTTGAAGTAAAGTTATCTTTACATAATAATTTATGGAGGTGAACGTAATTTTGTCTTGGATAATAAAACTATTCTTACTCGATCTATAAGATCTATTGAGGATGTAATTATTTCCTTCCATCTATCAATTTCACTCTCATGTAATTGTCTTTGTTGTTGTAGTAACTGGATCCATTCTTCTTGTGATTTGGGGTAATTTCTGAAAAATAGAAAGACAATTATATAAAACTTTTTTTACATAAATAATCGAAAACATATCACTTCTTCTAAAGTCACTTCAACACTCTATGTGTCAGTGAACAAAAAAATGATCCTAAAATCATGGAGACAATATTTTTTGCAAATAAACGTAGATACCCTTGAGGTATTCTATACACTGTAAAACATGCTTATAGCAAAGTGCCAAGCACAGACTATTTTGCTTCACTATAAACTTAATTCATTATATCTGTTAAGTTGTCAATACATTTTAAAACCACAAGGAATGAAAATCACTTTGCTACAGCATGAATTCGTTAAGTCTAAAGTGTGTTTTACCGTAACATAAAGATGTTGAATCTCTCTAACCCTTTCACATATGTACATTAAGTCAAATGTACAAAATTTCAATTTTTAATGAAGCTATACATTTAGCATCATTATATTTCATTTTTATACATGTAATATGTTATATAGGTAGTATTTTACTAGATATTGGATTATAACTCACTTGAGATCTTCAGTCACTGTATGTTGTCGTGGGAAGTACACTATATTAGTGTAACTCTCCAAAGACCAGAGCTTATAGAAAAGTATGGCATTAAAGAAAACCAACAAGACCAATCTAAAATATAAAATTAAAAATCAGTTAACTTACAACTGACAAACAAGAGGTCCAAGGGTCTTAACGGTCACCTGAGTACAATACAACAATTTAGAGGATCCAAAAACTGATAAATGAAGCTTTGCTGCCCCAAAACAAGAAAAATAGTATGATTAGGATCAACAAAATAATTGGTCTAATATCTATCTGTCTCCCATTTATCACTATTACCATGCAGACTAGTAACAAAATGTCTATTTTTTAACCCCATGTTATTACTTCTTACATTGGCCTCTCTTGGCCTTTGAAGAACATTTAAAAAGATAAGTTATTTTTGTCTCATTTTTATTCATCTATTATTTCCAAGTCTACCTGATCATTAAAACTATGAAAGTATTTTTTGTATTACATGTATACAATAAATATTCTTGCATAATTTTCTTATTCTATAACCTTTCAAATACATTATTTACAGTGATTAATTTTCAAACGTGAATGGCAAAGGGGAATAACTTTGCTCAGCAGAATACAAATTAATAGAGCCCTGGCCAGGACCATAACACTTGCCTAAGTGGTCAAGGTGTTCAAAATTCTGGTAAAAATACCCTTGCATATTAAAAATTTTACTCTGTTTGCCTTCAATATGCCTAGAAGCATAGAAAATTTTCAAAGAAATGTATACCGTATATACTCGCCTATAAGTCAGTCCGCCTATAAGTCGGTTGTATTTTTTAAGCTTAAATTAGAAGGATTGACCCACTTAATTACCAGTCTTTTCATAACTCGTGTATAAGTCGGATAAAGAGTTTTGAACCAAAGTTTAACTCCCAAAAAACCGACTTATAGGTGAGTATATACGGTATTATTAAATAAATAAAGCCCCACCCTTACACCAGAGCATCTGATCCAGGGGCCACAATACAATTCTGGAAGAAGCACTTTGCTCATCATAACTATACACCTGTTTCTTTGCTTTATAACCAATAGTAGAAAAAATATTTTGAAAGAAATTATGAATTTTCACTGTATAATCAATAGAGCCCCCTCCCCCTTCACCAGAACCCCGACCCTGGGGCTATGAAATTCACAATTTTGGAAGAGGCACTCTTCCTCATCATAACTATGTACTTAATTTATTTAGTTCATTTAATACCAAGGAGCAGAAAAGAAGATTTTCAAAGAATTAATGCATTTTCACTATATAATCAATAGAGCCCCGCCCTAACACCAGAACCCTTGACCCCGTGGCCATGAAATTCACAATTTCTGAAAAGGCAGGTATGCTCACCATAACTATTTTCTTAGTTAGTTTATTTAATACCCTGGAGCAGAGAAGATTTCCAACGAATTAATGTATTTTCACTATATAATCAATAGAGCCCCACCATAACACCAGAACCCCTGACCCTGGGGCCATGAAATTCACAATTTTGAAGAGGCACTCTTCCTCATCATAACTATGTACTTACTTATTTTATTAAATACCCAGGAGCAGAGAAGAAGATTTTCAAAGAATTAATGCATTTTCACTATATAATCAATAGAGCCCTACCCTAACACCAAAACCCCTGACCCCGGGGCCATGAATTTCACAATTTCTGAAAATGCAGCCATGCTCACCATAACTATGTTCTTAGTTAGTTTATTTAATACCCAGGAGCAGAGAAGAAGATTTTCAAAGAAATAATGCACTTTCACTATATGATCTATATAGCCCCACCCTAGCACCAGAACCCCTGACCCTGGGGCAATGAATTTCATAATTTTGGTAGAGGGCTCAATGCTTATTACAATCATGCCAACAGTTTGACTGCTTGATGTCCAGGAGTAAAGAAGAAGATTTTTAAAGATTGCATTAATTTTGGTGGTTTTAGCCCCACCCCTCAGGCCTTAGGAGGGCAGAGACCATGAAATTCAAAATTTTTGTTCCCCTTCACCCATATATGATGCTATATACCAAATTTGGATGAAATTGGTTAAGCAGTTTCAGAGAAGAAGCTAAAAATGTTCAAATGTTAACACACAACATACGGATAGCATTAGGTCACCTGAGTGACTCAGGTAACTTAAAAATATACCTGACACTGTAGTTTTTTCAGTAGCAAATTTTTTGATTTATATAATAAATGGTTTCTCTATACATTGCCAAGGTCACCTAATAAATTGGAAATTAACTGATTTAACTTAGAACATGGGTGTCTCTGTGTATATAAATAAAAGAATAACATTCAAAACGTTTCTTTAATCCCTTCAACTGTTTAATAATTTTGGCATAGACGAACATTTACAAGCAACACTGTATTGATACTTACACAACCAATATCACTCTAACTAATGTATCTGCATTTAATTTAGAGATATCCTCTTTATGTATTGTAACACCTGTTAACAAAGAAACAATCATTAATGACAACAATATACATGACAGATTCAGTTTTTTTTTCAATAAATACACAACTACAGCTTTTTAATATCTATCAAGGCAAAATGGACGACAGTCTTGACTTTTGAAGTAATCATAAGCAAGAGGCCCATGGGTCATAATGCTCACCGAGTCATTATAGCCCTGCTGTTCATTGCCAGAATTTTTTTTTTTTTACATTTCCCTCTTTAATTTCATAAAAATTTTGACTCCATATTGTGGACCAATCCTAATACTATAGGGGCTATGATTTATTTAAGAAATGAATTTAATTTTTGAAGATTCATGAGGACATGAACTACGACGCTTCACGCCGGCATATTTCATGAAGCGCGTTAGCACTTCATGATAAATATGCCGGCGTGAAGTGTTGTAGGTCATGTATGTCATGAATTTTCGAAAATTAAATTCATTTTTTATATTTACATTATTTTCTGATGAGTTACCACAAATGACATCATTCAACTGTCATTTTTAAAGCAAAACAGTTTGCACTATAGTTTTGACGTCAAGTATAGTATTATGACGTAACAATGGAGATATTCATGCTCATCCATGGTAGTTCATGAGAAAATGAACAGTCTTCTAAATTGCAAAGAATCTGAAGGAAAAATATTTGGAAATGTAAATATTCAAAGTTGAATCCACACAACATTAGGATGCATCGATTAAAATGACCATGCTGCTCAGGAACAGTGTTGGTTTTTTTACTTAGACATTATGTAGAATTTGGAGCTCTGATTTTAGCCCATCTCTAATCACAGGGTTCATAATTTTAACAAGAGGCCCATGTGTTGCAAAGCTCATCTGAGTCATTTGGCCCAGCAGATTTTGTTTTTTTTCAAATTCCCCTCTTCAATTTCATAATACGTATTTTGACTCTATGTTGTGGACAAAAATCTAGACCTAAAGGAGTTACAATTTATTTAGACTTAATTCAACACAACATCAGGATTATCATGATTTGAACAAATTATAATCTTAATTAGGTCAGGAAGCTTACATGTAAGTGTCATCTTTTCTGGCTCAGTGAATTTTGAGAAGAAGACTTTGAAAAGATGTCATTTAATTTTCACTAATCCTTAATTACTATAAAGGTTCATATACTAGGGCATTAAAATTTAGCCCAGTCGTCCTCTTCAAATGATAAGTATAAATGTAAATTAGCGCACAAGTGTTTTAACAATGACATGTATAAGCTTTAATCATGTACTAGTATGTATATGTTTTTAAATAAGTTGACAAGGTGCTAATATACACCTATTTACTGGCTATGAGGACAATAGCAAGTTTATCGTTCCCCAAGACAGCAACTATTTCCCGAGGCGCAGCCGAGGGAAATAGTTGCTGTCGAGGGGAACGATAAACTTGCTATTGTCCGAATAGTCAGTAAATAAGTGTTTTATTATACCGAAGCAGTCTTTACTTGTGTTACGTCACAATCTGTATAAAACCAGAAGAGTTCCGAGATGAAAAGCGAGGGAAACAGAATGCTGCCGGTGAATAGTTTAATGACTATTTCACCATGGGCAAATAGCACAAAAACTATTCCACGGTAGGGGCTGTTTGGAAAAAATAGCATGTTTATTCGTAATATTTTTATATAGAAAAAATTCACAGAGGTATAATAAAATATTATATTCACTAAAATAAGCTTATTTTGCAGAGGAACAAAGAAACAAAGGCACCAAAAACTTTCCCTTAACTTTGTGAAAATTAATACCCGGTACATTGTTTTGTAACATACAATATGACAAGAAAAGAACCTTTTTGGTCTCAGCAAATAGTAAATTATAAATCTGAGCTTATGCTTAATGACAAGAAGTGAAGTCAAGGTCAAATGATAGGTCAAGTCAATTTTATAACAATAATTTGGTCTCCAGTTGAATTCACTGGGAAGTCCAATGAGTAAGAACTTACAAGTAAATATGACTAATCATGGCATTGCTGTTCTTGAGAAAAGAATTTTTAAATATATATCCTATACATTCCTAAGTAAAATTTTGATAGCCCATTGTGGCCCCACCCTACCCCCCAGGGTCATGATTTTAACAAACATGAATCTACATTACTGGTATGTCAGAAAGCTTTCATTCAAGTTTCATCTGTTCTGGTCCAGAAATTTTTGAGAATAAGATTTTTAAATGGCCCAACCAAATTTTCATTATTTCTTAATATCCACCCTTAGAAGAGAGTGTTGGCCTTTATTTGCATAAACCTGAATGCCCTTCACCCAAGAATACTATGTGCCAAGTTGGGTTGAAATTGGCCCAGTGGTTCTGGAGAAGAAGATAAAATTGCAAAAAGTTAATGACAATGACAAAGAGGACAACAAACAATGGAACATTTTGATCAGAAAAGCTCACTTGAGCCTTCAGATCAGATGAGCTAAAAAAGTGCTCCTATGAAACTAGGTTAGATGATGAAATGTGAGGTCAAAATCATAGGGGAGGTTCAAGTCAGAAAACAGTTTCTTTGAAACTGTGCTTAAAATAAGAAAGCACAGACAGAAGAATGGATGCCAGAAACAACAAGAGGCTCTGCCTATATTTATATTTATGATGTGGCATAAAAACTTCATATCAATTACTGTACATTGAAATTGAATTGCAATGAAAATATCTTTCACTAATTTAATTCTTTTTCCTAACTGTGAAACAAAGAACTGAAACAATCAATTCTCTACATGTACACATTTCTAAGCAATGGATATAAAATAAAGGAAATATGTAGCTGCCAATTATACTACATGTATATACAATAGAACAAGAAAAATTGTGTAGATGTTTCCATACCACAGACATGTAAACATGTATATGTGTACCCATGTAAAAGTATGCATCTAGCAAATCTTTACTATAAAATGCCATGACTTACTTTTGACTGGGGTGGTGGGTGTTAGACTTGACTTGACAGCTTGTCTTGTCTGTTTATCTATCAGAGACAGGTGTCTGGTGGGTTTTAGTTTGTGGATTTCTGGGACTACTGGATGCTGAGCTCGAACTCTCCTCTTTCTAATTTTCCTTTTGCCACTAGCACGAGTCTGCAGAACACTGGTTTCAAATTTGTCTGACTCTTGCTTCAAGTGAACACTAAGGGTATTGAAGTGATCTATACAACCTTGTATACTATTCTTCTCTATCATACCTGTAAAGATGACGGAATTATAATCACATACATGTATTTCATTCCACAATTTAAATAATATATTGTAATTGCCAATTTAATTCAAGTTACTATATATCTCATAAATCAAGAAGTAGACCTTGTAAACCAGTACCAAATGGTTTCATACTATCCAAATGCTAAACTAAGTTTGTCCAAGATCTAGCTCATCATCAATATTAAAGGTTCAGACTTTTCCCCAATTATAAAAGCATTCAAGCAAGTTCATGAGTTTCTTTTCTGTTTTACAGAAAGTAGTTTTTGATTGGTATTTTATGATAATGTCATATTGGTGATCAATATCACCCATAGAAACAGTAGACTATCCACCCTCATTATCTTTTGTAACAAAACGTAAGACATTATCTATTGATCTTTACTTCATTATCTTCTCTTTTTCACTCAAAGTTACACAAGAATATTTACAGATATAACATCTTTTTTTGAAATAGACATTCATGTGTACTTTTTCTTACATAGTCTACAATTTCGCACAGGGGTCTTAAATTTAAAATGTAATTAATCTAGTTTAATATACTACATTTATAAATTCTATTTTTGACTATGCTGTGTTTATCAATTTTATTTATAATACATACTCTTGACCAGTCCCCAAACAGACTTCTTGTAGCGGACCTCTGACGTGACCTGGAGACGGGACTTGTACCTATTGACCTTGGATATGCAGTATCTATTGACAACCTTAAAGAAAAGGAAGATACATATCAAATGCAAAGTAACTCTTAAATACTAGTATACATGTATATTGCATATCTGGTGTGGATAATGAAAAACTCCAAACTGACACTCTGGTCATTTTATCAGTAACACACTGATAAAATCTTTATAGATTCCTCTATGACTGTGATGCTGTCAATGATGCATTACCAGAAAATAGACTGAATCTGTAAAGGTATATATGTATGTTGTATATATATGTATGTTGTATATGTATACATGTTCTATATGTATGTATGTTGTATATATATGTATGTTGTATATATATGTATGTTGTATATATATGTATGTTGTATATATATGTATGTTGTATATGTATATATGTTGTATATGTATGTATGTTGTATATACATGTATATGAATGTTGTATATGTATGTGAATCAGATTAACTGGAGATGATACTTTACAAAAAACTTATTGCCTTTCTGGAACAGACAGTATACTGAATCTCAATGGTATATCTGTAAGAGGTGCTTAAGATTTGTCAGTGATACCTCATGAGAGAATTATATACAGTCAGACCTCATTATCTCAAACTTGATGGGACTGAGAAAAAAACTTCATGATATCCAAGGTTTCAAGATATTGAGGGTAAAATACTTAAGAAAGATAAGAATGACTTGGTTAGGACTTCCCAATCACTTCAACATATCCATGGTAATTGAGATATCTGTGTTTGAGATTACCGAAGTTCAACTGCAGTACATTTCCAGAACCAACTTGAAGAAAGTTTACTGTATCTGTACTAGTATATCTGTAGAGGTATTTACGATTTACATGCTTAAGTATCACCATTTCACTGAAATGAAATTTACCTTAATATGTACCGGTAAACTCTATCATGTAGCTTTTAAAATCTCATTTATAATGCACAATATTTTGATGCATTCTGTGCATGCAAATGTACTTATTGTTAAAATGTTCTCAATCAACTTTTCTTAAAAGTTTTGAAAATGTCAATATTTGTCTTTTAAATTATTCCAAAAATTCAATTGTTTACTTCTCATGCTTTTTTTTTTTTTAAATTCTGCTAGCGCACTTTTTTGCTGCCAAATTTGATATACATAACCTTGGACTGATTGGATTTACTACCATTCTAATTGATTTCACCATATCTTAGTGCGAAATTTATTTATAAATCAATTCAAAATTTAAATGCCAACTGCAATTTAACCACATGAATTTATCATGCAAAATAATAGATTATTTCAATTCAAAACAATTCAATAAAAATCATGATATGTCTACAAATCACTTACCTGTATCTTCCTTGCCTTAGCCCCTATCTTAGAAGAGTTTTTTTATGAAGATTAACATATAAACACTAATAAAAGAGTAATTTACACCTGAGCTGACATAGTCACTCAATATCCAGTATCGAGTTTATTCCTAGGGATAGGGCATATAGTGCAGAAGTGTGCACACCTGTCATGCAGCACCCATTATGTCATCATAAAATATTGAATGCTTTTTTTTTAACTTTGAAGTGCACATTTAATGCTCTTTATTTATCAAACTTACTGAATTAATTCAAATACAGATATTCCTCATTTTAAATATCCTTTATTCGTCATCCTAGCAACTTCAAACATAAGTTATATAATCATAACCTTCATTTTCACATATCTAGGCGGTGATCAAAGTGAGAACTAATGTCAGTCTTATGATTTCAGATCTGTATGTATATGCTAGCTTTATTGTTTTAGATGTGAACAACAACCTTGCTTGATGGAAAGTGAGAAATACTTCCACTAGATACCTGGCCCATAAACTTCACGATTCTGCAGTCATGAGGGTCATAAAATATTGATAAAATATAACAGTTAGGAAGAAAAGATGAAATTCTTCAGTAATGACTGCCATCCTTGAAAGATTGTTGATATCACTTTTTTCCAACTCAATATTAGTCTAGCAGTGAAAATTCTGTTTCATAAGAACAGACACTGTGTAGTCAAATGGACAGAAAGATCTATGATGTGAATATGAACTTTAATGTTTTGCAAATAAAAGAGAAAAGCAAAGGTCCTTATGCAAAGAAAATACTTTTTTTTTAAATTGGTTGAGTTGAGATGAAGTCTACAGTGTTGTAGAATTGTTTTCTGCACTTTCCCCTTCCCAAACATCTGCCAGTGTAGATATTAACCAACAAATAACTCCGAGAGCTCAGAATTTAAGGCCTTCAATGGTTTGTAGATTTAACAACCATTAATTCCCAGGGCCAGATAATCTTAAACCTTCAGAGGTATAGATATTCATCCCAGTTCCTGTTGAAGAATGTGCTATTTCAGCATGTTTAGTTTATGTAATTATGTGACAAATCCTATACAAATCCATGTTACACCAAAGTAAAATTACTGTTTGTCTGGAATTGGCTTTTGCCTCATTGAAATTACCCCTCCTGAAAAAAAAAATATTTGCCAAAGGTAATTTTTTTTTAAATTTAATCAATTCTCCTGAACACACATGCCACCCATACACCTTTTTAGTATGGGATCTATGCAAAAACTGGGTTCTTGGTTGTTAGGAAATACCTTTTACAAAAACTCAGGAAAACAATGTGTTCACTGCTTATTGAGATTTTTATCAACAGTTTTTAATTAAACTTCAATTTTGAAAAAATAATAATGATTTCCCTCCCTCCCTCTTGAGTCTGAACCAAACCCCGCAATTCCAAACATTTCAAAAGGATGGCCTTATGCCTCCATGTGACCTACTGACTGTAAGTGGAATCAATACCCCTTCAATGTGACCTTCTGAATGTCATAACGAAAACAAGTTTAATCATGCAGTGAAACCAATCTTTAATAACAATCAACAGATACATGTTATCAGCACTCTAGATCAGTAGATACATGCTATCAGCACTCTAGATCAGTAGATACATGTTATCAGCACTCTGGATCAGTAGATACATGTTATCAGCACTCTAGATCAGTAGACGCATGTTATGAGGACTATAGATTAGTAGATAAATGTTATCAAGACTCTAGATCAGTATATACATGTTATCAACACTCTAGATCAGTAGATACATGTTATCACTTTTATTTTTATTCTTCATGACAACCTTCATCTATGATACTCTATTTGAAGTTACTGGTACCAACCTCTACTAACTGGGAATGTACAAATGTAGTTACCCAGCCATATATGAACCTTCACATATTCGTAAGTGATGTTAAAGCAAAAAATGAACTAGACTTGTAATGAAAAGTTTGAGAACTAGTCATAAAACTAATCATACTTACTATGAATGTATTTCCATAAGGAATCCCCAGACAGGAACACTCTGTGTCTACTGTGAAGTAAGTACCAGGGGTTGGATCCTTCTGACAAGTCTGCAGCTCAACGGCCTGGGAAGACTTTGGACCTATCGAGTAGTTTAATGGGATGGTGTAGCTGACCGTGCGAGTTTGTTTACCATGTCCCATGTCTTTCCATGGGGTAAAGGTGAAGTCTGCAATGGTAAAAAAGCAGTAAACATCAAGTCTTATTATTAATCCTACAGTTGTGATTATGGATTACAAACATTGTTTTAAAAAATAAGAACTTCAGGCACATTTGTAAAGCAAATGGCAATTTATTTGTTTAAATTTCATTAATAGTTAAATATTTTACACTCTTCATTTGAAGAAAATAAAGAAATAAAACTTTCATATAAATGACATGACCTTTTGACCCCCTTCTAGAGTGGAACTCATTGTAGAAGTCGGACTCTGTAAACAGCATCTCAAACATTTTCTCCACTGGAATAAAGTACACCTCATCCAACATAGGTTTCTCAAAATGGTTATGTTCAGCACAAAACAGTGTTCCTTCTCCTGCAAGACATCAACAGATTAGAGGCAAGATCAGAAGATTGATGTCTGATAGAAAACTAAATTCATATAACTAGGAAGAAGGGGGTTAAAAGCCCCAAAGTTTTTGTTGTCCAACTTCGATAATTGCGTACAAAAGTGCTCATTATACATGAAACTTTTAATTATAAAATATTGTAGTATTTGAAACACTTCTTTTTAAGAAATGAATTTAATTTTTGAAGATTCATGAGGACATGAACTACGACGCTTCACGCCGGAATATTTCATGAAGCGCGTTAAAGCTTCATGATGAATATGCCGGCGTGAAGCGTTGTAGGTCATGTATGTCATGAATTTTCGAAAATTAAATTCATTTTTTATATTTACATTATTTTCTGATGAGTTACCACAAATTTCATCATTCAACTGTCATTTTTAAAGCAAAACAGTCTGCACTATAGTTTTGACATCAAGTGCGGTATTATGACGTAACAATGGAGATATTCATGCTCATCCATGGTAGTTCATGAGAAAATGAACAGTCTTCCTATTTGCAAAGAATCTCAAGGAAAATTATTTGGAAATGTAAATATTTACGAATAAACAAAATGACACATAAGATATGTATAGGCAATAAATATTACTGTTATACCTTTAAAAATTGTTTCCTATACACAAGTAAATCTATACTAAAAAATGTCTCGCATTTCCAATGTATTTCCAAGCAATCCAAAAAAAAAGTTTGACTGCTGAGTGTGAGGTATTTGACTTGTCAATAAGATGTTAGACCGCTATGATGGTTTGTTTTTTTTTACGTCACACTGTAGGCAGGATCAGCTATATCTTATCAATTATCACAAGCATGGAAGCCAGTGCAAGACATAATAAAAATTAAAAGGTATAAAAAAAAAAACAAAAAACTTTACATTGTATTGCCTGTGTTCTTGGGTAAAATGAGTTTTGTTAACCCCTCGAACCAAGCTGTCTGCCTTTGGCATAACAGCTTCAAGCAAGCAGTTTGGTTCTTGGATCTGACAAAATGCTTGTTGCCCTTGAACTCCGTCAATAAATGTATAGTTCTATAAATTCACATATTTTCGAGGGGACAAATCTTTGTGGTTAGAGAATAAAATACTGGTTAATGCGGATTTGAATTTCTGGTTGAAAAAGTATGTAATGTTATATATTTCAAATTTCACATTTTTAGGAGGTTACCAATTTGTGGGTTTCTTCATACCAAGACCCCCCCCCCCACACACACACACAAAATTAAGTGATTTCACAGTACTTCATAATCAAATCTGAATCAATATTTATCACATTTATTTTTTTGGATGGGGGTGTGTGAAAACTTACTACTGTGAATTTAATTATTTGTCAGATATTAAACTTTTGATTTTGTCCCTTACTTCATCAAAATTTTACTCAATACTCATTAACATTCAAATCTAAATTGTTAGAAAGTTGCATTTTAATCTCTGAAATGCTTTCTAATTTTCTTTAAAGCTAAAGACTCCACTCCTCTAGCCTAATTACTCTTTAAATGTTTCTCTCTGATTCTGTAGTTATGAGAAGTATTTCCCTTTACAAATACCTAATTTCTTTTATCAATATCAATATTAATTTTTTTTGCTATTTTCCAGAAAACTGAACTAACCCTCACTGTCCTCTGTGGTATCACTCTGATCAGTAGCAACATCTTCCACTGGATTATCCTCTACTGCTGCTGGGGCAAATAACTGCTGGTCTTTACTGTTATTAATGTCCAGGTCATTCTGAGGTAGCCCTGGTAACAGGATACAATCAGAGTCTGTGTTTTCTGTCTGTTAGTAAAATAAATCAGGTTAATAGTCAAACTGTTGCTTCAAAAAGCTTAAATACTAAACATACATCATGTAAATTTATTCTAGTATATAATAATACAGTCAAACCTCGTTATCTCGAACTTCATGGGACCAAGAAAATACTTTGAGATATCTGAGGATTTGAGATATCCAGGGTAAAATATTTAAGAAATAAGTGCTCAGGACTTCAAAATCACTTCGACATATCCATGGTATTTTGAGATATCCCTGTTCAAGATACTGAAGTTCAACTGTATCTAAAATATTTGGACAATAAGACTAAAAATTATCTTTTTGCACTGCTTTCATTCCCTACACTAAAAACAGACCTGATTTAACCCACTGGGGGTCACTGATCTGATTTAACCTACTAGGGGACACTGACCTGATTCAACCTATTGGGGGTCACAGACTCCTCCCTGATTGGTTCTTCTATGAGTGAGGGTGGGGCTACATAATCGTCATCACTGGAGTCCAGACACAGCTCCTCCCCGTAGTTATAGTGAATCCATTGCCACATCTCTTTAGCTGCCATAGGCTGTCAACAGTACACACAAACAACAGTAAATTATACATCCTTAGGGCTTATTTCTGGATTCTGGGTGTAGAAATACCAAGGAATTAAAGCTACCAGTATTTCATACACCATCTTCATTAACAAATTAATGAGCTAAGAAGATTTTCATCTCTACCCACATAATTAAATCATATGAATTATAGTTTAAATTCACATGATGTCACAGTAATCAATGAAGAGATGAAGTTAAATATCCTTTTATTTAACATTGTATGTATACTTGTACACTTAAGTGGTTATGAAAATGTTTTTTGTACAAAAACAGGATGCTTTTGAGCAAAGAATAACCACAAATATTAGGGTATATTAATCATATTGAATTTCCCTAATTAACCCTCTGGCTGCGACGTCAGTGTACAGAAAATATAACGTCACTGCGAGATTAAAATGACGTCACAATTTCTTTGACATTATTTTGTGGGATTTTTTCTGGTTTACGCTTAGTGCGCGTCAAATACAGGATAGGTGTATGGAAATTTATTCAATTTTAACATCAAGAAAACTATGTGGATTTAGAAATTCTTTTTTTTTTTACATGTATATTTTGTCCCAATTTTAATCATTAATTATTATGATATTTTAAAGATATTTTCGATAAATACCAATAATCGATTATGAAGAATGAATTCATAAAAATCAGAAGCGAATTAAATTAAAATCAGATGAATAATCCTAAACATTATCGATAGTTTGTTAAATATTTGCTAAATAATAAGGTAAAATATAGTATATAGATCAACATTAGTATTTTTCATTCTCCATCTTTTTCTTCATTTGCATTCAACTTTTTTACTATACGGTTTGATGCCTTCTAAAATATTTCGCTCAAAGTCCAAAAATTGAAGCGTACGACGTTCTATTAATTTTGCGTCTGCGGCCCGCGTAGATTTTTCTATTCCTAAATTAAATAAAAAAGCAAGCTAAATTTTTCCAAGAATGGTTCTCACTTAGAAAAATATCATAAAACAACTTTTACCTATGAATTTGAATTAAATTTATTAGAATTAATTCTATAAAAGTTGTATAAATATTCATTTTGGAATTAATGTAGACTGAAAGATTAAACACATATTAGGCTAACTGATTTAATTTTTGATTAATAAACCAGCAATTAGGAAAAAAGATCTACCATTAAGGTGTTCAGTGCAATGCGCCTAAGCTTCTCTGTTACATGTAATTTGGCCAAAGGGCCGAGACGATACCTTTCAGTCTGATGTTTTAGACTGGTGGAAGTAAAATACTTTATGGCTAATTTTTGTGCGTAGCCCACTTCCTTGCCGATAAATGATATAGGAATTGGCTATAAGGCGTTGTTAATTTAAAATAATCCTTGGTATAGGAAAACTTACAAAATACAATTCTAAACTGATAAATATATAGACAAGTTGAAAAAATATAATTTGTATATATCAGAGGTAATTTTAAGCAACATTAATTCTGAAATTCCATATTTTATGGATGAGATCGATTAAAGGGAAAAAAAATATTTGCAGTTTATCGGAAGTAAAATTTGATAAACGAATTCAATTAACTGTGTCAATATGGAATAAAATTCGAAGAAAATAAATTAGGGTTGTATTCCATATTCTGTTGGATCGAAATGATATCGGGATCATATAATTCCTACGAATTGTCGGACAAGTCGATACCGGCAATCTTGTTTTTACAAAATAAACACCAGGGAACTTTTGCATTTTGTACTGAAATTATGCTGTAAAGTTAAAATACATACGAACAATGTTTTATTTTATGAGAGAAAGTGAAAGGATAATGAGAAGAATTCAAAATTTAATTCAAACCAATACAATCATGCTATTAGAATGTTAGAAAAAAATTTGCTCCGTATCCACATCTTAGTATCCAGCTGCATTGTTCATGTAAGATGAGATTAAGATGTAATGTTCACCATGATATATGGGATATTCTATAAACTAGCAAGAAGGGTGTTTTGTAAAGGAAGACTTCGGTTGACAAGGGCATTGTTTTCTTTTTTACTAAAAAAAAATTGCTTTTGCTTTTAACATTGGGTAATAAATCCTAGCTTAAACCATTTTTTTTAGAATATCAAGCATAATGAATAAACATACACTTGACAAAGATTAAACGGGATTTGAAAACAAGTTAATTAAAAACATATTTATCCGTCTCCTTAATTATTACTGAGTATTTGTTTTTTTGTAAATAACGCATCCTTTTTTTTTGGTTCAGAACAAGGTTGAAACTATAAATAAAAGTTCTTATCATCTTATGGCCTAAGTAAGATTTTTTTTTGGGGGGGGGGGGGGGATTTCAAGGGGAAAGGATATGATAGATAACTGTTTATGAATATCTGGATTTTTTTTTTTTGGGGGGGGGGGGGGGGGGGTAGGGTTACAAATTAAGATACACTTAGTATAAACTAATACAGGATGAAGAGTATAATGGGTCCCAAAAGGTCGTGTCTGTTTGTCTGTAAACAAGGTGTTAATCGTTTTTTGTATACTAATCTTGTGACTAAAATTGGAGAATGAATGTCAAAATCATGAACACCTATATTTAGAACACGAGAGGACAGCATCCACGAATATTTATCAGATTAAATGCGAACCGTGCTCCCTACCCTATATACCGGTACATATCTGCTGGTTGCATTTGTAATATACGTGCAATTTTTTTTGGTGAAATATCAATGGCTTACTGACAACGGGAGAGCGAGGGGATTACAAAATTATTACACACTTATTTGGTTCTTATCTATTTATTTTTAAAATGAAATTTTCACTCTTCTTTTTTCAACAAATCCTGACTGTGTTTCCTTAAAATTGGGGTTAATTGTAATAGTGTTTTGGTGGAAAATGAATTCCTTAGTATTTGAAAGCGAAGACATTAAAGATTTCTTCAATTTTTTGAGGTAATGTTAATAGAGAATTCTTGTATCATTTAGACTCTGCTCAAACAGTTTTCTATGCGGCTTTTTGGCAGGCACATACACTACAGTACGATGTCACTTCGACTCTTAAAGGCCAAAATTACCAAATATATATTTGAGCTCGATGACATTTACATATAATTCCACAACAGAGTGTTTGTGCATACATGTATTTACGTGTGTTTGTAAGGTCTTTAAACATGATACCACGACAAAAAGTAAAATATGCATAGTAGCTCTCATTCTTCATAATTTATAGATTTCATGTAAGCTCAGATGGTTAATTATAGAAAATCCAAGTGTTTACCAAAAAAACTTGCATTTTAAATCCAACCATATTTTATCAGTACATGTATATACAGAACATGTAAAATCTCTTGCTAAATGTTATCCTTTGAAAATGTACTATTTATGTACACTGTACATGTAAAGTTCAGTAATAAACGTGTACGTTGGGTCATACCCAGCGGTCCCGCGCGAGGTACTGGTTAATATATGTTGCGATATCATTGCCATGGAGAAACAGAGAGAATATTGAAACCTGCCTCTGGTCTTAACACCTTACATGTAATATGCAGCATGCACGGATGGATGGGTGGGGTGGGGGGTCCGGGAACCCCACCCCACCCCTGAAACTTGCGGGATCTTGGATACGCAGCTGTGCAGGTGTCCTAAAAAGCCATAGATTCATGCCTGTAAGATTTCTTAATTTAAAGTGTACTAAAATAAACTGTGCCTAGTATCTGAGAATATATGGTTACTCGAATAGGGTGTGGGGTCGTGTTGCGAAGATAGAACTTGCTCTGCACATCAATCTATCAAGAAAATATAACAGGATCAGGTATGTGATAATTCGATGGGGGAAGGGGGGGGGGGGGTTCGACGTAATGTGGGTAAACGTGCGTATGTCGGAGAAATGGTTTGATAGTGTGCGGATAATTAAAATCATTCACACACCCTACATTTGTCTATATTTGATGGCAAACTTAATCTTTGCTTTCGGATTCAAATCAAAATCAGAGTCAAATTTGGAAGCAGAATTCTTTTTTTGTTTTCCAATGTCAGACCGATTAAGTAATAATGAAAATAATAAAAAAAAATGACAGAATTTTGTAACTTTTAAAAAAAGAAAATTATATCACTAAAAGATAACGCTATTTTCTCTCTGAATGTGGGGATGGGGTGTGTTTTTTTTTCCCTTCATTTGATCTGTATAGGAATGTTATAAAACATTTTATTAGTATAACTTGAAATATATTTTATAATGGACGTTTACGTATGTTCTCATTTCACAGTTATAATAATATGAAAAAGTATTTCGACTGCGCATTTAAGAATTAATCACATGCATGGAAAAAATACAAGTGCATATAATATAATGATTAAATAAATGTGTTACTGGCTTATTTAACTTACATTTAAATGCAAATGCTTTTAAATTATTCAGTCTTTTTATAAAAAAAATGCTGTGAAAATATAATAATACTAAAGAAAATCTCAATAAAAATAGAGAGAAATCACGCAACATTTATGACGTCGCCAGGGACATATATGTCCCTCCCGCAGCGAACGGTAAAAGGACATATATGTCCTTCCCGCAGCCAGAGGGTTAAAGTGTGAAAATTCAATCACATGAGCAAACACATGCTATGTTTATCATAACCAGAAATCTCTGATCAGATTGAAACTCTTATTCTTTAAACCTGATATCAGCTGGTGCATGTTTGTTTCTCATGTTGAAAAGTAAAAAAACACTTATCACTTAAAGCCTACAGCATGTCAAAACAATTTCAAGAAGTACTGTAGTATTGGTAAATAAAAGAAAAATTTGATTTTAAATGTATTATAACTTTAATTTTCTTACCTACAAGAACTAACTGTAAAATGTCTATTTTTTCTGTACATGTATTACTAGTGAGTGCACATTTAGCGCAGGTCTCACCTGTCCCAGTAGAGCATTCTGCCAGACTCGGAACAGCATCATGTATGTCTTGTCTCTGTTCCCCAGACTAGTGAAGAAGTACTTCTCTCTCTCTGTCTGGATCTGTATAGCATTAGGAATCACTCGAGCTGTCTTCTCTTTAGTGATGGAGGTGATCTCTTTACATGGAATGGCCAGCTAAGTCAACAACAACAACAACAACAAAAATGATACAGATATTCTACTTCAGAGGGCCTTTATGAATGATCAAAAATTTCATTAGTATGATATAGATATACATCACTATTATGAATTTCATACCAGTGTTTCCCAAGTAAATATGTTGGCATAGAAACAGACCCAGTTTTGTGTAATATACATCCTGCCTTGGACCAGAATTTCTTTTTGCAAGGCACAAGAATAATCTGCAAGAAAAAAATATTTATTTCAACATTATATATTACAACTCACAATCCTTGAGATGACTTCTATAAAAGAGACTTTGGAGGCCAAGATGAATTACAGACCAAGAGAAACAATTAATACAAAAATATTGTGTTAACAATGAAGCAACAAAATCTGTTGATACTTATCAGATAAAAAATTTAACTTTATAACTTTAATAGAACTTTAAATTCAAGTTTCACAAATCAAATTTTCTCAATCCTTTTCTCATTACATTTAAACTGAAATCTGTTCAAAAATATCTGTATTATGTAACAAATAAATACAATAAACAAACAATATCCTTACCTACAAGAAGCCGATCCTCTCTGTTTACATCCTTAAAAATCTTCCTGAAATCTTCACTCTTTGTTTTATATGAAGAATTCCACATCTAAAATATACAAATTTAGTAATGTACTACAAAATTTATCATGCAGCATTAGACATTGTATTTATTTATTATTAACAAGTTCTTTGATTTTTTTTCACCTGAACTTAAAATTCCAGTTTACATCTTAAATAGGCTGTTTTTAATCAAATATGTTGAGTACACTTTCAGGTTTAATATAGTTAATATGAAATACTACTGTAAAAGAATTGACACATAGTGATTACAATACACAGTTACAAGATAAATTTTGAGATGATACTGGTATACAAAATGGTTGATTGCTCAAACAAAACACCCCCTTCCCCATCCATGAACCCAAAATGTGCTGTGACAATAAAATATAATGCTGGTGGTTTAATCCACTGCCAAGATTTGAATCCTCATATCAGGTCATTTACATAAAGTTAGAAGCCTCAAACTTTGATTTTAAATTCTTATCCAAAGTCCAACTGGATCCAACACTTACATTCCCATATATATTAGATGAACATATGGTACATGTGCATGATTGTACAGTGTATATAAAATTCCTGTCAGCCCCTACTCAAAACCTGTTAGCTTTCTAACCAGACTGACAATGTTTTAATTAGGATTTCCAGCAATTTCTATATTGATTTTGACAAAAATTAAATTATTAATAAGAACTTGTATTGTCACGAGCTTCATAAACTGAGCACCTTTCACACTTTATTCTCAATTTTAAGAAATGTTGACACCATAGCAAAATTTGAATTTTTTTTTTTTTTTTGAAAAATGAAATAGCAAGAAATTAGTAAAAAAAAAATTAATCTCACTTTTATAGGTTTTTGGCATTTATGTTTATAAATGTTACAATTTTTTAAAATAATTAACTGTTACAGTAATTAGCCCCTTCACGATAACTGCAGTACTACACTTTTGCAGGGCAAATTAATAACGTTTGGTGAACTTTTTTGTTTGACAGATAATTAAATGATGTATAGTAAATAATTGCTTTTATGTCATATTTCACCAAAGTATATCATTTTGCCCTGCAAAAGAGCAGTACTGCAGTTATCGTGAAACGGTCTATAAGTATGATCCTTCTTATGATTTACAAATGTTTACATTGAATTTCTTAAATCTTTGGAGTTCCTCACACAATTAATGTATGGAACCTTTTACATTAAGTGTTAGCTTGATTTCAAAAAATATATAGTGAGTACACATTTTTAAAAACAAAAATTGATTCTATGACCTTTACATTGAAACATGACTGCTACTGGTTCACTACCCTGTGTAAGAACATATATACACGTATCTGTTTTATAAGTACAATCTATTCTACCTCTACATCATAACAGAATATTGTGTTGGCTTTAAATTAAACACCACCACAAGGAAAGAGTTATACACAGAACTGCTAACTAAAGTAGCATACATACTATGCATATATAAAACTTAATATATGCATACGTGAATTAAGTAAATATAAATTCTAACTATCTATTGTTAAAAATTTCAATCTATACACATGTAACATGAAGAAAATGTGACTGACCAGACCAGGATTTGAACCCTGCATGCATGGGCCTCTTAACATGTACCAACTGAACTATATATGGTCACAGGCAAATGAGCCTTCTGACTGCCACATGTGTACATCAAACATTTTTACCACTGTGACAGATCAAGCAACGCAAATTGTTTTAATAATAAGGATTTTATGAAGGGCAGGAATAAATTCTTTATGAAGTAATCTCTTGATTTCAACCATTACAAATTAATGTGATGCAGCAATAAATGAAAGTCTTTTTAAACTGCAGGAACATTCTGTACATGTACATAAATTGACGCATTCAAAATTTAGCGCAAACACTAGGTATTGAGTGGTTGGCGTAATCATAAATTAGCGTTACACACATCCACGCCATGTATCATAAAAAGCCGCTAAAATATGAAGCCCGCTTATTTTAGTACACATACAGTATTACTGTAGATCACTAAAACTTTTGCAACACCTTATTTTCGTGAGGTTGTTGTTCAGTACTTACAAGCGAAACAAAATTTTCACAAATATTGGTTATTGCTCTATATAATCTTTCATAGTAGAATTATGTGTGAGAATTAAGTCTTCGCAAGCAGACAGATTTGCATAAATTACGCAAAAATAAAGTTCTCCCGAATAAAAAAGTAATTTACAGTTACCATCATGTATACAGATATTCAGTTATGGTGGAGAGTGGCTTGAGGATGACACCTACAATATTTATTTTCTGATCATGTAGTCAGAGGTCAAGGTGAAAGGTTAAGACTTTTGTTCAGCAATAACCTGGTATGTACATTTATTTGATGACATAATAATCCAGTTTTTTTTTTAAATTCTTATTTTCAATAAATTTCTTCTTGTTTTCATTGACTAGATTAACAACAGTCTGAGGTAGACATACTAATAGGTCAAGGTCAAAATTTTATTTGTCCAGGAAATCCTTTTAATGTGGTGCAAACACAAAAAGTATATTTGACTCTACATATTTGCCTATTCACTTAACACTGCCTTAAGGTTGTTATAAAGAGCAACCTGTGGATTACTCATATCATGGTTGTATTATGAAAACTCAAGGTCAAAAGATCAAGATTATTTTTAATGCGTATTGCAGATATGACCCTGTATTTCCTTGTTGTTTGTCTATACTAGTCTATACATGTATTGACTTCTGTTCTTTCAGACAACAACTGTAATGACATGGTGATTCAAAGACAATCCTATGTATCATCATGATCATGTGCTAAATAGAAAGGTATAAATACCAGTTTTCTGAAAGGAAAGATTAGTCTATAATTATTACTTTTTTATTACTTTCATTATAAGATCAATAGATTCCTGAACTAAGGGTCAATGAATTTTACTGCAAATACTGTTGGAGAGCCCTTTGCTTCATGAACAAAGATTTTTTTTCTTTTTTTCTTGCCTTGTGATTGTTGAAAAAAATTCACCCTTTTCTATCCCTTTCAATGAGGGGCGCTCTATGCCAAGTTTAGTTAAAATTGCAAAATGCTTCATGCATAAAAGTGATGAATTTGATCAGAAAGGGTCATACTTAAGCTTTTAAGTACAGAACTGCTAAAACAGAAAAAAAGGTTTTCATTAAAAATAATTATACACAATTCTAAACAATAAGGAGAGAAAGAGACCTTTTGCAAAGCTCTGTGTTATAAAAATCCTAAAGAAATTCCACCAAGATATATATTATACAGTATATAAAGGTGCACTCAACATGTTGAAGAGGAATTTTGGCAGTCTATGAGAAAGTACTACAATATAACAATATCATATAGAAAAAAACTAAGTTTATCAAATTAAAAATTATACCTACATCAGATACAATCTGTTTAAAAATAAAATTTGACTGTAATGTCCTTAACACTGTTGGCATAAATATTCAAAAGGTTATATGTAATTGCTTCATTTTAAATTTTTTCTGCCAAATTGTCACAATAGACCCTTTTCCTATGACATATTTTGCCTAGGAGTTATTTCCCTTAGCCGCCATATTGTAGGGCAACATTCCCAGATCCCTTCATTATTCAACCAAGTTCAATTTCTTATACTGGTTACTGAGGTAAAGATAACACTATTTTTCTTATGAATACACATTTGTTATATCCTCTATTAATTCATGATAATAAGATTGTAAATATTTTCCCCCATATTTTTCTTGAATGCATGTTTAAAATTGGTTGCTCAAAGAGGTAAATTCACTGCTTTGCCATACAAGATGGCAGCTAAGGGGAATAACTCCTAAGCAAAATGTGTCATAGGAAAAGGGTCTATTGCATTTAAAAAATTGCCTTCTTTCATCATCATTTCATAAATTTCTATCTTAAAATGTAATAATGGTGAATACCAAATTACACATTAAAGCCATTCAATAATTTCAAGGACTAAAAAAAAAAAAGAAAAGAAAAAATTCTATTATCACTAAAATAATAGGAAATTCTACAATATTTTCTGGCAAGAGAGACAATCCAGAACAGTTTAAAAAAAACACACACACACTGATTGATTAAAACATGAGTAAATACAGCTGGAAAAAATTGAAAATAGATTTCTGTACATTCCTTTTACTATGTGTGTTAATAAATTCTTTCCCTTTTCATTTATGATTTCATGCTTACTGTAGATTCCCACATATACACAAGGAATTAATTATCGCATAATTTCGCAAGATGCACCACTCGCAAAATAAAATTACTCACTTTTATTTTTATGGTGCTGAAATGCATGTAAAATCTTTAGATCAAACCTCTACTCGCGAATTATCGTTTTTTGCGATTTCACGTCTAAGGGCCATTTCCCGATATAAAGTACCCGCGTAAAATAAGGAATCTACAATATGATATGCTAAAGAAGAAGTTCTGATATATGCATGCATACATAATTATATATGATATTTAAACCTAGTTTGTATTGCATCAGCTGAACTTTTCTAATCAAATCATTTGGTAAAGCATAGTTTCTTTATCTTGAATTTATTTGTATTTGATTTCCCGTTAATGATTGTAATAACTCTAATTATTCATAAGAGGAGACAGCTAGTACTCATACTAGAACATTTTCCTAGTACAGTATCAGCTATAATGTCACCTCTTCCCTCTCCTAACTAGGACAGGATGTTTTAATCCTTATAAAGCCAGTATTACCAAATTTGAAATTCCAATCGAACTTTCTTATGTCCATAGAAATCAAACTATTTTGATTGTTTTCATTGTGAACAGATACTTTCTTTTTGTTTTTTCCCTCTTAAATCCCCAACACTTTTTAAAGGAATTTTGCATGTGTGAAGTAAACATTGTCTAGATTCTTTCTAAATATTTCTGGACATTTTTTTCTGACATAAATTTCTATGTGTGTGCTCTACATTAACAAAATATTTATGTATTACAATAATTTTTTTTCCCTTAAATTCAAGTCTGAAATGTTTTATTGGTATATAAGGTACAAGTTAATGGAGATAATACAGATATTAGCCTTGCGCCTATATAAATCATTGTTGTAAATACATACGAGGGTTGTTAGAAAAGTTCACGGACAAGTTCTATTGTGAGCGCGCTATTTCCATGAAACTTAGACTTTTTATTGAAATTAAAAATTGCACAGTTGTAGCTCAGAAAGAATTATGATATTTTATCTGTCGCTACAGTATTCATGAAACGTCACTTGCCGAAATTTTGAATTAAATTGGAGGGTGTATGACAGTTTTATAGCCATTTTTAAACAATCAACGCATAAAAACAAAGCCAAAAATGGGAACGTCATGGAGCACCGAGCTACTAAAAAATTATGTGTGCAGACATATGAAAATGTCTAAAATAGACTAAAATGCTTCTAGATGCTGCTAGAAATTGCCTATACGTACAAAGGACAAAAGTATTCAAATGGTAGTAGCTTTATAAGAATGGAAGGATTAACATTTTTAATGATCAACTCCATCAATACCCCAATACCCCACTTATCGCATGAACGTTGCGCTTATGGATTTTGCATTGTTTCCAAACCTGATCTCTTAACTGCATAGACTTATTTTAAGATCTCACTAATATCCGAAACAGCACAAAAGACATTATAGAAGAAAAGTATCATGTCGAGATATAGATATTTAACTTCTGAGTAGAAAAAAGACAAGAAAAGTTGAAGAAATGAAAGATATTTAGAACTATGATAAAAGCTTAATGGGTTTGAAATCTGATTGTCAAGTCACTTAACGTCAAATGATTGCTCCGTGAATCCTATGACCGCATAGTAAAAATTGTTGTAAATTTTTCAAAATTTTAGCAAATGGACCTGATTTTTTACATACTAATAAACAAAAGATAGGAATTTCATCAGACATAAGTCATACTTCACAGTACACAATAGATTTTCCGTAAATCAACGTGTCCGAGAACTTTTCTAACAACCCTTGTATGTATAATCAGCAAATGTTATTTATTCATAATTACTTGTGATGCCTGTAATGTAAAAAAAAAAATACAATTCAAAAAAAAATTTTTTGAATGTGTGTATGCATGGTCTCACACATGAACAAGCAATGTGTAATAACAAGGATACATATGTACCAATAAAATCCAATACTTACAGTGTACCAAGGAGTATTTTTCTTTTTCTTGTCAGTTTTATCCCCACTTTTCTTGACTGACGACAGACTGTTCTCATCAACTCGACTACTATCACTGATTACACCATTCTTAGACTCCAGACTAACATTCAATTCTACAGATTTCTCTGAGCATTTGTCCATGATGTTTTCCAAAGACTTCTCAAATGAACGTTCCCTTGAGTGTGCTCGAACAAACTCAATACTACTCCTGCTGCCGGAATCCGATTTATCAGCTGATTTGGTGGGTGTTCTGTTGTGACTAGATGATTCCCTGAAAGACAATGACTTTCCCCTCGATATACTGGATCCACTAAGGGTTGGGGACTTGGATGATTTGGAATCTGTCCTGTCTAAATTGACCCCTGAAGCTTTACCCCAGGACACACTGTCAGAACTTGGACTCTGCTCAGATTCTTTTGTGGGCTCTGTGTGTCGTCGTACATCATAGTTACTACTGAAGCTGTGGCGCTGTCTGATTTCCCGACCATTAGTGAATATGTTATTGGTGACATTAAGGAGAGGTTCAGCAGGTTCCTCCATGTCCTCTTTCTTCACCTCAGTCCTAATTTGGGAGTATGGAGCCGGAGAAAATTTTGCAAGGCCCGACTTACTAAAAATATAAATTATAGAGATGCAATTTTTTTTTATTTTAATACATGTACCCGGTACCTACCATTTTATTTTCTTTTGAATCTATGACTCTTATTGTGTGGTTTGACCAAAATTCATTAAATATATTTCAGAATCGGAGAGTACGTATTTTCGGATTTCCTATAGTTAATACATGTATTGCCAAGACAATGTCTTCAATGGATTATAGAATAATTTACTGGTAATTGAATTTTTAAATTAGTAGAAACTCTAAAATGTAGAAACTTGTGAAGTTTTTTTTTTTTAATCACAATTTCTCATGATTGTGACAAGATCTGACTAATTTCTGTCTGGCTGCATGAGACCCAACTTTTCAGCAGGGCTAACAAATTTAAAGGAACATTATTTTATTTATCTGTTCATTTATATATTTGCAATTATATAAAATTTTGAATTATTATATACAGGTATACAAAAATAAGACTCACTGAATTTACAAGACATAAGAAAATTCAATGAAGAAATTTTCAATACCTGTAGGCATAATTTATGATAAAAATTATCTCTCTTTTTAATACCTAATCTTACTAGTACCTTTATACTGAGCATCCAATCATGCTCCCAAATGCTGACTAACTCACCTTGGAGAGTCAGAATTCATGCTTCCAGAACTCTGGGAGTCTTGGTCCGATTCAGCAGATCTCTTTCTACTGATGCTGAAAAAAAAAAAACAATATTGATTTATAAGGTGTAGATTATGTGACAATATGTTCAAATATAGAGATGATTTGGCACTCAATTTATTGTTGCATAAGAGCACTTTTTGAGAGTAAAAATTGTAGCAGACCCAGCAACCTATCTTCAGTTCTGATTAATATGCTGTATCACCGGCACATGTTCCACACTGTCAAGCTTGGTCAGGTTTCCTTTGGATTCAATTTACCCATTATGGCCATATACCATATATAGACTATCAATTAAAACTTTATATTTCATTGCCAATTATGCAATTTTCAAATATTAAAAATCCTTTCATTTCTAACTTAAAATTCCAAACTTTCTAACCTTTCCAGTTGGTTAATTTAAAAGTAAAAAATCATGTTTCTTCTCTGTATTATGTTCATCAACATTCTCCTTTTAGAAAATTACCTACTGTGCATTTTTTTATTTCACTGGGGAATATCTATTTCTGCCTGTTGTGTGATGGTGGCTACATTAAATCTTTTCAACAGCTGCTACGACAAAAAATCATTACGATTGTCAAAGCTCACTACATTGCCAAACCAGCAAGATTTAATTTGAGGTGTGTGTGTGTAGACTATGAAGGTATTATTAAATTACATAAATCAATAACTAAGACAAAAAAGCTACACTTACTAAGTTACTCTAGATAAACAGACAGTGTTATGTTTTAACATACACATCAACATTGTGCATTAATCTGCATTACAGGTCCATATTATAATCTCACATCTGTACTGTCACTTGTTGTTATGTAATTGTTCACAGAATGATCTCAAAAAATAGTAAAAGTTTTGATCGCTTATTAAATTGGCCACAATAATGCCTGATAAAACACTGAAAGCTGGATTTACATCTGCGAAATTTGTCAACATATCTGCTGGTGTTGGATTTTCCAAGACTCTAAAGCTGATGTACATGACATTTTTGGGGGATGGAGGCAGGGTTTGGCTAAGGGTTATCCACAAAAAAAAAAGACAAAACTGTCATGACATGATGTACTTCTCCTATACCCATATACTCATCACCTCCCTAAATCATCACCAATTTACAAAAGATCAATGATTTGAGGAATCGCTGTCTAGTTTGTTGGGTATGCTAGGGCATCAACAATAGTTGGAAATGCAAAGCCTGTTATGCATATTAAAATTATCCCACATTTCCAACTGTCATTGATGTCCCTTGCATACCCAACATACTAGACAGCGATTCCTTATACTTACATTCATATACGAGATAAAATTGTAAATAGCTGTCTAATAGATCTAAAATACATGAGGCACCCCACGTTTATTTCAACAGTCCACACCCACTGCCGTCAGATACAAAGACAGCATGAGACTGACTTGCATATTAGGCTTCTGACCCTTCACTAGGTGAAGATTACAATCAGGTGTAATTATAAAAAAAATCAACTCACCCATCGTCGCAAGCCACGGGTTTTGTGTCCATTCTATTTCCACAAACCCGTGGCTGTCTCCTACAAATTTCTCTCGTTCTCGTGAATATTAATAACATACATTCAACCAATGGAATAACATCTGACGCTTCAAGTCAGAACCAATGAAAATGATCAGTCTATCTTGTATTTGGATGTAACCATAACCACGAGCTGTACATCAACTTCGGTTCAAATTTCCTTTCTTAACGAGTAACGCTATTCAGCGTTCTCACACAACGTCTACATTCGAAACCCTGTATTTTAATGTAAAACCTTGTAAGTATTTCAGAATATACGTTACTCACCTCTGTTCTTCAGGATCTATCGTATTTTTTTCAATAAATCTGCCACACATAGCAAACATGATTTCATTATGGGCTCCGCCATTTAAGCGTACAAAAAATTGCTACAGAGTGATTTAATTGGTCAAGGTAAATCCATCCTCGCAAGCCAGGGGTCCTGAGTCAACACGTTGCCGTTGGACCCCTGGCATATTTCATTCAATATTTGTGGGCTTGCTTCTCTTATTGAGAAGCACCAATCAAATTAAAGCTTTCAAAAATAGTTAGATAAGGATTCAGTTGACACCTCAAATGCACGTGTTACAAGTTGTTTATCAAAGAATGGCTTAATGTGATTGGTTGAGAGATAAGATAAACAATCAAGATTTGTAATTTTTCCGAAAGATGTCGCTACAGTCAGCCCACAAATATTGAGTGAAATATGCCAGGGGTCCAACGGCAACGTATTGACTCAGGACCCCTGGCTTGCGAGGATGAGGTAAATCTGGCATCACTTAATAAATATTCAATGATTCAGTCGCGAGAATGAGAGAATTTGGTAGGAGGCAGCCACGGGTTTGTGGAAATAGAATGGACACAAAACCCGTGGCTTGCGACAATGCAACTCACCTAACTTTCAAAGAGTTATTATAATAGAGAAAACAATTATAAATGTAAATATTATAAAATAAAATAAAAATCCATTTATTTGGAAGGAATTGTCTAAACATCATAAATTATAACACTTCATGAACTTTATTTCTTAATTACTCTTTATAAGAACATCAATGCTAAAGGTATACCTATATAAAGCATTCAGGCTATCAACTCGTGATCCTCATGTCAGCTTTTTGTCTAGTGTCTACTATTATTACAATTCTGATCAGATTTTGATATTGTGTTAAGTTTATTTTCTTTGAGTGCTAAACTAACTCAAAATGATGAAACGTTCAAAAAGTTCAATCAAATCAGAGCTTGAATATTGTACAGAGACCATTTTTTTCTGTATATGTGCAAAGTAAAAAAAAAAAGAAAAGATAACAAGAATAAATAAATAAAAACTATAAATTGATAAAACTTTTACTGAAATGGCTTTAGCTTGAATCTCGAAAAACCTTAATTTACATAAATTCAGAAAATGCCTGATTTTCCGATTTCGAAATCAGCTGATCTTAACAAAATGACCTTATTATCAACCTTTCACGACTCCAGAAATGTTCCAACTTGTAAAAGAAAACCAGTGATTGGGCTCTTTTTATACACTTACTGCTGTGGTGACCATCTAAATATACTGGTAACAGCCGCTACCGTAGAGCTGACGGCAGAACTCAGTCCGTGTGGATTAGACCCGTCTGCATTTTCACATTTGCTGATCAAGTCTTCGAGTTCATCGTTGTTATTTCGAATGTCTGTCTCATTTTGCGGAGGATTTCGCGAGTTGCTCATAATATGCAATAAAACATAGCAATTTAGATTCAAGACGTAAATGAATAACACACAATTCCTGACGGAAAGAGAGAATATATCATTAACCTTTGGCTTTGCCTTCGTTTATTTACTACAATGGTCTGACAAGTGCGTCATATCCTGTTTCATTTTCGATCCCGATCTATATATAATAAATTAATTTAATACAAGCTTAATCTTTTAAAAAGATAGGTGAGCTAGCGCTGTAGCTATCATAAACCACAGAATTAGATATCTGAATTATTGGATTAATTTGCTGAATTGATTAAGGGGACTACCATTTGATTCTGAGGAGGGGAGTTGGGTGGGGGTCTAGCAAAATCTTTCGAGTACTTATTTCCATGCCAGTCAAGTACAAATTATTTATTTTCAAGATGGTCAAGGACAGATTATTCATTTTCTTCTTCACTGAAAAAGTTTGAAAAAAAACAAAACAAAAAAACAAAAAAAGTTCAAAGAGGGAATGGGGGGGGGGGTTAAGTAGCAATAGTCAATGACAGATTATTTATTTTCTTGCCGGTCGTGGAAAGACAGTTATTTATTTTCAACTTTTTTGAGGACAGATTATTTATTTCCAAAATCTGCCAGCCCCCCGCCCCCCTTCAGAATCAAATGGTCGTCCCTAATTATTAATAGGAAGACACAGTGGTACACTGGAGGTAGTGTTGGGGGGATGTGTCTTAATTCAGAATGGTGAAGGTTTCAGCTATTCAGTGTTTAATACAAAATATTCATCAGACTATTTATAGAAAAGGCTATTGTTGGATAAATTCGGGATACCCAGAGTCAAAAAACATTACAATAATGAACTTCAAAGCTTTGTTTTGAGTGGGTTTTCACATTGGTAATGGCAGGAATCATTAAATGTGCTTTAAGCATTCTGTAGTTTACTGTAATTTTAATTTTAAAGTGAAAAATAAGAGATAAGTAGAACCAATGAACACCTAGTTTAAAAATATTCCAGTGTGGTACTGTTTTGTAGCAATCGCAACCTTTCGGCCTTTCCGGCAAGCTCGGAAAACATATCCGAAGATAGTTAAAAATAGCTAGTTTTTTTTAATATTATAATTTTAGAAACTATAACTGATCTGTACAGTTTTGGCATTTACTGTTACCCTTTGTACATTTATTTAAGATTAGACAACAAAACGCGAAACTTCAGATCATATGTATTTTCTAGGGATGTCAACGAATAGTCGACTATTCGACTGTCAGTCGAATGGACCGACGATCGAATAATGAAACGACATTCGAATATTATAATTTTAAAAAAATGCAATAAAAGAGTGATAACGATATGGAATTCTCATTTCAAAATTGAGAAACCGTCTTTCCTCGGAGACAGTTGATAAGATAATTTTCCTCTACAAAAAAACTTGATTTTCCATGTGCGTATATAGAAAGTGCAGTAATTATAAATGCTTCACTACCGCGAGAATTAATTATCTACCAGTTACTGCTTGTGTTGTTTTTGTAATAAATCAACCATCAACATATATCTGGGCTTTGTTTGTAAAAAAATTAATTGGACTTGATTTTATACGATGTACCAATTATCTTTTATTTTAAGATTGCTCAAATGCGAGGAACATGTGACATGTTTTGACGCTTCAATAATTATTAGAACAATTCGCTTGCATTTTAAATTGTTCATAATTAAGGACATTTTGATAGCCAGAACCATCAATAAATGAATAAGCAGTAACTAACTGTTTAACAATTTAACAGCCACCTGGCGTGTGGATAGTGTGAGACCCCCCCCCCCCCCCCTAAATATTTCACAATAAGCTTTAAAAAATATCGGCTAGAAAATTTTGAATGCTAACTAAAATAAAAACTAACTGCATGTACAGACCAATTTATGAATTCGATTGATGGAGAAATCATGAATTTAGGAATATTAGATTTCTAAATTTATTTCATATAATCTTGCAATCCAACGTTACGCTGCATTAATTTTTATGTTACTTTTTAAACAGATTAAGGGTTTTTGAGTTATAGATACGCCATGTACCAGTGAAGTTTGAAATAAAATTTTATTTTCAGAAAAGGTTCCGAATATTCGACTATCGTTCGAATGATGCAATCGAATAATCGACTAAGAAAAATAAATATTTTGACATCCCTAGTATTTTCAGATTAAAAAACGAAATTGAAATGGTGCAGTTTATCTACAGTAGTATTCCCATAATGGCCTACCATGAAGTCGAGCATACGTATTCCAGTAAAAAAGACTAACGTAGTTGCTAGCGCTCGAAAGCGCTAGCAATAACAATCGGATCATAATTACTCGGGCTTTTCCGTCAAAAAAGGAAAAATGAAAAATTAAAGAATTATAATTATATCAGTGCTACTGCATTGTATCAATCGCTTCTCGTGTCTTTCCGACAAATTCTGAAAGATTTCCTGTTTTTTTTTCTCTGAGCTTGCCGGAATTATATAGGAAGGTAGTATACATGGTTAGCTTTAAGGAAAGCTAAGTTTTACCAGTTGATCTCTACAATCTTGGCATTATATGACCCAAATTTTCTTGTACTTTTAATCATAGGTTAGACAATAAATTAAGAAATTCAGAATTCGGATCATATCAATTTTTTATGATAAAACGAAATTATCATCGTACAGTCTATCTTCAGTAGTTTTCCCAGAATGCCCGACCGTAAAGTCGAGCATGCGTATTCCAGAAATATAGACTAACGTAGTTGCTAGCGCTCGAGAACGCTAGCAATAACAAGAGGCCCATGGGCCCCAACGCTAATCTGAGCACACTGGCTAGGAAGAGGCAGAAATCAGTTCAGTATATTGAAACATTTTAAAGGGGGGGGGGGGACTTAAATTTACACTACCTCAGGAGCTTCTATATCAATATTACTAATCATGGCTCTGCTTTTAAAAGATGCCACCAAATTCTCACGAATTCTTAATTATCTCCCCTTGAAAGAGGGTGCAGCACTTCCTGTGAACAAACTTGAATCCCCTTCACCCAAGGATGCTTTCTTGAGAAGAAGTTGAAAATGTGAAAAGTTAAATTACAGCTAGGCGACAGACATACGCCAGACACTCTTTGATCAGAAAAGCTCACTTGAGCCAAATCGGCTCAGGTGAGCTAAAAAAAAGTACATTTTGGGTTTTTTTCATAGAGAACTGTATTTGCCATATATATCCATTACGAAAATGCCGTTAGAGTCAATTGTATAAAAAATTGTGTAAAGAATAAATTCGATTTCTTCTATGATTATCTACTGGGCTTTCCTGCATGAAAGTAGGCTAAGAAGTCAATTAGTTTCCAATTTTGTATTCTGGATACATTGAGTGTAAATAGTTGTTTTCCCACCTTCAAGTGTCCCTGTCACAGTCATGCAATTTGTTTTGACACCCCTGCACCGTCTGTTTTTGTTATATACATTAAAATCGTCTCTTCAGTAATTAGAATGAGGTTTGTTGATCCTATATTTTAAAATGTCAAAGATATATGCATCTAAAACAATTTAAAAATGAAAAGATGCAGAATTCAAAAGTAGGTCGATGTGACCTACTTTTTGTCAGCATGTTCCATGGCCAAAACATGCATCAACTGAAAATTGAGATTTGATGATCCTAGACCTCAAACAGTTAATACAAATAATCATGATCAAATTCAAATGAGGTCATTGTTACTTCTTTTGGCATGTTTGGGGCAACAAATCTATAGGCTCCAATTCACGTCAATTGAGAAGATCTGATGATCTTATAGCCTCTTAGTATCCTGGCTGAATTGATTTAAAAAAAAAATTAATGATAAATTCAAGAACTAGGTCACTATGACCTCCTGTTGAATTAACAAATCTATGCATCAGCACTTTATTTTGGTGACCCTACATGTCATTGTATTAAAATTAATATCATCATGTTTAATTTGAAGATTTTAAAATGACAAGTTGTAAAATGTAGAAAATACATGTAGGTCACTGCATGTGACCTACTTTCAAGTTGACACACCCTAAGGCCCCAATATGCATAAACTGAATGGTTTGATCATTCTAAAATGACTAGATTTAATGTTATAAAAAAAATACAGAAAGTAGGTCACTAGAGCTCCTTTTCAGGTGAGACAATATGGAGTCTTAAGTATATTGATGCATCAGCTGACAATGTTTGATCATTCTATGTTTCACAGTGTCCAAGGTATGCATCTAAAACAATATGATAATGAATAGCAGCTAAATTCAAAAAAGCAGGTCATTGTGACCTACTTTTGGATTAACATCACAAGGTCCCAAAATGCATTACTGACATGTTTGATGATCCTAGGCTTCTTAATTAAATTATGAATAATGCTAAAATTTTCAAAATAGAGATCATCATTACCTACTTTTGAATTGACTGATGATGCATCAACTACATAGGTTACAGGGGTAGCCTTTGGCTCAGGTGAGCTAAAAAGGTCAATGGGGCCTACCTTTCAGCTGACACAACCTTAGGCCCCAATATGCATCAAATGACAAAGTTTAGATGATTCCATAACTTCTAAGTGACTAAAGTATTTTGAAAAATTTAGAAATTAAGAAACTGTGCCCTTCTTTTTGGTTGACACACTCCAAATTCCCACAATGCAACAAATGACAAGTTTTGACAATTTTTACATGTAATTGCTTACTATCTAAAATACCTAGTCAAAATTTTGTTTGTGTTTGTTTGTTTGTTTGCTTTTTTAAAAAATGAATAGCCGCCTTAAAATTCAGAAAGTAGGTAATGTGATCTACTTTTAAGTTGAGACAACCTTAAGTCTTAAGATGCATCAACTGACAGACAAGGTTTGAAGATTCTAATCTACTTAGTATCTGAAATATATAGCTAAAAATCTTTGAAAATGAATAATCATAAACCTCTGAGAGTATGTCACTCTGCCTACTTTTTAAGGGACAGACTCTGGGGTCCAATGATGTATCGACAATATGGCCCACATTTCAAAAACTTTACAAACACCTCACAAACGGCTTTAGCATTAGCTCTGAGTCTTGGCTCAAAAAAGCTATGTAGAAAAAAAACTATTGAAAGCCAAAACATTTAGAGAAGAAAGTTTAATGATATCAAATAAAACGTATCATCCAGTGCGTTTTCTGGTGTATCTTGTTGCCACTGTTCTGGGGAAAGCCCTGTTGTACCATAGTACAGACATACCTATCGCCAGTGACAGCCTATAAAAAATGTACATATACATTAAACAGACATAATATCCTTTATCAATAGCAAATACATGTATAAAGGCTAAAGAATTTAAAATAAAATAAAGTTAAAATGTAAAATATTCACATACACAGGACTGACAGGAGTAAAGCCCTTTGATGGCCAACACATATAAAACGTGGACATTAACTTACCAAGTAAGTATGTATTCCATGTGTCTGTTATTAAATTTAAGGTTTGTTTGTCCTCCTATAGGCCCTCCTTTTACACTACTTTCTGGTGATAAATAAAAAAAAACACAGTAAATTTACTGCAGCATATACAAACACAAAATTTTGTATGAAATTTCTCAACCTAATCCATGTGCAATAAAATAACTTAAAAAAGAAAAGTGTTGCTGTTAGTAAAGAATGGTTGAACTAACAAGAAAGTACACTAAAATACCCTTATAACAAAGTGCCAGGGATGAGCAATTTTGATTGGTCATAAATGTAATTTTTATATCTAAGTTAACAAGCATTCTGAGAGTATTGCATTGGCAATACTAGTCCCCTACCTAAAAGTGTAATCTGGTTCCCGTTAAAAATTGAAAATGTCATAATTCTGTCAAAAATCAATGAAGCAGAACGAAATGCAAACTTGATCTGTAACTCATCAACATAAATTCACAAACCAAAAATCAGCTTAATATCTGCAAGCGTTTAGAAAAAATTGTGGAAAACCCTAAAAAATTGAAAATGTCGTAATTCCGTCAAAAATCATTGAAGTGGACTGAAATGCAAACATGATCTGTAACTCATCAAGATACACTCACATACCAAAAATAAGATCAACATCTGCAAGCATTTAGAAAAAAAAAGTGTAGAAAACCAAGTGGGACAGGCTGACAGACAGACGGACGCACAGACTCAGAGGAAATCCATAGTCCCCTCCGGTTTCACTGGTAGGGGACTAATAATATGCTTTAAAACTATAGAGATTAAAAATCACTTCACAATGATCACTTCACTGTGAATTCATTACAAGTATGTTCACTGTAACTGTGTTTTACTGTTCTAATACAACAGTAGAACACAGTTACAGTGAACATACTTGTAATGAATTCCTCTCAGTCTGTCTGTATGTCAGCCTGTTCCACTTATTTTTCCGGACCTTTTTTCTAAACGCTTGCAGATATTGAGCTGATTTTTGGTATGTGAGTGGAGTTACAGATCAAGTTTGCATTTAGTTCCGCTTCAATGATTTTTGACGGAATTACGACCTTTTCAATTTTTAAGGGTTTTAAGGGTTTTCCGCAATTTTTTCTAAATGCTTGCAGATATTTAGCTGATTTTTGGTATGTGACTTTACCTTGATGAGTTAAAGATCAACTTTGCATTTCGTTCAGCTTCATTGATTTTTGATGGAATTATGGCATTTTCAATTTTTAACGAGAACAAGATTACACTTGCCCGTAGGGGATTAGTATTGCTAATGCAATACTCTCAGAATGCTTGTTGAGTTTAATCATATGATTTGTATTTCTTTGCTTTAGTATAAAGTTTGTAAAGTTCTTACCAAAATCACAGTCTATAAACACAGGATCAGTTCCTAGATAACTGGCCATCCTGGGAATGTCACGGTAGCTGAACAGTCGGGGGTTCTTAGGGTCCTGTATGGGATTTATATCTAGAGGATTTTTCTGAAATAGAATTAAATTTATTATTAAATATTCTTTAGTTTCTTGCAGCTTTTCTGTCTGATACAGGGTTATAACTAATGTTATTATCCTGCAGAATAATACAGTCAGCCTGATTGGTTCAGAGCAAGTCACATGCAGGGAGACAATTAGTGATGTCTCCCTCACATGCAGGGTGACAACAGTGTTGTCTCCCTTCAGATGACAATGAAATAATGCAAGCAAGCATTCAGGGTGTCAACTGTGTTGTCACCTTTTAGATAAAAAAAAAATAAAATGTCATAAGCATGATTATTACTCATATATATAATTCATATATATGCGGGTCAGTAAACAATAAATTCTTATGATGACATCAAAGTTGTCTCTTAAATTGACATATTTTGAAATTATGGAGTCAGAGCAGTGAGTAGGAGAACACAAGAGGTTTGTCTGATATTTTCTACTCTATCTTATTAAATTATGATTCTGTCTGATGAATAATGAAATCATCAATAAACTTCTGAATTTGTGATTTTTATTATGATGTTTATCAATGTGTTAGATGATTAAAAAAAAAGGGGGAAAAAAAACCTACCAACCTACCTATACATCTTGAAAGAAAGTGAGTCAAAGTATATAAAAACATAGGTAATCAGAGATTACAGAGCTCACCTCAACAAATGTTGTCTTTAAGTAAGGCAAAGTCCCATACTAAACTGACAATCTAGGAGTGTGCATCCCTAGATGCAACATTAATGCAATTTTGGTCTGATAGGGCTTGCAGTTACTTGATAATAGACTTATCTGAAAAGTTAAAACTAGTCACTCATCCAGAAAATGCAAGTCAAATCCAGCATCCAAAGCAAGTTTTGAGATTGTTCGTCCCCTGATGCATCATCCATGCAAGTTTGGTTCAGATAGGCCCTATAGTTACTTGGAAATGAGATCTGCTCAAAAAACTTTAACCTGGTTACTCATCCGGAAAATGTAGGTCAGATCCAGCATCCGAAGCAAATCCAGTAGTGTGCATCCTTAGATGTATCATCCATGCAAGTTTAGTCAATATAATAGGGCTTATAGTTACTTGGAAATGACATCTGCTCCAAAAACTTTAACCTGGTTACTCATCCAGAAAATATAGGTCAGATCCAGCATCCGAAGCAAGTCCAGTAGTGTACATCCTTAGATGTATCATCCATGCAAGTTTGGTCAATATAGGGTTTATAGATACTTGGAAATGACATCTACTACAAAAACTTTAACCTAGTCACTCATCCGGAAAATGTAGGTCAGATCCAGCATCCGAAGCAAGTTCAGTAGTGTGCATCCTTAGATGTATCATCCATGCAAGTTTGGTCAATATAGGGTTTATAGTTACTTGGAAATGAGACCTGCTCAAAAAACTTTAACCTGCTCCAAAAACTTTAACCTGGTCATTCTTTAGCTGAAATTGCAGCATCTGAAACCTTGACTGGTACAATAAAACACACCAGAAGCATCCTCCATGCATCTCTGACTAATATAGGCCATAAAAATACTTGAAAAGAAAACTGCTCCAAAAACCTTAACCTGGGACGCCAACACCGACGCCGAGGGTATTACATAAGCTCCCCCAACTTCGTTGAGGTGAGCTAAAAAAAAAATTAATGATGGCATGACATTCAATTTTTTTTCAACATTAATTTACTGTTTCATCTAAAACCACAAGTGTGTGAATCCCTTTATCATTTTAAATTAAATACTTGAAACTGCAAAAAAACTAGGGTCAGGTATCCCCCCAAATTTTTTCCACAATATATCACAATTTTTCCCTAAAATATCATGATAATATCATGATATTTTTACAAACAATTTTTACTGTGATTTTAATTAAATTTCCATGATTTTCTAACAAATATAGTGTGAAAACATAACTTCAATTTTTTTCATTTTTATTTATATATTAATAAAGAATATTTGCATGCTATGATGCTGTTGTTTTACTTTTTAACAACATTTATTAACATTCCTGTAATTGTGATTTAAGATTTTGAACAAAAAAATTAATCATTTCCGGAATATATAATTATTTACTTAATTCCGGTATTTTAATCATCATATCACGATGTATATAGCACAATAAAAAATCATGATATACCAGTATAAGGATAAAATTGTGCATCAGTAATAAAAACTACCTTTAAATAAATTTACATGTATATATATACATGTTCAAAGACATGCACTTTGGATAACGAGATTTAATCATTCCACATCAAAGTAACTATATCAAGCTAACATACTTGAACATATCCAACACACATGTCCATAGGCATACAAACCTTTTCTGGGGCTCTAATCATTCCAGATAGTTTTACATTCCCAGTTATCTGCCCTTCTGGTCTTGTTTCTGGATCCATCCAGGCCCTTGGGACCCAACCACGATTTACTAAAACTTCTCGGCTACATTTTTAAAAATAACAAAAGAAATACAAAAGGTAAAAATTAATTAAAATACTGAAGAAGTACTTTTTCCTGTGTAGTATTAATTTACGTTATGTACCGTTCACAAATTTCTGTGGAAATTTTACCCAGCATACTTAAAATACATTTAATGGATATATTGGGAATTTAAGAAATATGCACAATTTTCTATCTGTGGATTGAAAGTATGTTTACAGTATACATACTGATTTGTGTAAATTAGATAAACGTATATATATTTGGATTTAAATGTGACTACTCCTCTTTACATCATCTTATTAAAATAGGGAGAGGTTTGTAGTCAAAGAGCAATTTTATTTACCCACCCAGTGTCTTTTAATTTAAATGGAGTGACAATCCAAAGACCACCATTAGCTTTGAATCCTTTTGGAGTCCTATCTGGCTGAAAATTTGGGCGGAACCCAATCATCGCTTCACGACTGTGATCAAATTCTCCTTCTAGCCATACTGGGGTATATTCCAAGTCACTAAGATTTCCTCTGGTCATTCTATTTCAGGAAAAAAAAAAATTGAAGTAATATTGGTAGAAAATTCAATGTTCATGACATTCAAGTGAAATAATCATGATAAAAATAACCCACAGATCTGTAAGAGGCACTGGCTTAGCACCTGCTCTTTCATCAATGAGATCCAGAAGATTTTGTTTCCATTTTTTTCTCTCATACTGCCAGTAGGCCAGTCCATAAGCTGTTATGGGAAACATCTGAAAAAGTATATAAATTGTACATGATATGTATTTCATCATTCCAAAATAAATAAATTGACCTTGTGACAGATTTTTCTCTCCAATATTTCGAAGTTTACTTGTACCAAAATTTTCCTTGTTAGTAAGTGTAAAATACTCGCTAGTAGTTCTGAAGTCCAAATTCTTATTTTCAAAAATGACATTGTGTGTAAAGCAAATTCCTCAAAAATTTGTATTAAGTCATCCTGAAGTTACTTTTGGGCTAACCGACTTATTAAAATTGTGAATGTGCAATGAGAGAAATAAACTAAATATTCTAATATGTCTTAAAGCTCATGAGGTCTTGGATTAGGAATCTTTTGTTTTTAACTTACTGCAAGAATAATTTTGGAAATTGTACCCAGTTCATCAGTTTTAGCCTCTGGTTTGGGAATTGTTTTAAATTTAATTGGTGTTGGCTTCCTTGCAGGTGTTCCAGACTGAGCTGCCATCTGTCTTCTTGGAATTTTTACTTGACTTTTCACTCGAGTGATAAATATTTGTAACTGGCTGCTGCATCCTAAGGCTCTACGACAATGTTGGCAATGTAAATAAAATCCCTATAAAATACATAATGAAAAAGGTGAAGATAATGAACTTTGGTCATTCTCATAAAAATACTGTTTAAATGTAATAAAGTTCTAAATGCTATTACAGAAGACACTTATTTTTAATATACAAATATTTAATTTTTCCCAAGAATTTGTGATTGAAGTTTTGCTGGTTAACAAGTTTTCTCACACAAAAAAATGAGGTTCATTCCCAGGCATTTATCATAATTATGCAAGCTGAAATCAGAGGATGATGTTTCCTAAAACATCTTATTGGAAATCACTTGAATTGCTAATATCTCAACCTTTGGTATAAATATCTTTCTTAGACATTTCTGAAACAGTTTAGACATCACAAAATGATAAATTGTTTAGAATATTTTTGGAAGATTACGAAGAGATACAAAAACAGTTAAAAGCTAATAACTGGGTATCCTTCCTCTTGTAAAACCTAGTTCAAGTACCATTTCTTTGCCAAAACTAAATCTGGTTTATTTACGGCATTATCAGAATATAAATAGGTTCTCCATTGATTATAATTACAAATTCCATCTGCAACCCTCATTTCAAATACGGAAACTGAAAGCTCAAGTTTACGTTCAAAGGATGAGGGGACTTAACACCCAATTTTGGGTTTTTTTGCAAATCCTCTACCGAGCTGTAAATGAATTAAGTGAATCAAAAATATTTTACAAGCAATTACAAGATCCACATATACATGATTATATTAGGTAGAACATTTGTGCAAAAGCAATGCCTTGTTGCCATGAATCAAAATTGAAGCAACGATACATAAGTGTCACTGTCTGGAATTTGACATGTACCCAGAGTGGTTTTTAGGTCACAGAATCAAAATTAATAGGAGGTGGGGCTATCGATCGGTGTCAATGTCGACATCTCTCTCTAGTAATTTGAATTCATTTATGGTATCTTTCAGCGATGTCAATATAAAATTAAAAGATTTCTGTGGTAAATTAATTTTGTGAGGACTTGCAAAAATATAACAACATTTCATTTGCTAAATTCTGAGAATGGCAGACCAACCAAACACGCTCTTAGACGTGAATTAGATTGAGGTCACACATTTCAGAATACAATGTAAATGTTTTCACATGTACACTCGCAGCTGGACACCACATGATGAATTGTAATATTCAACAGGTCAATCGAAGTCAAATCAAGGTTAACACAGTCATAACAATGAAAGCGAGAAGTTTGTTTTGAACATGTTTTTTTTTTTTATAAAATTAGGTATGAGCACACGTTTGTCAGCTCATCCCCTTTTAATATGACATTATTTACAACCAAAGTTTTCTTAAGAACAGACGATAAACATGCGCTGACTATGTATTCAGACGATGAAAAAAGTATGACCCTGACTCTATTGATATTCAAGAATTCTTAGGGCCCCATGCCTTGGACATTTAAATGATTTCTTTGAAAAGAGAGTTTTAAATTCATATCTGAAGCAAGAATACACAGTTAAGATATCGGTGATTTATATTATGGAAAGATATAAACATTTTTTAAAACTTGAATTTATGAGGTTTTTTTCAGGACTCTTAAGTCCACCCATTCTTTCATGTAAAGTAATCCCTTGTCAGCCATTAAAAACAAAGGTTAAACGCCATTTCTAAAAGTTTCCATGGAAAACAATTGGTACTAGTGAAATGACAGAAAGTCTGAATATATATTTACGTTAAAGAGCCACGGGATTATTTGACAGAGGAAACGCTGGAAAATTATGGAGGTAATTCGGGAAAATTATGTAAACAAGCATATTCTAATTAGATGGTTTAAACTGTGTTATATCTCAAGAAAACATTCACTTGTATATCTTTTTGAAAAAACACTTCTGATTTTGAATTACTTGTATAAAATCTTTTGAAAATAAATTTCTTGACATCTTTCACAATTTACTGGACTCTTCGGACTCTTCTGCTTTAGGAAACCAAAATGAATCCACCGACAAGCTTTGATATCTTAAGCCTTCACCCATTGGATAATTCTTGGAAGGCAACCAATCAACACACACCTAACATTTCCTCAATCAGGAACGATAACTCCCAATTACTGACCTTGATCATTACTTGGAGCTCAATACAAGTACTATTTTTCTGTAAGTTTTGAAAAAAACACAACACTTTATCATGCCGTATTTCTTTCAATTTATTTTTCATCAATTACTTTTATAATGAGTTTGTTTTTCTTTTCGAAGTCCATGCGTAGATTTTTCAGTTTATGAGAGCAGATAACTAAGCAATGACTAATTGCCCAAATGATATAAAACATAAATGGATATAAGTTTACTATTTAAAAAAAGGATAACTAAGCAATGACTAATTGCCCATATGAGATAAAACATAAATGGATATAAGTTTACTATTAAAAAAAAGTTTAGCCTTAAATACAATATATCTGCTTAAAATACATAAAAAGCAATAATCGATCTTGGTAAACAAGTTTCTCTTAGTCCCAACGGTAACGGGATGTTTCGCACCTATGCATGGTTCGCCCCACGATGTTTCGCGCCCATTCTGTTTCGCGCTGAGATGGTTCGCCCCGCGATGTTTCACTCCAAGTACATAAATGTGCCTCTGAGTTTAGTTCATTTAACAAAATTTTAGATTTTATAAATATATGTAAATATAGATATTTTTGGAACATTTTTTTTTAAAATTTAAGATGTCATGATTATATTTGAAGCAGAGACGTAAATTATTTATGTCTCTGTTTGAAGTATACATACATAGCATAATTATGAATTATTATAACACCGTGCTAATTACGTATAAGTAGATAATTATAATACCGCCATCTAATTAAGTAATTATTGCTGGCTTGGACAACCCACACATCAACTTAAATTCTCACCTTTTGATCTCTAACTTATTACAATTAAATCCTCATTGATACACTGTTGAATTCTTGAACAGACACGCTGAGCAAACGGGCACCATACGATCCGTTAACTATAGCAGTGTATGTTATTAAGTCATGAATTTGAGCACACAAAATATTTATATCATATTTCAGACGCATAGCTGCCTATACGCAAATACGCAAGTGCGTACACATCATTTTCAAAAAAAAAAAAAAAAAAAAAAAAGAAAAAGAAAAAGAATTGAAAAAAAGAAAAGAAAAAAGAGAGAATTATCGGAGAAAAAAAAATCGCTGAATGCTGTGATCTACTAGTATGATTTACCATACGATATTTTTTGTTCATAATTAAAATTTAGTAAACGTTTTTATAAACGTTAAAAAAATATATGATACCAATATATAGGGCGTACACATCATTTTCAAAAAGAAAGAATGACAGAATAATTTTAAACACAAATATTTCTTGGATGGTAGATTTTTTTTAATTTTATTGTAATTTTTCCTGGTAGAAACTATATTACGTGTCTGACCAGAGCCCTTGACACACTGGGGGGCCTCAAGACCCCCCACCCCACCCCCTGCCTTTCTCTGTGTACACATCATTTCCATTCTGGCTACGCGCCTGTATTTGATAAATAATTTAAAACGGATGAAAACATGATGAAATATTTAAAATAAAACGCGAGATGTTTCGCGCCCAAATCGGCGCGAATCATCCTGGCGCGAACCATCTCAGTGCGAAACAGAATTGGCGCGAAACATCCCAGATTCGTCCCAACTGTTTAGGACATTGATCCCACAGAGAGATCGAAGATCGAAAACTTCTTTAAGGATCAAGATATATATCAAACGAAAAGTTAATGGAAAAAACTTCTTGCCAAATGTTTTTGCATTGAATGTATATTTATGCAAAAAAAACCAAAACAAAACAAAACCCCAAAAAAAAAAAAAAAAAAAAACTAATGAAAGTGCACCTAATCTATCATTGTATCCTGTTAATTAACTAAAATACTTCACTTTCATTTGACAACCAATGGTATAGATAAATATTATTCATATCCAGTGCATTGATAACACTAAATAAAAATTGTCCCTGTGTCATGCCATGCCGTCATTGTCAATGTATGAACTACCAGAATTATAGCTATTATTATATACTCTTTGATCTATTTCACTTTGCTGCAGAAAGAATTAATTGGACCTTTTATCACATCATGGATTTTATGTATGAGGATAAGGTTTACAGGATGATGTGTCCCAAATAAATATTAATTCTATAAATAAGAACGAGGAAAAGGAAAACTGTCAATTTTTTTGTCAAGAATTATCAACACTTTTAAGAACCTGAGAATCAATAAAACCTGATGAGGAACTTAATGAGTGTTAGTTGATAATTTTGCTTTATGATTTTCAAAAATCTAACAAATCACCCAAGAACTGTAAAATATTACTGTATATTGTGGGCAAAATTATGGAATATACCAAGTTTGGGCATTCATTCAGTTAAAACTACATGTAGCTATCAATCTGCAGTCAGCTTAGAATATGACAACAATTTTTTGATCACTGCCCAGTTGTTTACAATCAATGCAATAACTTTTTTAAACCCTAAAAATTGCTAAAGCTTCATTACTTAGAAAGTTCTTAAAAAATAAAAGAATGGAATTTACAACTTACAATTTCACATACATGTACCATCTACTTTCAAATAATCTTGTAATATTAATATAAGAATTTTATACAAATGCGTATTTGCTTGCTGTAAATTTTTCTTGATTGATTTCATGTTGTTTAATGTCCCATTTGAGATTTTTTTCTTTCATATAGAGACGTCACCATATACCAGTGAAGGGCTTCAAATTTAGACCTTTACTCGGCACTCAGGGCAATTGAGCAGTGAGGGATCTTTATCATGCGCAATGCCTGCCTTGACATGGGGGCCTCGGTTTTTACGGTCTCATCCGAAGGACCTCCATACATTAGACAGACTGAAATGTTACCTGACTTTTGACATTCTTGCTTATGACAGGAAAATTTCCTCCCACTACAGATGACAGAGCTTTAGCAGATATGTGTACAATAAACAGACAGAGCCAAATTCCAGCGCACCAACATGCATCAGATGACAGTATAGAGTTACACTAGGTGTTAAAAAAAAAGCATTGATTTCTATAGCCATTTTATTGTATGAAGCCCAGACTCCAAGACTCCACTCCACTCTGGTCCATAAATTACCCCAAGCCCACAAGTTTTAAAAATGTCATTTTTATGTTTAAAAATGTAATATCCTTTCATTGAACTTTGAATGTTATTTTTAGGAAAAAGAGTAATTCAGGCATGAAAATTGATTTATATTTATATAGATTGCTTTCTTTATTCAAAGGTGTCTGAGGTAGGTGACCTACATAACAGGGAAATGGCATACCCTTACATGAGAAAAGTAGGCACCGGCCTTACTGGTATGATGAAAGTGGAACATCCTCACAGGAGGTTAACAATATTGTATGAGAAAGTTATACAAACAATCATCAAACTTCCAGCAGAGAGTGTGTATCGCCAGCATACTGAACCAATGTACCGTCAAAAACTCGCCCTAGTCAAATCGGTGGAGGATGTAAAAGATTTAGAACAACAGTTGGGAGATAATCATATTGAGGAGTCTCTGCTTTCTGCAGAAAGGGAGCTTATGTTAACTAGAAATATGTTAAAGTGGAAACCATGGGAACCATTAATAGGAGAAGCTCCGAAGAACCAGTGGACTTGGCCACCCAACTAAAAAAACTGAAATGTGTTTTTTGATGTTAAAATATATTTGCATTATTGTAAACTTATTTGAATTAAATAATAAAATGATACACTACAGTAAAGAGTGCAATATTTTCCTTATGATTGATTTAAAAAAAAATGTGAAGCATAGTCAAAATATAAGAAAGTATGACTATTCCATTGCTTTTAATGTTAGAATGAGTTGTTTGAATGTTTCATTGATAGAAATGAAAACTTTAGGTACGCTGTTGCATACTGTAGTTGCAACTAGTGGTGTTTTCTCATCATGATTCAAAGTGTTATCTCAAAGGTCAATGAGCCAGGAAATGTTATTTTATAAATTGTGTCTGGGTAAATAACTTTAGATCTCAAATTTGAGGTTGTTCAGACTACAATTAATGAACCCTTGCATTATAAGTAGAAGAAAAAAAAATGAATTTGATATTATTGTTACTCTTGCCCTAATATATAAAAATCTTTATTCAAGGTCATGTATAAAAGGCCAAGGTCATGGTAATAAGATGTTGAACTCTCTTTTTCAAGGACTGTTAATTCAAAATACATTGAATCACTTAGATGTTGTAAACTGTAACAAGAGGCCCATGGGCCACAACATTCACCTGATTAACTTTGACCCTCCTGTTCTTCACCAGATTTCCCCCTTGTAATACTTATTTTGGCCCCACCCTACCCCAGAATTATTTTTTTTAATGATTTGGACAATTTAGAATCTACACTTCCTCAGGAAGATTCTATATAAGTTGAGAGGTATCCTTCTGTCTTTAATAATTCAGAAGTGAAAAAGGAATTGGATAGATTACACAAACAGTATATACTGGTCTCAGCTGACAAAGTTCAAGTGTATTTTAGAGGAACTAGGATTTAATTCTGCAGGTGAAAATCCAAATTACACCCATAGCTCCCTTTCTAAGGGGGAAATTCTTTAAAATCATTTGTCCGTTTTAGATAATATTCCCAACAATCAAAATGAATTTGAATTACCATAACTTTACTTGATTCCTAAACTTCATAAAAATCCTTACAAACAAATATACATAGCGAGTTCCAGTAAATGTTCTACCAAGCCTCTTTTTTTTACTCCTCACTAAAATATTTACAGTAATGAAGGAGAAACTTCAGGAGTACTGTACAATAGTATATTTGAGAAGTGGTATAAATCAGATTTGGATTCTTAAAAACTCCAAAGAACTTTTAGAAAATTTGAAATAACAAAATTTTACTAAAATCAATAACATCAAAACGTATGACTTTTCAACACTTTATACAACCATTCCCCACAATAAATTGAAGCCCAGGCTTTTTCAATAAAAATGGAACTTGTAAATATACTTACCTTGTCATTGGTCATTAGCAAAATTATTTTGTTAAAAAGCATTCTGATTGTACACACAAGTACTCTGAAGTTGATATTAAAAAGAGTTTCTGATTGACAATATCTGTGTAGTTTTTGGAGATCAGGTCTTCCAACAATCTGTTGAAATTCCCATTGGTACCAATTGCACCCCTTTATTAGCAAACCTATTTTTGAATTCATATGAATCGAAGCAGAATTATTCAAAAACTTCTACATGAGAAGAAGAAAACACTTGCTGTGGCCTTCAACTCGATATTTCAATATATCGAAGACATATTATCAATTAGCAATAGTTACTTTCATTCATGATATGTCGACTCGATATATCCCAGTGAGCTTGAAATAAAAGATACCACAGATTCTGACACATTTGTTTCATATTTAGATATTTTACTAGAAAAAGACGTTGATGGTAACCTAACAACAAAGCTTTATGATAAATGTGATGACTTCAAATTTTCAATCGTCAACTTCCCTGACTTATGTAGCAATATACCCTTATCACCTGCATATGGGGTTTATGTCTTTCAGTTGATTCGATACGCAAGAGCATGCTCTACGTATGAACAATTTCTAAAACGAGGCAAGCTATTGACAAAGAAGTTGATGAAACAAGAATATCAGCAGTCTCGTTTAGAGTCATCATTTCGTAAGTTCTATGGTCGATACAATGACCTTGTCAGCAAATACAATTTATCATTGAGTCAAATGCTGACTGACGTTTTTCATACTAATTGTTAGGCCATTATTTACACACTGAATTGTCGACGGATTCTTCCGTTATTTCCCGATCATGACAAGGAGCACACGGCGGGTGTGACCGGTCGGCAGGGGATGCTCATTCCTCCGTGGCACCTATCCCACCTCTAAATTTTGAGGTCCGTGTTTGCTCTGCTCCAAATTTGTATCGTTTCATTGGACTTTCGAGACTGTTCGTTATCTTCATATTTCATTTCACCTTTTCTAGCCCAGTGGTTCTTGAGAAGAAATTTTTTAAACATTTTTCCAATGTATTTCAATATAAAACTTTGACTCTCTATTGTGGTCATACTCTACCCCTGGGGGCAATGATTTGAACAGTTTAGAATCTGCGCTATCTCAGGAAGTTTCCACATAAGTTTCAGCTTTTCTGGCCTAGTGATTCTTGAGAAGAAGATTTTTCCAATATATATATTTGAATGTAAAACTTTGATTCTCTATTGTGGCCCCACCCTTCCCCCAGGGGCCATGGTTTGAACAATTTAGAATGTACACTACGTCAGGAGGCTTCCACATAAGATTCACTTTTTCTGGCCTTGTGGTTCTTGAGAAGAAGATTTTTCTTATATATTTTAATGTAAAACTTTGATTTCCTATTGTGGCCCCATCCTACTCCGGGGGTCATGCTCTGAACAATTTAGAATCTACTCTACATCAGGAAGCTTCCACATTAGTCTCAGGTTTTCTAGCCTAGTGGTTCTAAAGAAGATTTTTTAAAAAAATTCCCTATATATTTCATTGTAAAACTTTGATTCCCTGTTGTGGCCCCACCCTACCCCTGGGGACCGTATTTTGAACAATTTAGAATCTACTCTACCCCAGGTAGCTTCCACATAACTTTCAGTTTTCTGGCCTAGTGATTCTTAAGAAGATTTTTCATATATATATTAATGTCAGTAAAACTTTATTTTCTATTGTGGCCCCACCCTACCACTGGGGACCATGTTTTGAACAATTTTAAATATACACTTCTTCAGGAAGCTTCCACATAAGTTTCAGCTTTCCCGGACCAGTGGTGCTTGAGAAGAACACTTTTAAAGGTTTTCCTACATATTTCAACGTAAAACTTTGATTCTCTGTTGTGTCCCTACCCTATCCCAGGGGACCATGATTTGAAGAATTAGATCAACACTACCTCAGAAAGCTTCCACATAAATTTCAGCTTTTCTGGCTGAGTGGTTCTTGAGAAGATTTTTTTAATGACCCCATCCTTTTTTTTTGTCTTTTCTTGATTATCTCCCCTTGTAAGGGGTGGGGGGTGACCCTTCATTTTAAAAATTTAAACTCCCCTTTACCAAAGGATGCTTTCTTAAAATTGGCCCAGTGGTTCTTGAGAAGATGTTGAAAATATGAAAAGTTTACAGATTGACGGCGGACAACGGGTGATCAGAAAAGCTCACTTGAGCTTTCAGCTCAGGTGAGCTAAAAAGATAAGGTGGATAAATGTGTGTGTCTTTTGATAAAAAAAATACTTGGTACATAGATATCAATTCCTTCTTCGACAAAGTTATTGTTGATTCTAATAACAACTACCTTCTTGTATCAAAATGGAGTTAAGGGGGACCGACCCTCTGATAAGAGAGATATTTCTCCAAGTAAAAATACGAATACTACTCATAGTTTTCATTATCAGAGTTTCATTATCGAGATCTTGGAGTAGTCAATATGGTCAAACCTCATATATGATAGAAACATTACCTTCTATTTCCTTTGCCTATACTTTCAAATTGTTTTATTATATTTAACAAAAAAGCATTTAAATTCAGTACTAATATTAAAAGCCTTATAAATTGAACAAGTTCTCTCTTTTAAAGTACCATTTTAAAAATGGTTTAATGTTTCAAGTAGCAAATGTAGAATTTTTTTTAGTATTACATTTTTTCCCCAATGAACAATGAAAGATAACTCTTGCTAACATATGTGTTCTTTTCCTACAACTACTTACAACATTGTGATATTCTGACTTAGGAAGCAGCGCTTTATTATGTTTTCTAATGTGAATTTAATATGCATGATACTAAATATTATTTTCATATACACCTCATATTTTTAATTTTATGTTGTGATATTAATCATTACTCTTTCTACCCTCTGTGTTAAAATTTCTTCATATAATCATCCGACATAAAAATCATTTCTGAAAAAAATAAGCAGCGCTTCATACCTCATACCGTTTTCCATTTGAAGCTGATGCTATAGCTCTTGATGAGAATCAATGTTGGGAAGTTTAAAAAAAAAGGTGAAATTTAGAGCAGAGGGTCTTTAGTCTTTAATCATCATATTCTTTAATATTATATGGGATCATGCTTTTTCCTCTTTTTTGTCTTGTTTGTTTGTTTGTTTGTTGTTTAACGTCCCTCTCGAGAATTTTTCACTCATATGGAGACGCCACCACTTGCCGGTGGAGAGCTGCAAATTTTGTCCTATGCTCGGCACTTACGGCCATTGAGCAGTGAGGGGTCTTTTTCGTGCCAACACCTACTGCGACACGGGACCTCGGTTTATACGGTCTCATCCGAAGGACCGGTCTCCACGTCCCACATGGGATTCGAACCCGCGACGTAAGGATCAACTCCTTACCTCGCGACTCTAGAGCAGACGCTCTAACCACTGCGCCACGCGGGCGACCTTTTTTGTCTTGTACATATATTTATATAAGTTTGTACATGTATTTGAAATATGTGTGAGTACAATAAAAAAATCTAAACCGAGGCAGGCTACTGACAAATTAATTCTACAAGAGCCTCAGTTAACATCCCTTACTTCTTATAAATATACTTCAGTTATGCGGCGCCAAGTCAAAAGTATCTCACCGTTAACCTCTACCATGCATGCTGTAGTACTGACAAATAAGTTGATGTTACAAGGATACCAACAATCGCCTTAACTATTCACAAATGTTATTTTTGATAAAATGACCTTGTTTGCAATTGCAAATACAGCCTCTCATTAGGTCGAATGTTGACT